ACATGAGCAAGCAAAATACCGAATTCCCAGCTTCTCATTGGTACAAATTTCGTAGAAATTGGGTACATGAGTCAAATTTTGAGGTGAGTCGAAGTTGAAACGTGGAGGTAATTTGGGACGGAGTAGTACTGCCGTAGCATCATCTACATACAGTAATAGAAGCTCCCGACAATCTCAACAAGGATGAAAATCTGATGACTTGTCTTGCATTACTTTTGCGATTTGAGCAGATGTCGTAGCTCGACCCCGAGTATGGTCGTGGCTTTCAACTGCATCATCGCAACACTTCGGCACGCGCACGCGTCTTCCACTTCTGGGAGGAACCGACACGTGGTCGTGGCCACGTCAAAGTGCTCCATCGCGCGGTCGACCTTGCCTTGGGCAAAGTACACCTGCGCCAGGTCCAAATGCGCGGCACTGCACCGCGGGTCCACTTGCAGCGCCTGCTCAAAGTGTGCGATGGCGTGGCCGGCGTCGTTGGTGGCCACGAAGATGCGGCCGGCATTCAGCCACGGCAGCGGACACGCGGGGGACAACTCGACCGCCTTCTTCAGGTGCTCCATGGCTAGGCCATAGTCGGCGCGATCTGACAGGACGTCGCCATAGAAGAGGTGCACCTCGTGGGAGGTTGGGAACTGCTCCAACGCCGACTTGAACACATCCACGCTCTGGTAGACCGACCCTGCCTTGTACAGCGCCATGGCGTACGAGATGTGGGTCACGGCCAGCGACTCGCACCGCGTCATCGACCGCCGCAGCGACGACACCGCGGCCGCGTAGTCGCCCTGGATGAGCTCCATCTGCCCGCGATGGAGGTATACGTCGCCGCTGTTCTCGTCCACCGTCGCGGCATGTGTGAAGCACTCGTCGGCGGCTTCGAACTCGCCCAACTCACAGAGGAACCCGGCCTTCTTGACCACCGAGTTGAGGTGCGTGTCGTCCAGAGCCAGCGCCTCGTCGATGACGGCCAGCGCGCTCTCGACATCCCCGGCAATGTACAGGAAGGTGGCATGGAAGTTGAGTGCAATGACGTGGCGATCACGCTTGGTTTTGAACACCTTCTTGGCGGTGGATGTACTAGTTGTAGTAGTAGTAGTACTAGCACCGTCCAGCACGTTGTCGAGGTTCTCGGGCTCGTCGTCGGTGGTGGTAGTAGTAGTACTAACATATGCCGCCAACGTAGCAAACAGCGCTTGCGCTTGGGCGTAGCGTTTCGAACGTTTGTGGTCGATAGCTTGCACAAGCAAGTCGTCAAACTGGTCGTCGTTTAAAACGTTTGAAACCGCGTCGTCCGATTTTGATTGGCTCTTGACGTGGACGGTGCTCACGCCGGCATCCGCATCCCGGCTAAACGACTGAAAGTAGCTGTCCACGAGCCACGAAGAAGGCAGTTCGTGGCGCTTCGCCATGTTCGCCCACACACTCTTAGCTTGATCCCGCCCGACTAATTTGGACACACGCTCAATCACTTCGGCCACATCGAGTTGCCGGGATCCGCCCAATATGAACGCCAGCACGTGGTGTTGCAGCGCCTATCCAAAGTGCAAAGTGATCCAAAGTGCAAAGTGACGTGATCCAGAATTACATACCAAATTGAAGTCCTTGTGCTGTTCGTCAATAGCGCCTTTTACCGCATACGCATCGGCGCAGTACGGCGACAGGTCGAGGGCCAGCTTGCAATCGGCAGCCGCCAGCTCCAGACGGTTGGTTCGGACGTAGCACTTGGCTCGCTTGGTGAGCGCCTCCACGACCGCCGTGTTGTTGACTGGCAGGCAGTTCAGAGCTTCCGTGTACCGTTTGATAGCTTCGTCGTCGTCGAGCCGCCGCACGCTAAAGTCGCCGGTGCGGAGCTTGGCGCCAAACGCGGCAAGGGCGCCGTCGTCGGTGGGTTTGGCTTGTTCATCTGCGACATCGTCATTCACGACATGATGCGACGAGAACGTCGACGCCAGGACAGCGTTCATGTCGGATTGAACGCTGTTGATGACAGCTTGCAGTTGGATCGCATCCAAAGTCGGACATTCCTGGGCTTTCAGAGCAGCTTGGATGCCTTCAAACACAGCCTGGATCTTGGCTTTTACTTGCAACGAGCTTTGCTTTTTAGGGTGATTCGACCGAGATGATGTGAACCGATAGCCCAATTGGTAGGCTACGCACGGGTACCACGTAAGTTCTGAGATCGGTTGGGGGGATTCAGGTGTCACAACTTGAAGCGGTTGTGCTGCTGCCGCTGGGGTGACGGCCCAGGGGACTTTGGCTGCCAGAGTACGCCGAATACTCGCTTCGATCGTAGCGACCATCGCGAGCACGGCCGGCTCGTCGACGGGCGCCACCGTGACGTCGACCACCGGCGGCGGTTTGAGGAGGGTCTGGGGCAGCTCTTGGATGCGCTGCATATGTGCGACACAGTCAGCGTCGCGGCTGTCGTGAAGCCACTTTTGAGAACTCATGGCCATGGTGCTTTCGTCGAGATCGACGAGGTCGTACACCAGATCGGACACGGTTTCGACCACTTCTTGCAGAATCGGACTACCCTTGAGCTTGGCTTCGAGCATGGTCGTGTTGACCACGTTCGGATTGAGACAGAGCACGCCAAATGGCGCAAGACACAAGGATGAGTACTGATAGATCACTTGGGCAACGTCGAGGAACTTTGCCTTGGATAATGGGGATGGCATGGTGAAGAAGTCGGCGTGGTAGTCATCCTGTGGTGGCGCTGTGGACGACTCGGTGTCTTCTTTGGTTTGAGCGCTGGATGATAGATAAGCAGTGTACTCGGCCATGACGACTTCCTTGGCTTTCGAGTCCATCGGCGCCACAAATTCGTCGTCGGCATGGGGCTTGGGATGGTGATGGGAGATATCAAAACTTCCATCGTCGATGTTGGCAACATGGGCACTGGATGGGGCGAACAACTCGCATGTAACATGGCTCGGAAGCAATGGCCACGATTCCCTCAACCCAAAGCTGCATAGGTGCACACGTGGGTGCCCCGCCAACACGAGCGCGACGGCGACGATGGCGGCTTCGAACAAGTCGACGGACACGACATACACGTCCGAGGTAAAGTCGACATGCAAATTGGCGGCAAGATCGCCTGGGGATAGGAACCACTTGCTTCGGGGGTCGTCGTTGAGGACGGACAGCGGCGACAGCGGCACGCTCGGCGTCAGGTGACCCACTACTGGCGCGGCCGACGACAGTCCAAAGTACACGTCGTCTGTGGATGCCTGTAGAACCTGTATAGCTTTCTTGTTGTTCGATGATTCGATTGATGGAGGAGTCGTGGCTTGGATGAACTCGTCGACAGTGGTCGCCGGGGCGACGGGATAGAGCTTGGCGTCGCCGACGGTGAACATCTCCATCTCGGAATCGTCTTGGAGCACATCTCGCTTCCGTGTCAAGGTCAACGCCAGCGGCGCAGGCAAGCTGGAAGTGGCCTGCAATGCCCACCAGCACATGCACGCCGTACCAAGCACTCGGTCCGACTCGATCAGGTCGTTGGAGGGTCGATCCACGTCCTTGGTTCTGTCGCGGACATGCAGCGCATAGGACTGTTCGTTCTCGATAGAGTCGTCTGCGCCTCGCATCTCCTCTTGGATGAATGCTCTGGCATGAGAGACATCACGCAGCATCGCCACGACCGCATCCTCGGCGGTCGGGACGTTGACGAACATGGCCGATGATGATGTCGAATGGTGCGCTTGTTGGCCAATAGAAAGTTCGTCGAAGTTCAACCGTAGATCGAAGTCGAAGTGTGGTGGAGTCAAAAATATGCATTTAGGCTTCTCGAAAATACAAAATAGACGCCTGCGATTGGCTGATAATTGGCGAATTATTCTCTGGCCCAGTCCCAGAGAGTTCGCGGCCCACAAGCGAAGGAAAGAACGATCCACAGATGACGTCCAAGCAGCAGCATGGGGATGGGGACAAGATCGCGTTGACGTCTGCGGGGAAGCATTTTGACTCGGACATCTATGAGAGCGCCAGTGACGACAAGTACGCTGGGTACTCTCGGACGCTGGACGACGAGGACACGAGCAGCCGAAGTTTGGCCGCCGGACCCAACAAAGGGCGCGCGTCGGACGGGTTGATCGACGACAACTACGATCCATTTGCAGACAAAGACTACCGCGAAGCCAACGGCAGCGGGTTGGTCAACAGTGTCATCACCGAGCGTGAAAGCGACTACCAGAGGCGCCGACTGCATCAGACGTTGTCGCCCACGCGCCAAGACGCTTTTGAGCGAACGACGACCGACGATGGCTCGAACGCGTCAAGTTTTCGCAAAATCATGCACAATCAAAAGCTTGATGCCGAGCGCGACGAAGTGATCCGCAAGATCCGCAAGCAAAAGGAGGAACACGCCGCCGCCGACGTCGTCGTCGCCGCGGCTGCATCCTCCTCCACCACGACAAAAAAGAAGAAACGACGATGGGACGATGCAGGCGGCAACGCGAGCGAAGGTGCCACCACGGAAGAAGAGTCGTCTTCGGAATGGGACCAAGACCACTCGACCGACAAGAAAGTCCCGAGCAGCTCGCAATGGGATGCTACGCCCGTGGCGGCCGACATGCCGACCCCGAAGAAGAATCGGTGGGACGAAACCCCCGCGCCGGCGGGTGGTGCCGAAAAGAAGTGGGACGCCACACCCCAAGCCACTTCTTCATCGTCCTCGTTTGACGCGACGCCGACGCCCGGCCGGAAGCGTTCGCGCTGGGACGAAACACCTCTCATGGACGACAACCGGACCCCGACCAGCGCGGCGCTCATGACGCCGGGCGGGTCGTTGGCGGCGCACGTGATGCCCGAGGTCGTGCAGCGGCTGCGGTGGGAGCGCGAGATTGAAGAGCGAAACCGCCCGCTCACGGACGACGAGCTCGACTCGATGTTCCCCACGACAGGGTACAAGGTGCTGGACCCCCCCGCATCGTACATGCCGATCCGGACGCCGTCGCGCAAACTCATGGCCACGCCCACGCCCATGGGGCAGACCCCCGGGTTCCAGATGGGCCAGACGCCCTCGGCGTCCGACTATGGGCTCCAACCTGGCGGCGAGACCCCCTCTGGCGGCGATATGCCGTACATCAAGCCCGAAGACTACCAGTACTTTGGCAAGTTGATGGAAGAAGTAGAGGACGAGTCGCTGGACCCGGAGACGGCCAAGGAGCGCAAGATCATGCGCATGCTGCTCAAGATCAAAAACGGGACGCCGCCGCAGCGCAAGCAGTCGCTTCGCCAGCTGACCGAGAAGGCGCGCGAGCTGGGCGCGGGGCCCCTCTTCAACCAGATTCTACCGCTGCTCATGGCGCCGACGCTGGAAGACCAGGAGCGCCATCTACTCGTGAAAGTAATCGACCGCATTCTGTACAAGCTAGACGACCTCGTGCGGCCGTTCGTACACAAGATCCTCGTGGTGATTGAGCCGCTGCTGATCGACGAAGACTATTATGCCCGCGTGGAAGGCCGAGAGATCATCTCCAACTTGAGCAAGGCGGCGGGCCTCGCCACGATGATCTCGACCATGCGCCCAGATATTGACAACTCGGACGAGTACGTCCGCAACACGACGGCGCGCGCGTTCGCGGTGGTGGCGTCGGCGCTCGGCATCCCGGCGCTGCTGCCGTTCCTCAAGGCCGTGTGCACGTCGCGCAAGTCGTGGGAGGCGCGGCACACTGGCATCAAGATTGTGCAGCAGGTGGCGATTCTCATGGGGTGCGCCGTGCTGCCGCACCTCAAGCACCTCGTCGAGTGTGTCGGGCATGGGCTCGTGGACGAGCAGCAGAAGGTCCGGACCATCACGGCGCTGTCGCTGGCGTCGCTGGCAGAAGCCGCGCATCCGTACGGAATCGAATCGTTCGACTCAGTGATCCGTCCGCTGTGGAAAGGTATCCGGCAGCACCGCGGCAAGGGCCTCGCGGCGTTCCTCAAGGCCATCGGGTACATCATCCCGCTCATGGACGCCAACTGCGCCAACTACTACACGCGCGAGGCAATGGTGATTCTGATCCGCGAGTTTCAAAGCCCAGACGAAGAGATGAAAAAGATTGTGCTCAAAGTAGTCAAGCAGTGCGCGGCCACAGACGGCGTGACCCCGTCGTACGTGCAGACGCATGTGTTGCCCGACTTTTTCCGACATTTCTGGGTGCGCCGCATGGCGTTGGACCGGCGCAACTACAAGCAGCTGGTGGAAACGACGGTGGAGCTGGCCAACAGCGTCGGCGCCGCGGAAATCATTGGGCGTGTGGCGGACGACCTCAAGGACGAGTCCGAGCCATACCGGCGGATGGTCATGGAAGCCATCGACAACATTGTGCAGAACCTGGGGGTGACGGATATCAACACGGAGCTGGAGGAGAAGCTGATTGACGGCATGCTGTACGCGTTTCAAGAGCAAACGTCGGATGACACGACTGCCCTTTTGAACGGGTTTGGGGTGGTCGTGAACGCCCTCGGCCTGCGCGCAAACAACTATTTGCCCCAGATCTGCGGCACGATCAAGTGGCGTCTGAATAACAAACCCGCCAAGGTGCGCATGCAAGCGGCCGACCTCATCGGCCGCATCGCGGTCGTGATGAAGACATGCGACCAGGAGCAGCTCATGGGGCACATGGGGGTCGTCTTGTACGAGTACTTGGGCGAGGAGTACCCCGAAGTCCTGGGCAGCATCCTCGGCGCGCTCAAGGCCATCGTGAACGTGATTGGTATGACCAAAATGACCCCCCCGATCAAGGACCTGCTTCCGCGACTGACGCCGATTCTAAAGAACCGGCACGAAAAAGTACAGGAAAACTGCATCGATTTGGTCGGGCGGATAGCCGACCGCGGCGCCGAGCTCGTGAGCGCGCGCGAGTGGATGCGCATCTGCTTTGAGTTGCTCGAGATGCTCAAGGCGCACAAGAAGGGCATCCGCCGCGCCGCCGTCAATACCTTTGGGTACATTGCCAAGGCAATCGGGCCTCAGGATGTGCTCCACACGCTGCTCAACAACTTGAAGGTTCAGGAGCGGCAGAACCGCGTGTGTACCACCGTGGCCATCGCGATCGTGGCCGAGACGTGCTCGCCGTACACTGTCATTCCCGCGCTCATGAACGAGTACCGCGTGCCCGAGATGAACGTCCAGAACGGCGTGCTCAAGGCATTTTCGTTCATGTTTGAGTACATTGGCGAGATGGGCAAGGACTACATTTACGCTGTGACGCCGCTGCTGCAGGATGCGCTGATGGACCGAGATTTGGTGCATCGGCAGACTGCTGCCACGACTGTCAAGCATTTGGCGCTGGGGGTCGCCGGCCTCGGCTGCGAAGATGCTGTGATTCACCTGCTCAACTTTGTGTGGCCCAATATCTTTGAGACGTCGCCGCATGTGATTGGCGCGGTGTTTGACGCGATCGAAGGCTGCCGCGTGGCCCTGGGGGCTCATGTGATTTTGCAGTTTTGCCTTCAAGGGCTGTTCCACCCCGCGCGCCGCGTCCGCGAAGTGTACTGGAAGATCTACAACTCGCTCTACATGTACAGCCAAGACGCACTGACCCCGGCGTACCCCGTGATCGAAGACGACGCGGCCAACTCATATGGGCGTACGTACTTGGACCTGACGATTTAATACCTCTGCCACCCCCCCCCATCACACACATACCACCGCCATATGAACTTTTTTTCATTGAATTAACGAAAATACTCACTCAATTTAGCACTATCGTGTCGACTAATTATATATTCACAGATTCTTCGTGCAAACAAACAGTATTTCGTACAAGCCTGGAAAAGGGCACCAAGACCAATTCATTATATCTATACGAGCATATTATAATATAAATCATACTCGAAATAATTGTTCGATTCAGCAGATATATCGGCCGCATACAACGTTGTCGCAGATCAAGTCGACTTTGTCGTCAATCCGATCCACGTTGTCGCATACGATGACCCGTACCAGGTCTTGGAGGATGGTCGGAAAAGGGCGATCACGACAGACGTATGCGACAACGTTTGTGGCACTTTATTGCATGAACGATACTGATCGGCTGTATATGCAAATGCATATGGTATCACCTCATGCGATGACGTTCGATCCTAAGTTCTATCCTCCTCGTAGATAGAACTCCAACACCATGCGCGTCCTCCAAACGCAACCGCCATCCATCACGGTCCCACACAGCGCCGCCATCAAGACTTGGTAGAGAATGGCAAACTGGGTTGATATTTTTCAAGTGATAGAATTTTCTTTTGCTAAATTAAATGGCGTCCGACCCATATACAAGTTGGAAGGTATGGTCCTAACGGAAGTCGAGTCATACGAGGCCTTTGGTATCTGTGCGCGGAAGCAAATCGTACTTGGCTTTCTTTTTCAGAAAACTGTCTTGTACCTAACACCATCTCGAATGAATCCAACGACTGCTCGAGAATGAATATATATACCCATAATATATATATATATATATACCCATAATATATATATATATACCCATAATATATATATATATATATACCCATAATATATATATATATACCCATAATATATATATATATATACCCAGAATTGCAGCGCATTCATCAGACACGGACACGCAATCATGACGACCACTAGCTCCACACGCGGATGTGCCTCGAGCGGGGCAAACACCCAAACTGCAAAGTCCACCAGCACGGCCTGGCAGTACACGATACCGCAGCCGATGATCAGTTTCGCAGTCAAGATGATGGCCAGCCACGACGTCAGCTGCATGAGCCACACCCTATTATCCCATACATGTATGTATTATGCATATGCGACGTGGTTTCGAGAGTGGCGTACATACCGGACTCGAACGGGGTCACCGTAATCGCCAGGGGACTGCAGGGATGTCCAGTTGCATTGCTTCTATATATACATGTGGTTATGTTGGGTGGAAGGTTCGACGAGAGGATGATGACGAAGGCAACGTACGGCCGTGGACGTGAGCAGCGTCAGAAGCACCCAGTTGAACACCACGCCCAAACTCGTGTCCAATGCAAAGTTGACAAAGTACATGGCACACTAATAATGCACAGATGAAGATGACATGTGGAACGAGGAAGGTGGGAACCTCGTCGGTGGCGCCCTTGTCTGTAAACCCGACCAAAGCGATGGCGATGGCAATGTTGGCTGCATGCGCGACGCCAGCGCCGATGGCTTGCTTCGACGCATCAAACAGCCACACCTGTCGATCACGTGAAGAAGGAACACGTGGATGAAACCTGTACCCCCAGAGGCCGCCGTGGCTTTTCACCGTGCCGCTTCACCACCAGAACCGACATTGCGATCATTCCAAGGGCGACTTGTACGCACGTCTCAAACGGACCGCTGAGTAACACGCATCGTCCAGCCGTGCCAGCGACACTGTGCGGTGTCGTTCCCATCAGGGGCTACGTTGCCGAAATTCGATATTCGAATGAAATTGGCAAATAAACTAGACGTATTATGACCTTCTCTGAATATATTCTGACGAGAACTTTAGATCATTTATCAGCAAATATATAAATGATGGATGAATGGCCGGGAATCCAAGCGCTGAAATATTAATACTTCGAAGTAGATATTATTATTAATAGTAACGTTACTTTGAGATCGATGCTCACCAAATACACAAGTTCAACCAGCGTCTTTGTGTGCTCTTAAGATTCATTGCAGCTTGGTGTGAACAATATTTCAAGACGGAATATATATTACTAGTACTACTGTACTATACAGTTATTAATAGTACTATGTAATGTTAGTATACTGTACCCTAATACTTCGTACTTCGAAGTAAATATTAATATTATTCGTGTGCAACAGGCGACAGTCAAACCAATCAAACCAATCAAAATATGTTTTCAATTCGTTTCACGAGCCAATGAAATGTACTTCGAAGTAAGGAACAAAGCGGTCCGCCTCATTTCATTGGCTATAAATACAATGAGGGTATATGATTGGACAAAATTTAATCGACGAATATATAACGACAGAACGACATTCGCTGCAACCAATCCGAAGGCGGCTCCATGTTTTGACCGCGGCGGATTGACACAATCTGTCGTGGGTCATGTACATTCAGCCGGCGGTGTACTGGGCATGGTACTGCACCATCATGGGGGTGGTGATCACCACGTTGGTGGTGCTGCATGTGGCACGGAAGCAGTTCCAGCGCCAGCAGCGTATGCGCGTCGACATGATCCAACGGTACCCTTCCTCGAACTGGCGATCAGTACACTCGCTCATGTGAATGCAGGAATCTGTTGGGGAATCAATCCGGCACACCCTATGGGCACCAAGATCTCGAGAGAGGGTACACGTTCGTTGATGTCGTCTCCACCCCAGTGAGTATCTCATCGATCGTCATAGGGTCCCCACAGAGGATCAATGGAAGTGTGAGATTTGCGACTTTTGCAACAACGTGGCCAAGCCGTGTTGCGTGCTCTGTGGAACCGAGCGTGGTAGGCCCACCCTTCATCCCAATGTGCACGTTCGTCTAACCATATCAACTGCCATGCAGGTTTTTCGTTGACAGCAACACTGCTCGGGACATCCACGGCGCATCGTTCCTCGGATCGAGATGCCATCACGAGTGAATCGAGTCGTGCATCATCCCATCCCCGCCGCAAGTCTGTGAGCATGCCGGCAACGACCTCCCGTCTCTCCTTTGTCGATCGCAACAAAGCGTTCAAGATCCGGCGGTTGAACGCGCGTCAAGACGCCGCGCGGTACGTACGACACTCCCATGATCCTCCTCCAGCCCGCATCAAACAAGTCCTTGTCTTATAACACGATAGAAAACGCAAAGAATGGGTACGGCAAGTCGATTCCGACGGACGGGGGTACTGGACTCGAAGCACCATGACGACGGCGGCGGCGGCGGCATCTCCCACCGAAGGCTTTGTCGCGCGGGTCGTCCCATCCGTCGACGGACACGACGTGCGGCTGACGTTCGCGTCGACATCCCGCGCCGACGCGCTCATATCGTTTGACGGCAACGCCATCCACGACGCGGACCTGGAGGTGCTGCATGTGGTCGCGGCGATGCCGTTCACGGAAAAGTACGCGTGGTTCGTCGCGCAAATGCATGGACTCAAGAACACGTGGAAGGAAGGCCGGCTCAAAATCAAAGTTCGCCGCGCCAACGTCCTCGTCGAGTCGTTCGAGCAGGTGCTCGGCATGCAGAAGCAGCACATGTACATGCCGCTGCGCATCGAGTTCATGGGCGAGTCGGGGCTGGACGCCGGCGGCCTCGAGCGCGAATGGTTTACCATCTTGACGGATGAACTGTTTGACGATTCCCTCGGGCTCTTTCAATCATGCCACAAGGATGTCGGCGCGTTCTACATTGACGCACACTCGGCCGAAGTAACCAAGGACCATCTGCTGTACTTCAAAGCGACGGGGCGGCTGCTTGGCCGCGCGCTACTGAGCGGCCATCTTCTCGCCGCGCGGCCGTGCCTGCCGCTGCTCAAGCACATGCTGGGGGTGCCCATCTCGTTCCATGACATTCAGTACCTGGACCCGCAAAAGTACAGCGGCCTCCGGTGGCTTCAAGAGAATGACCACGTCGACTGCCTTGCGCTCACGTTTAGCTGCACCGAGATCTGCCAGCGCAATCAAATCGTTGAAGTGGATTTGAAACCCAACGGCCGACACATCAGTGTCACAGACGCCAACAAGGCCGAGTACCTGGCATTGACACTGCGGTACTTAATGCTAGATCGGTGCGCGAGCCAGCTGCACCACCTCCTCTCGGGGCTGTTTGAAGTGATCCCGCAGGAAATGCTCATGGTGTTCGACTACCAAGAGCTCGAGCTCGTGCTGTGCGGTGTCCCAGATATCGACGTCGCAGATTGGCGGGCCTCGTCCCAGTGCTCCCCCGACCTCGCGCGTTCCCCCGTGCTTGGCTGGTTCTGGGACATCGTTTCGGACTTTTCAGCCGAAGACAAGGCGCGCCTCCTGCAGTTTGCGACGGGGTCGTCCCGAACGCCGGTCCAGGGCTTCAAGGCCCTCGTGAGCTACGACGGCCAGCTGTGTCCATTCTCCCTCCAAGCGATTCCGTTCACCGACACAGCATACCCCCGTGCCCACACGTGCTTTAACCGTATCGACCTGCCCCTGTACAAGTCCAAGGAACAGCTGCGCGAGGTGCTCACGGTTGTCATCAACATGGAGATCACGGGGTTCACCGAGGAATAAGCACACCACACACCGGACGAGATCTAATATATGTGTTTCTGTATATGGTGACATACAAGCAACGAGAACAGTGTGCATGATGTAGCTGCAGCCCGGCACTCACCGACTTCGTCCTTCGCCTCGTAGAGACCTCCGCGGCGTGCGCGGTAGTGGTGTCCAGAAGGTTACGTTTTACTAGGAAATGCAAAAGGTAAGGTCGAATAGATTTTAGCCAATCACCGTCGCGCGTTGACACCGTTGCAATCAGTCACTTGGTTGGGCAGCGGCAGCATCAACCCGACCCACCACCGCCGCCGCCGCCGCCGACTGTCTACGTGGCCTCACTTTCCCCACGGACGACACACAGCGCCTTTCTCGTCCTTTGAAGGGTAAGTCGATTCCATCGCCTTCATGCACGCCATTCAATCTCTCGTGTGGTCTGACGCTGTCGAGAACAGATTGCCCTCAACGTGCACAACATACCCCGCCCCCTTGATCAACATGGAATCAAACGCTGAATCATCCATCGTGCCCGACTTGTCGTCGCTGTCCCTTGCCGACGCGGTCCATGTCGAGGACTCTATCAACGACACGCCCCGGGCATTGGACGAGAACGACGTGCTTGGGGCGGAAGCCGACTTGTCCGAGGACGAGTCGAGTGACGACGTCGCGAGCGAGGAAAGCGAGGAAGAGGAGGAGGAAGAAGAAGAGGAGGAGCTGAGCTGGATCGCGTGGTTTTGCTCGTTGCGCGGGAACGAGTTCTTTTGCGAGATTGACGAAGACTACATCGTCGACGACTTCAACCTCACGGGGCTGAACGGCATCGTGCCGTACTACGACTATGCGATGGACATGATCCTGGACGTCGAGACGGCGCACGACGACGCGCTCACGGACGTGCAGCAGGAGCTGGTCGAGTCCGCCGCCGAGATGCTGTACGGGCTCATCCACGCGCGGTACATCCTCACGTCCAAGGGCATGGCGGCGATGCTAGAGAAGTACCACAACGTGGACTTTGGGCGGTGCCACCGCGTGTACTGCCAGGGCCAGCCGGTGCTTCCCGTGGGCCAGTCGGACATCCCGCGGCACACGACGGTCAACATCTTTTGCCCTCGGTGCCGCGACATCTTTTTCCCAAAGTCCCAGCGCCAAGGAAGTACGTTTATGGGAATGTGGGAGTTTTCCCCATTATGTTTTGGAGGTTTTCGTCATATCAGGTTGTAGATATTGACGGCGCGTACTTTGGCACGACGTTTCCCCATCTGTTCCTGATGACACACTTGACGCTGGTCCCGTCGCCGCCCGCCCAAGTGTACGTGCCGCGAGTGTTTGGCTACAAGGTGCACAAGTCGAGCGCGTACTATGTGGGCAAGAAGGACGCGCACGAGTCCAACGGCCACCGCCGCGGTCGGCGAAAACTCATGCAAACCACAGACAAACAACCTTAACCACACATACAAGAAGAGACTCATCTAGTCCTGCTCTTCTACATTGTTGTATAGATAGATGTGTAGATATAGTAGTAGCCTGATCCTTCGAGAATAGAACTACATATACAGTGCTACTGTAATATATAGAAATGGCGACGAAGGACGAGGAGGAAGTGGCTGCATGTTGAGACTGGCAAGTCCACAGACAACATACTCAGGCATACAGTATATGCGTTGTGAATCCTATTAATATAGTAGTGGTACAGTAATATACTTCAAAGTATATACTATTAATAGTGTATATTTTGTAAAAATATATTTGTCCTGCCTATACTCGTGAAGGGAATAATAATATATACCGTGAAAGAGAATGTATCTATTCTCAAAACGCCATGAAACTAGAAAATGTTACTCCTTTTATACTATTTTAACCCTATAATAGTTAGTAGTGAACAAAGAAATATATTTGTTCACCACGTCACCATGGCCAAATAAATATATCTGGCATTCGCCGCTTTGGAAGACCTTCAAGCATGGCAGGCACAACGACTTGACGCTCATGGGACTTTCTTGTGCTGCTAGTATGTCTAGTAATACTAAAGTATACTACGTAGTACCTAGTACTATTAATAGTATGCGTTAGTATTACTAATATGAATACTACCGGTACAACGTTAACAGTAAATAGTTGGATTAACACCCATGGTACATACACTATTTTCAGGTTAACGATCTTTTATCCGGATAACCCTGCACCAGCCTGGGGAGGTGACTTGATACAATATATCTGTGAAACGTTAACGTGAGTGCCGCCGCGCGTCCGTGAGTGAGATCGACACATGTGGGAGAAGAGCAAGGATGAAGAAGCTTTCTACGCTCGCATGTTCCAGCTGGCTGATGTGGACAAAACAGGCAAGGTGGAAGGCAAGAGAGCCGTGGAATTCTTCACCAAGAGCGGGCTCCCCGCCACGATCCTCAAGCAGGTACGCAACATTACGTATATCATGCTCGTATGTGACGTATTCATCGGCATTCCTAGGTGTGGTCGCTGGCCAGCACCAACATGCAACCTTACTTGAATCAAGACGAGTTCAACGTCGCGCTTGGACTGATTGCGTTGGCGCAACGAGGGGATCCGTTGGAGTTGGCGCGCCTCGACGCGTTGGGCAAGTCGCACTTGCTTCCGTTGCCAGTCCTTCACACAATCAGTGGAGTTGCCATGTCGAAGGACTTTGTGATGGCCGCGTCCGACGAAGCCAAGTACAAGACGCTTTTCCGCGATGCCGTCGGCGGCGACATCACCATCAGTGTCGCCGCCGCCATGGACTTGTTTCAAAAGTCGGGCCTGCCCCTTCCCGTACGCCGTCGTCGTTCTCATCCCATCATGCGATGTCTCAATGCTACCTCTAGGAACTGCACGACATTTACCGGTTGGTGGACCACGGCAGGTCGACGAGCACTCCATTACCTGTGACCTCGTTCACCATCGCCATGCACCTGATTGTGTGCAAGACGCGGCGCGGCATGTCCGCGCTCCCGACCTCCATTCCCATGGAACTCTTCCCCACGCTGGAGCTGCCTCCGATCGCTCTGGACCACGTGTCGTCTGGCCAGTCACCGGCCGCCATGCTGGAGCTGCAGGTATACACAACTCTCTAAGAATATATATGTATATATATATAATCATGAACACTACAAGGGCTCGCGTTATATATATATATATGCATAAATATATTTATTCACCCCAGAATATACATATATAATATATATACATACATATATTTGCATCTGTGTCGTGGTGCATACTAGTAGTATGTATTTACTGTTAAGGGGGCAACACATAAATATATATTTTTTTTCACAGTGCTTTCGTTCTACTACTGAGTACCAGTATATGATACATTCCTTTACATTCGTAATCATTTGACTGGATTTCATTGTCCTTATGTGTCATATCATCCTAGCTCGGGGCTCAAAAGAAGCTGGTGGAAGCGCTAGCTCGAGTCCCCATCCCCTCTTCATCCCCGCAATCCACGTTGGACATTCACCTGGATGCCGTGGAAGCATTGGGGTACGTCCTTCCTTCCCGCCACACGACGGCCATCGCCGACGGCGCGGCCCTCTCCGAACTGGAATCCGTGCTGCTGCGATACATTGCCCAAGTCACACAAGAGCTTCTGGAGCTGCAGAACTCGAAACCAACCTCTGCGGTAGTGCCCGTGCAGACGCTGCTGCAGACGCTGGCCAACCTCAAGCAGCAGTCCACGCGGCTGGTGGAGCAGAAGGAGGCGGCGCTGCGTCGACTTCATCCGCCTACTCTGCACATTGACACGAATCAAGATGGAGTCGGGCGGCCTAGTTGCTTTGACTCGACCTTTGACCACGACGGTAATAATATTCGTTAATACAATCAATCACAAATACAAGTGTATTATATATTATCTTTGTTTTACCCAATATTTGGTAGACTTTAGTGTTGATAATTCGCCAAATCTATCGATCGATTCTTTGTACTGGCGGCTTCGTCCTGTATTACACTAATTTCAATCACACACTAATTCGATGTGGAATTGGTCCAAGCGTGGATTTGATTGGCTAGTTGATGAGTGTTCTCGGTTCTGATTGGTCAATATATCATCGATTGTCTGTCGATGTGGTGGTGCTGCTCATTCGATTGAGAGCACCCGAAACACTCTACTTTCGAATCGACTTGACAATAATAATGTATATATATAATAGAATGTGTGTATCGGCGTGCTATGTACATGATACATCATGTTGATATGGCTCCGTTTATTACGTAGCGGCCCCAACTACTAGTAGTACTACGTTTCAAACGACAACTACTACTAGTACTCCACAAGTCGATTTCTTTGCTTCCAAGCCAGTGATGGCGGGTGCTGCCGCGCCGACGTTTGTTGTCCCCATGGACGGCGCTGGCTTGTTCTCGCCATCTCTAGACAACCATTCCTTTGCCTTTGACGGATCGAGTGGCGGCGGGGCGTCGGCGGCGGGCACGGGCGGCAGCACTTCCAACACACAACCGCCGAACCATCCGTCGTTTTTTGGTCCCCCGACGACGCAGACGTCGGTTGCTGTCCTCGATGCGTTTGCCTCTGCCACCACCACGAATACCATCTCATTTGATGCGCTAGACGCGATGAACGACATGGATCTGAGTGTTGGGGACAAGTATTACATGGTCGGGTTGTCTGAGGGGGGCTTGGACGACGACAAGGCGGCGGCGGCATCCTCCTCCTCTTCTTTCCCCCCGACAACCACCCCCGCTCGGTCAACGTCCGACTTGAAGCAGTCGGTTGTGGACACGTCTCGTCCGATCTCCCGGAAAGCATCGATCGCCGCCGCCGCCGTTCCGCCCCCTCCGCTCGTGGCTCCTCCCACGAATAGTAGCCCCGGGTTTGCGACAGAGTTTGCGACAGAGTTTGCCGCCGCCTTTCCCGCCACCAGCACCACCACCACACCACCGTCCTTTGCAACACTGTTCGACGACCAACAACAGCCAACCAGTGGAGCCCCGTTCGACCCCCCCCCGGCATCGTCGTCGTTTTTTGCTGCGTTTGGGGACTTTGTTGACACCACGTCGTCATCATTTGAAGCAGCTTTTGACACCCCCACGACGACAATAGCCACCACCCCTGGGTTTGGAGGCGACAGTTTGTCGGGGGCTGCCGCCGCCTCGTCGGGGGATCAGCCTCCTCCTCGTCCCCCGTCTTCTTCGCCCTCGTGTTCCGCATTGGTTGGCAAAGACACGACCATCAGTAGCGACGACACGTTTGGCCAGTTTGAAGCATCGTTCGAGGCATTTGGCATCAACAATGCCGATGCGACAGCGTCTTGGAATACCGCTGTCGCAGATTCCGACGGGTTCAGCAGTTGGTTTCCATCCGACTCGACCACCACCACCAGTAGTAGTTCAAGAGCTCCCCCCACCGATGACGCCTTTGACCCTTCGTTTGGACACTTTACCACGAGCGCAACCTCATGCGACGACAGTGTCGCAGACAGGTCTAAAACGTCAAACGACGATCCCATTGGAGGAGGCATAGGTGGCGGCGGCTTTGAAAACGATGTCACAGGGTTTGCCGCCAACGTCACTGAAATCGTCGCCGTCGTTCAAGACACTAATGACCCACAAGCCGATTGCAGCAGCTGGACGACCGGCACCGCGTCGCATACTAGCCAACCACATAAAGACGATCACATCTCGGCTACTACTAGACGAATTAGTGACCAAGGAAGTAGTAGCCAAGGTGGTGAGGCTGGTGATACTGCTACTGCATTCCAGAGTGACCAAGGCGATGCCGACTTTGCAGCGTTGGACTGGTCCTTCCAAGCAGCAGCACTCCCGTCGCCTGTACCTGATGATGGTACTAACCACCACATGTCGAACAGTCCCATCGGCCAAGCTCAAGGCGGCCACTTCCCCATCGATCAAGACACGGCTTTGAATGGAGCAGCTGTGACATCGTTCCACGACGAGGCGGTCAAGACCGAGCCAACGGTGTCGCAGATTGCCAGCCCCCCTCCGCTTCCTTCCCACCAAGATGCCGATTCCGTAGCAGTGGACGGATGTGGATGCCTCTTTGGCCTTCCCCATGACGACCCGACCGACGACGACAAGATGTCGCACCCCAGCGCCTCCCCATCTAATGATGTCAGCACTCCGTCGGATGAGATGCCACGACCTGACCGCGCGGACGCCGAAGACTCTGTTGCTTTTCCAGCAGACATGTCGACCCCTTCATCTCCGCCGGCTACCGAGACAACCCCGTCGGACCTTGTATCTGAGACGTCGTTCAACCCACTACTACCGCCACAATCAGCTGCAGCCTCTGCGACGACGTCGGCAATCGACGACATTTTTGGCGACTTCACGTTTTCCCCTGCTGCCTTAGGGGATCGACGGGTGGCCAGCGATCCGTTTCTGACCACGTTCGCCAGCAACGCCGCCGCCTTTCCGACGTCATATGCGACGGAACCGGCCGACGCCTCGTCCGACAATATGTTTGCCGACTTTGCTGACTTTCAATCGAGCGTCGGGACCTCCACGTGGGACTTTCCTGCGACGACGTTTCCCCCGTCAACTGCCACCCCCCCGGACGATTTTACATTTTAACAAGGCAGTCGTTGTATGCTGTTGGTATGAACAACCGAGTACTATTAATAGTTAATCGTAAGTACTATTAATAGTTAATAGTAAGTATACTCGTTCAGACGATCATCGTATCGTCCGAGTTGTATAGCCAATCAAGCTTCATCTGTGCCAAAGGCATTGTGTTATTTCCAATACTAATGTAAAAGTCCAATTTAAGGGTCGACCAACCATATTAACAGTTAACCAATCAATTCCTAGACGCTGTTTAACCAATCAATTCCTAGAAAGTCAGTTTTTACCGAACATGCCAAAAAATAGTATTCTGCGTAGACCAAATTCAAGACATAAAAGCGAGAGTAGTTTGATTGGCCACTTGTTTCTGGGTGTCTCCGAATTTCGAATCAAAACATCTCGAATTCAATACTCTTAACTAGTAATAGGCATGATACATATAAACTTATAATCCGATACCCACCACGTACGAGTCGAGGTGCATGCCTTCCACGGCAACGTCTCGAACAAAAGTATTCATAACAGTGTATTGTCGATTTGATATACAAATATTTGGGGGTGCAATCGAATCGCGCCGACCAAACCGATCCACAATCGATCTGATTGGTGGTTGAATTTCATTGAGAAGGTTTTGATTGGTTAATAATGTTGAGCTCATCGGAGGTAGCCAATCAAATCGATTTAAATTCCAACGAGAAACCACGCCACAATGAAATTTCACTCGAAAGACCACAATAAAATTGGACTTTTACCTTATGGACACCAGAAGTATCCATTAACGTTAGTTACTACTTCAAAGTCGTAGTATAGTATGAATATGCAATCTCGATTGTTAATTTCTACTTCAAAGTCGTAGTATAGTATGAATATGCAATCTCGATTGTTAGTTACTACTTCAAAGTCGTAGTATAGTATGAATATGCAATCTCGATTGTTAATTTCTACTTCAAAGTCGTAGTATAGTATGAATATGCAATCTCGATTGTTATTTCAGTCCACGGGCGTACATGGCGTCAATTTGCCGTTGAAAGTACGCCTTGAGCTGCGGTCGCTTGAGCTTGAACGTGGGGGTCACCAGGTCGTGTTCGACGGAAAACACATCCGGATGCACGTGAATGTCCTTGACACATTCAAACCCGTTCAGCTTGGCGTCGTTGGCCACCTCCGCCATGGATGCCAGGATCGCCGCCTTGAGATCGGGCCGCGCCGCCATCGCCGCGAGGTTGGTTCCGTCCGGAAGTTTGCGCTCCGCCGCCCATGCCTGCACGACCTCTGGGTCCGGCACGACCACCGCCACCAAGTAGCTCTGGTACGAGTCCCCATACAGAAAGATCTGGCCCACGAATGGACTCTTGGCGTAGATGTTTTCGATCTTCTCGGCCGCCACGTACTCGCCCTGCGCCAGCTTGAAGATGTTCTTCTTGCGATCGATGATGCTCAGAGTGCCGTCGGCATTCCACGCCCCAATGTCCCCCGTGGAGAACCACCCGTCCGCCGACAGCACCTCGGCAGTCTTGGTTGGCTCCTTGTAGTACCTACCCATATTATAAAACCAAAACTAGTCAAATGCTAGTACACTGTCAATCCACATCGCAAATACTAAGGTAACTAACTACACATCGAGGCAAAGCACACTGCTACAATAAGTACTACTAGTACTACTACGAGGAGCGCCTGCACAGTATTATAGTACAACTAACGTATGATGATGAACTTCAGTCGTTGAGTATACTGCACCGTGCAGTGGACAGTGATCAGGACCTACTACTAGGACCTACTACTAGAACTCCACCCACTTCTAGTAACTACTAGTGACCACTCATGGAATACAATGCTGCTGTCCATGTGTACCCCACAAACACGTTGTTGCCGCGGACGCAGATTTCGCCGCGGGGCCGCGGCACGTCGGCGCTCGTGTAGTTCATTTCGGGCACATCGGCAAGTCGGACTTGGACATTGGCGACGGGGATGCCGACATGCGCGCCCGTGGGGATGTCGATATGTGACAACGTGGTCGCGGCGCCCGTTTCGGTGAGGCCATACCTGCCAAACCACACTACTCAATCCTAGTTCTAACTACCACACCATCCATAGATAGCTCTGAAATAAGAACACCATCGCACACACATGAATCGGGTACCTCCAAGCTATATATATATATATAATATAGATATATAGATATATGCATAAGCTGTATGTAGACAGATGCCGTCGTACCCTTCTTCCACCCGACACGAGAAGGCTATTTTTAAAAATTCCTTGACGTTGGCAGCCAGCGGCGCCGATCCCGACACGATCAGCTCGACGCGGCCCCCCAGCACCGCCTGGATCTTGGAGAACACGAGCGCGTCCCACAGCGCATGGACGTTGGTGCCGTCCGCGAGCCCCTGCTTCTTGGTCGCGTATGCGTAGTCAAACATGAGCTTCTTCACGCCACCCGCCGACGCCACGCCCTGTACGATCTTGTCGTATACGCGGTTGAACAGCCGAGGCACCGACACGAATCTACCGCCATGTTGACCACAACAAATAGCATATGGGGAAATGTGGAGAGGTATGTACAAGTGGGGTTTGAGCTCGGCCATGTCGTCCATGAGGTGAACCACGTCGCCCTGGTAGAACCCCATGCTCGCCCCCAGTCGCGCAATGATGGAGGTCACGCAGCGCTCCATCACGTGCGGAAGCGGGAGGTACGAGATGTGCACCATGTGGCCGCGGCAGTCGATGCGGTCCGCCAGCATGAGCGTGGCCGTCGTGTAGTTGCGATGTGTGAGGATGGCGCCCTTGGGGTCCCCAGTCGTGCCAGATGTGTAGCAGATCGTCGACACGTCCGACGGCAACGGCGGCGACGGCGGCACTAAATGTAGCAGTCTCATGTCAATGCATAGCACAATATGGACAGACGCAAACCTGTGGCGTCAGGCACTGTTTCGACTTCATGAAGGGTCAAGAGGGTCACGCCCTTGCTGTCGGCGTCGCTGCGCTGCCGGGATGTGATCTAACAATGGCCATGGCGTTGAAGGCAATGAACGTAACGTGAAAAAACAAACAAGAAGAAGAGCAATGAATGGGACCTACCGAATCGTCCATACTGACAACAAACTCCAAGCTGGGGCAGTCGCCTTTAGCTTGAAGTACGGTGGCGACGAGGTCGCCCGAGCACACGAGCACGCGCATGTTGGTATGGTTGAGGATGAATGGAATCGCTTTCGGCCCCAACGTGTCGTACAGCGGCACCACCACGTAGCTCATGCGGTTGCACGCAATCTCGGTGAGGATCCACTCGGCACGGTTCTTGCTGAAGAGGCCGACCACCTCCTGCCGACCGACCTTAAGCAGGTGGTGGAACCCCGTCGCGATGCGCGTGGCGCGGTCGTGCGCCTCGTTGTACGTCAGCCACGTATATGGCCCCGCCTTGCCGCTGGCGTTGCGCGACCGGGTGCCCAGGTACTGGTTGTCGGCTCCCACGGACAGCCCGACCTTGAAGTTCTCCCACAACGTCGTGGTGTGGTCGGCGAGTGGGAGGTTGCCGGGGGCTGTGCGGATGGGACCATACCCAGGCGCGTCGCTGAAGGGGATCTCTTGCGAGAAGACTCGGGAAGTAGACTCGGCCGCGCCCATGCTTGGAAAGAAGGAAGAAAGAAGATCCAGGTTTAGTCGACAAATGGCAGTTTTACTCAAAGATATTATTTTGTCTCCTAGTTGAAACGATCGAGTAATTATAGCCAATCTAACTCCTCTATTTGTGAGAGTTCGATGCCATTGGCTATAAACATTTGATGTTGAAGTCCTTAATGAAGATGTCAAGGAGCCCGAACCATCGCCGAAGGAACTCATGACCCATGTTGGCTTCCCACGATGTCATCATAGAAGCGTCCGATGCACTCGCCCATGAAGATCGATAACGTCATCCGGAGAGCTTGTCCATCTTACCGGGCAAGGTCAACCCAATGCAGTGCGAGGTACTCATCTCGATAATGGAAGCGATCGGCACCATCTCGACCGAGCGCGCTACGCGTAACTTCAACGCAGACATCGACACCTGCGAAGTGGACGCTGCGTCGCAGCAGCATCGCCGTGACGAAGCAGTCCGTCCATGAAGGCATGTCCGCAGCCATACCACCTTCCATAGCATCCGCGCAAGTCCAGCGGTCGGCCAATTCCGCCGCTCCAGGTATGTCGATGCTATCGTATCACGTTTCCATGTAGACGAGCAACTGAAGAAGGATCCGAAGCTCACGGACGGCGGCACTAGCTAGTTTCCGCAATCTCTTTAATCCATCACGACAACTCGTGTGCGTTGCTTTTCGCTATTTACCAGTACTCAGACGTGTATGTACAAATGTAGATGGACGACACACCAGGAGGGGTCGGGAGGTTCTTCCAAGGTAATAGGCGCAGTGCCATCAATATTCTTAGACTAGTACAGTACTACTGCCCAAGTATCGATCCATCCCATCACGGTGCCTTCACTAAAGAGCCGCAGCGTACATGGCGTCAATTTGCCGTTGAAAGTACGCCTTGAGCTGCGGTCGCTTGAGCTTGAACGTGGGGGTTACCAGGTCGTGTTCGACTGTAAACACATCCGGGTGCACGTGAATGTCCTTGACACATTCAAACCCGTTCAGCTTGGCGTCGTTGGCCGCCTCTGCCATGGACGCCAGGATCGCCGCCTTGAGATCGGGCCGCGCCGCCATCGCCGCGAGGTTGGTTCCGTCCGGAAGTTTGCGCTCCGCCGCCCATGCCTGCACGACCTCTGGGTCCGGCACGACCACCGCCACCAAGTAGCTCTGGTACGAGTCCCCATACAGAAAGATCTGGCCCACGAATGGACTCTTGGCGTAGATGTTTTCGATCTTCTCGGCCGCCACGTACTCGCCCTGCGCCAGCTTGAAGATGTTCTTCTTGCGATCGATGATGCTCAGAGTGCCGTCGGCATTCCACGCCCCAATGTCCCCCGTGGAGAACCACCCGTCCGCCGACAGCACCTCGGCCGACTTTTTAGCATCTTTGTAGTACCTACATATGTACATTTGTCAAGCCAGTGTTTGTCCAAATATGGTTCAAAATAAGACGATGGAAACCACAACGGTATTGTCAAGTCGATATATTCGAAATTGGAGTGTTTGGGTGCTCAATCGAATGAGCAGCACCACCAAATCGACAGACAATCGAAATTCGACCAATCAAAACCGAGAACACTCATCAAGTAGCCAATCAAATCCACTCTTGGACCAATTCCACATCGAATTAGTGTGTGATTGAAATTTGTGTAATCAGGACGATCTTTACATACAAAAGTCAGCACAAACAGTCGATCCATAGATTTGGCGAATCAGCACAAAGTCAGCCAAATTTTGGGTAAAAGGACAATACAAGGTTCCACACAACGACATCAACATGTACAAACAATTTCACATACCATCAGACGACATCCATAACGGATATCGAGCTAGAGAGTATCATGCGTTCAACCATCCGATATATATATCTATATCTCCAGTATATATATATATATATATACATATACATGTCCATTATTGAAAACATAAGATGCTTGGTGTGGTTTGTATCCACTGTACAGTACTACTATGATGGCAGTGTCAAGTGTGTGTGTGTGATCGGACTTTACTGTCTTTGCACGTACGAACGTACGTACCCAAGAAACACATTGTTGCCGCGGATGCAGATTTCCCCGCGAGGCCGCGGCAGGTCGGCGCTCGTGTAGTTCATGTCGGGGACATCTGCCAGCCGGATCTGGACATTTGGCTGCGGCATGCCCACGTGGGCGCCTATGGGAATGTCTGGGATCGACAAGGTCGCGGTAGCCGACGTCTCTGTGAGGCCGTACCTACATCCAAACATCATAACCTCCACATCATCATCCACCATGTATGTATTATGCATGTAGACAGATGCCGTTGTACGTACCCTTCTTCGACCCGACACGAGAAGGCAATTTTTAAAAATTCCTTGACGTTGGCAGCCAGCGGCGCCGATCCCGACACGATCAGCTCCACGCGGCCCCCCAGCACCGCCTGGATCTTGGAGAAGACGAGCGCGTCCCACAGCGCATGGACGTTGGTGCCGTCCGCGAGCCCCTGCTTCTTGGTCGCGTATGCATAGTCAAACATGAGCTTCTTCACGCCGCCCGCCGACGTCACGCCCTGCATGATCTTGTCGTATACGCGGTTGAACAGCCGAGGCACCGATACAAAACTAGCCGAATTGTAAGTTGGTCACCACATACTACTGCAGTAAACTTTGTCTAATCCGTTTGGAAATTTCGACTTCCGAGTAGAATCGAATGAATTTGACAAAAGTATTTGAGAATAACATAGGGTGTGAGTCTGGATGCACCAAAAAAAGGATAAAAATGCCGATATTTTGGCAATTTCTAAGAAATTGGCAAAAAAGAATAAAAATTGGGGAATGATCACCCTTAGCCAATCAAATTGCACTAACGAGAAATTGCAACCAATCATCGATTAGTATAGTTCATTGACCTAACATTGACCAAGTGCAAATGTTCGTCTTCGCATGTGTATACCATACATTCAAGTAGCTTAAAATCTGGCTCAAATCGAATCACCTGTCAAATCCAATTTTGAGTGAAAACATTATATATATATATATATATATATATATGCCCAGGAAGCAGTCGATAACAACAAAGCACGATATATTCGAAACCTCTCAACATATCGTCATATCGATTGAATGCATGACTTTGTGGTTTGGCAAGGGAGATCACAGAAATACAAAGATGAGGCAACTAGCCACACCGACGTACATGTGTGGCTTGAGCTCGGCCATGTCGTCCATGAGATGCAGGATGTCGCCTTGGTAGAACCCCATGGACCCGCCGGCACGCGTGACGTTGGCGGCGTTCACGCGCTCGTACACGTGGGCCAGTGGCAGGTACGATAAGTGCACCCAATACGACTTGGAGTCGATGCGATAGGTCACGCATTCCGTCGCGGTGCTCAAGTTGCGATGGGTCAAGATCGCGCCTTTCGGGTCGCCCGTCGTGCCAGACGTGTAGCAGATGGTCGCGTAGTCCGACGGATGCGGCGGGTCTTCAGGGACTACATGGAACAAGAAGTAAGGTGGATGGATGCGGGGTTTTCATGGAGGATACATAGTGGCAGTCGTTACCTGTCGCATCTGGCACACCCTCAAGATCGTCCAGCGTGAGCAACGTGACCCCTTTGGCTTGTGCGTCTGCGCGTTCACGGGGCGTCACCTACATCGAAAATGACATACGGCAAAGAAAGTACACGTAAAGTGTCCACGTACCACATCCATCGAGACGAGGAACTCTAACGTCGGGCACTCGTGCTTGACGTCGAGGACGTTGGCGATCAATTCACCCGCGCACACCAACACACGCATGTCGGAGTGGTTTACGATGTACGGGATCGCTTTGGGACCGAGGGTGTCGTAGAGCGGCACGAGGACGTAGCTCATGCGATTGCACGCGATTTCCGTGAGCATCCATTCCGTGCGGTTCTTGCTGATCACCCCCACATTTTCCTGGCGGCGGACGCGGAGGTGCGTTTGGAGACCCGTCGCGATACGTTGAGCACGTTCATGCGTTTGGTTGTACGTGATCCACGTGTACGCCGCAGCTTTCCCGCTCGCGTCGCGCGTGCGAGTGCCGAGGTAGTTAGCGTCCCCAGAGATCGCCATCCCGCGCTTGAAGTTCTCCCACTGCGTCAGCGTATGATCTGCGAGGGGGAGCGCATCGGGACTCACGTGGACAGGTCCATAGCCAGGTTGAGCGCTGTGCGGGATCGGGTGCGAGAACACTTGCGTTGACGTCGATTCAGCCGCTCCCATCGCGGACGACGCAGAATTCAAAATGTCGAAATCAGCCCATGACATACTTAGTTATATTATTATCTATATATTTGTATGTAGTGAGGCCAACGAAGAATATAATTATGCCAAGTACGATGATCGGCAGAAAGGACAGAACTCGGAGATATCCCTCTCTGCATGAGTGGTGCCAAGCATGTATCCATCACACATGTCCGTGGGTCGCGAACTCCTGATGTCATGCATGCGTGTGTGCTGTATGCACTCTCGTCCTACATACCCCTCCATCAAGTCCACGCCGTGCGATCTTGCAATGGATCGTATGGATGGGTTCGGCCGCCCTTCTCCATATGATCGTAAAAGTGCCAAGCAGCATGTTGTCGTTCATGGTGTCATTCAATTTCGTCGTTGGAGCTTGGAACCACGGGAGCGGGCGAAGGTGCTGGCGAGGCATCGTCAGGTTCGTTTCCGCGCGATGTCCTTCGAATGAGCTCTTCCATCAGGAGCAATTGTTCCCTCGTCGCTTGCAGGAACTACAGTATGTATTTACATCGACGTATCAAGCAAGTGCTATTCCATCGAATGCCATCTTCACGTACCACGATGTGCAGCAGTTCATTGAGCGAGATGAGTCCATCTTCGTTCGCATCCACCGTCGCAAATAGGTCCTTCACCACGGCCACGTCCGCGTCCTGAGCCTTGGGCATGAACGCCGTCATGATCTTCATCCATTCATCAGTGTCGATGTCCCCCGACAGGTCCTTGTCGAATCGGAGCAAGGTTTCTACCAACATTCCCATTCATGAACCGACACTCTCAATCTTCGTGTGTGTTGACGAACCTCCAAATTCGAGAACTTCGCGCACCGAGTAGTGCGGGCCGAACGGGTTCTTGCCTGCCTTGGCCCATTCTACGGGATCGATGGGCGGTCGTCGTTTCTTGGCCACCTTCACGCGGCTCGGCATCGCCTTTCGTACCCGCGTCTCGTGACACATGCTATCGCACAAGACCATCTTGCGCCGGATGTTCTCCTTGACTTCTGGCCGGATTTCAGGGCGCGACGACAACGGAGTCGTCACGTCTTCTTCTGCATCGTTGTCGATGATCTTATCGGCCGTCCTGTCATCGTCTTGATCGTGCTTCGACTCGGTCACGACTGCATGCAACACCGGCATGGACGCGCTTTTCTGCATGATAAACGCCGCCTTCAATGGCTTCTTGGACAGGGTCGGCAAGAGCACCACGTTGGACTTGTCGTCGACCGTCGTCATCTTAATGTAGCTCTCCATGACCATCGTCGGCTTCTGCTGCACTTGCCCTGCCTGGGGTTCTTGCTGCGGATTCTTTCTCGGTCGTACGATTTTTCGTTTCGGACGCCGTTTGGAACGCTTCTTGGGTTGAATCTCTTGTAAGTGACGTTTTAAAAACTCGGACGGCTCCACGGACATTTCATGCCGCGAGGATTGCCCGGTCGTGGCCAGCTTCAACCGCCGCGCGGCCACTTCGACCGCAAAGTTGTCGCACGTTCGCAGTATCGGCAAGTCTTGAACCCCACTCCACCGACTACTACTAGTACTAGTACTACTAGCATGTTGCTCCGGCCTATCGCCAGCGGACTCCTCGGAGATTGATGCACACTCCTTTGCATACGCCTTCTTGATCTGGGCAGTGGTGAGCAACAATGGCGGAAACAGAATCGTCTCGTAGTTGCGTCGCTGCAGCGCATCCCGCCCCACCGCTTCCAACGCGTACGCTTCGTCTTGACTGAACACGTTTTCCTTGACGCCAGCTTTGACCGACATGCCTACATGCCATCCATATACACGCAATATCTTTCAACCCCTCGAAAACACACAACCCATGGGTATAGTCGATAGCTAGGGAGAATGAGCATAGGAATGACACTACATTTGGATACTATGAGAGTTGTTGATCGTACGAGAAAACGCGCGGTCGGCCTCGGCATGCGCCTTGAGCCCTTCCAACACCGTTCCGAGCCCTGGGTCGTCGACCTTGAACGCTTTGACCTTTTCCATCACGCTGGCCAAGCTCGCGTACCGCCGCATCGTCCGCGGGGTGCGTGGGTCGCTCGCAGTCAGGATCCCTGTGACGTCTTGGGTTTCCAAGCCGGTCATGGTGGCTGGGATGGCGTTGTCGCCATCGCCCATCCTACCAATTCATTGCCCTTAACACATCGTCGTTGTACTAGAATAGGGCTAGCAGCAGCTCGAGGCATTCTTTCAGGTGGAAATAGAATATGGCCTACCCCACAACGGACGAGTTGCTATCTGCCACCGCGGCCGTGAGGATGTCCAACGCCATTTGCTTCATCGTAGCCGAGTTGTCCACCAAGAGGATCGACGGCCGATACTGCCATTGCATTGGCTGCGACTCGGCATCATCGAATCGCCGCTGCAGCGTCCCCAGGCACCCGCCTTCCGCGTCCCACAACCGCACGCCGACGTCGTCGTACGAATACAAAAATCTAAAAATGATATGATATTACGTACTAGTATCTAGTTCCGACACATGAGACACTCACGTCCCCATATGAGACAAAATCGTCAATGTATCCGGTTCCACATGAGACAGTCGAGATACGAATCTGATATATCAGGTTCAAACACCCCATATATCAGGTTACACCCCTTGAGACAGTCGACTCGCAATGCATATATAATAGTATTCAACACCAACAACGACACGTACCCTGGGAACTGCAGGGGACAGAGTTGCAAGATCTTAGAGTCATGGGCTTTCCAAGACAAGGCATCGGCGACGCGCGGGCTGGGCGTTCGTCCGTTGCCGCCTTTTTGGCTGGGTTGCTTTTGGCGAGGCCCCCGACTGCGCTGGTCAGTGGCGGCTTGTGTAGCCGTCGACGAGGCTACCGGCGGCGGCGGCGGGGGAGCCATGACGCTCTGCCGTCGACTGATGCGGAGGTTAGGGTTGTATCCACCCCGGGCATACGCAATCATGCTTTCCGCCAACGGATCAAAATGGATGCGCATGACGCCGCGGAAATGCTGACGGATGGACTGCAGCGGCCAGCAGTGGACGTACCCGAGATCGTCGGCGGCCACCACGGACGCGAACGAGTGCTCCGAGTCTTCTGTCATGCAAAGGGAGCTGATGCCACACGACGTCGGGGCCGTCGGTGAGACATCCGTGACAAACGTCGAGGACAATGATGACACCGGTGTGGCGGCGGTAGACGTCAGTCGCATGAGACACTTGGACATGGTCGACACATTGAGCACTTGCCACACCAGCACCTCCCCCGCCGAATCCCCTGCAAACAAGACGCAACACTGTCGGTGAAACGCCAGCGCCGTCACCTCCCCCTTGTGCCCATCGCAGCGGAAGATGAGCGATAGCCGCTGGAAGTCGTGCACCCGGATGTGCCCGTTCGTGTCCCCCGTTGCAATCAACCCATGTTCGCTCGAGTATGCGCACGCCGACATGGGGGCCCTACACATATTCAATTTCTCCATCTTTTCATCCAGTCCAAAATGTATGTAAGGATAGTATTAGAAGTTGCATCTTGAATAATATATATATATATATATATATCAAGAACGGGCTTACCTGTGAACGTTGTCGATCGAACGCATGGGATCCAGGCGGCCTTCGCCTTGTACGTCGTTGCAAATAGACAGCGAATCGTCCGTGCCATTGGTTATGAGGCACTAGAAGCAAACAAATAGTTAAGATATTATGTATATATATTATATATATATACTCCCCGTTGTACAAGCGTATAAACATTGAGTTTGCCCCAATATGAACAACCAATTATAGATCGCCTACATTTGTCCGTTCGCAGTAGATCATCGACATGACTTCGCCGTCGTGTAGCTGGGCCGACTGCCTCAAATCAAAACGATATTTTGAGCACTTCTGTTATGTGAAGCCATCATATGACGTACATCCATGAGCAGTCCAGTGATAGGATTGAACATGCTCACACGGCCGTCCTATAGAAACCAGTAAAGTTATTACAAATCCAATATCCACGTGTCAACTTCAGTAGTACATACACTGGTGGCAATAAATAGCTTGCGCTGTCGAGGCAGGTCAAAGCACATGGCGCATACTTCGGCGGATGTGATCGCAATCGGCTCTTGGATGATGACGCCGCTTTTGCCGCTCCACACGGTGATGCGCCCCGCGATCGACGCTGTAAACGTGTGCGACACTTGGTTGTACAGGACAAACTGCAGCGGACTGTGCAGCGACGTCACCATCTCGGGCACGAGGCGCAGCACCTGGAAATTGCCTACGTTACCATGTTGATTGCACCAGGGGAAGAATAGGTACTACTTTGTAGTACTACTACAGTATGTACTCAAAAAACGGCGTAGTACTCAAAAAAGGACCTCTTTCCCTGAACTATTGCGTAGTACTCCATCGAGGCAGAGGATTAAAATCCCTTTCCAATGTTGAGTACTAGTACCTACCGGCCCAAATGTCGAGCAGCTCTGTGGTCCGCTTGCGCTCGGGAATGATCGCAAACGAATGAAAGATGGGTGCCATGGACCCTACGACGTTGACTGTGTACGTGTGCAGCACCACCGCTAGTTACACATCAAACGATACGATGAGTATCCATCACATTAAAAAGTGATATATATATCATTCTTGACATGTCCAACTGAGACAGTCGTACCGGCGTCCCGGGACGCGTCGACAATGCACCTGGATATGTCCCAGATCTTAAAATGGCCGGACGTGTCCCCCGTCACACAAAACAGTTTGGCCGAGTGATGCCGCACCAACTTGACGTCCAAAAGGGCGTAGTGGTGACCTGTGAGCATCACCTACAACACCCCCCCTCAGCCATCCATTCATAATAGTACACTACTAATTAACAGATAGTGAGAGCTATCCATTGTTGTCATCCAATGACAGGTCGACTCTCCATATGGGATGTACCAAATGCTTGCGAGTGGCGATGCTCCACACTCGCGCATGATGCTCGAACCCGCAGCTCACCAGCACATTCCCGTTGCAATCTAGATGCATCACGGCCTACATAACCACCTCATTATAGCATACAAATGATATATATATATCACTTGTGCATTCCATTGTACATATATATATATATCATCAGTATGCGAAATGATATATATATACTACAATGGAATGCACAAGTGATATTATATACACGTAGTGTACCTGGGTATGTCCTGTGAACTGAAACAGCACTTTCATGCGGTCGGCTTCCCACACGGCCACGTTGTGGTCGAATGAACACGTGGCAAACAATCGAGTGGCTGGAATCTCCACGACATCTGTGACCAAATCCGAGTGATGACGCAACCGGTGCTCGACTTTGCCTATGTAGGTCGTCGTTCAATCGTCATGGGAATCCACTTAATAACGTTATGAAAAGTATGTACAAGTGTCAACGTTCCACAGCGACGTCGACTTGACGCTGGAGAGGAGGCACAGCTTGAGCATGGGACACCATTTCACAACCATCATCATGTCGTGATTCACGACTTTGCCGCTCTGGACGTACTGGCCCTTGACGGCGTTCACGATGCTCCACACTGTGATGGCGCGGTCGGAACTGGACACGACAAAGCAGTTCTTCCCTGGCACGTGGTCAATGTCGATCACGTACAGCCCATCCTTCATCACACTCGACTTGGCGATCGACGTCTTGTCGTGGAGAAAGTGCCCATCAAAGTCAAAAATCTAACCACAAATAATCATGTCATCACGAGGATGTGTGTGCAATGTGTTGAAGCCAGCCATAGACGCCAAAGGACAAAGGTACGAGATGGACACCGTATCGCAGAAGTGGTGATGCAGAACTAACTACAATTTTCCAACTGCTACTACTGCTATTACTACTAAAAGAGGCATACTAGTATAGAACAAGGACACGGTTGTACGTACTGAAATATTGGGCGACATGTGCTCCAGGACGGCCACCTTTCGAATCGCGTCGAAACATTTGATGCGTGTGATGTGGTACGGAAAGGTCCTACCGCAGAATAAATATATGCCAGCACCATCAGACAACCAGACAAATATATCACTGCCATCAATCACCATTCAATTTCACGTGTCGTCCACGTTATTGAAGTATGGAGACTATGAGGACAACACTATTGTCTATATATATGGACTCGTACTTGGAGCCGTGACAGGGGTGTTGTTTGTAGGTATATTCGACACCTTTTCCCTCGGCAAGTTGCGACTGTTTGGTTGAAATCATGCCCAACGCGACACAGAACGACGTAAACTCTTCCCAATCCACTTGGCAGTCGCCGTTGATATCTACACCCGAAACGGTCGTGACGTGGCAATACCACAGAGCGCCATACTCACCGATTTGGTCAAACATTTCGTACAGCAGCGAGAGGAGGGCGGTGATACGCTTTTCCGAGCGCAGTTCTGGCCGCGACCGCACCATGCCTTCGCACAAACACGTGGCGAATGCGCGCTTGTCGTGCCCATTGGCGGGGAACTTGTTCTCGAATGCGAGAAACTCGACGCTGGACAGGGCCGAGCAGATGCCCTGGATCGAGTTGAGCGACGCGACGTTGGGGATGTCGATGTCCGGAATGATATCGACCAAGTGAAGTTGGGCGCACCGCGTGAGCCCCACGATGCAGTGGCTCACACACGTCATGCCTTCGCCGATGGGGTTGAACACCCAATGGCTGCGCTGGCGGGTGTCGCGGTAGATCTTGCACACCATCGTGGCGTTTCGGAAGAGGCCGCCGCTGGGGTCATGCGGGGAGTAAGCGTACTCGCACAGGACGTCCCCCTGGCCTTGACAGAGCGTCACGTCGACGTTGGACGAGTGCAGTACGCACTGCACGGAACATTCATCCAGGGGGCGTGACTGGTCAGACACTGTATCCTCGCTGTGGGAAATGATAAACCCTAAAATAGTAGGCGTCGCTGTGAAGGTGCACGGTGCAAGCAAGCGCAGACAAGTTGGTAGACTACATGTATGTATATCCCGGTACATATGGTACGACGTACCGACGACATCGATACCGTAGTTGACGTATTGCAGGGCGACAATGAACTTTTGATCGTGGCCGTACTGGTTGCGTGGCACTTGGGTGATGGCCCCATCTATCGACGCTGGGTTGTGGCTCATGTGTTCGACGAGTTGGCCCTGTGTGGTGGTGAATCGAATGCACGGGTCAACTTGCACATGAAACAACTTTAACCTTACTTGAGCATTGAAAAGCAAGCAGTAGGTATCGACCATCGACGGTTTGTGCTTTCCTGGCCGGGAAGTTGAGATGTGGATGACCGCGTTGGGGTTGGAGATGTGCACGTTGGCCTCGCTGACATTGCGCGCCGACGGGAGCGTTTGCCCCAGAACTGGCGGGGGCGGCGGCATAAAAGTCGGTTACAGGCGTTTCATCATCATCACATCATATCAGCGTTGATCCATCCCCGTAGCCAGGTTGATAGCTCTGCACTCCCGACAACTTACTGGTATACGCCAGCCAGCCTCTCGATGCAAAATTGGTGTCGAAACGATGTTGTTAGTGCCCGTCTCGGAACATCGATTGGTTTGAATTTATCACACCACCATTTCAACCAATCCAAACATGGAGCTGCCCATAACAACGACACTTGGACAGATATCACCATCCGTGTATAGTCAACCTCTGCACGACTTCACACAGAAATGTACAAGGACAACCGCGTTGCTTCGCAAGTTGTTGAAGCATGTACCGGTACTACTACTGGCAATCTTATCCGATAGATTATCGCTAGTTGAAGGGCAATGCATGAAGCCGTTTCAGGGGCAGTTACATGTCCTTCCAGTGTCTACCGAAACGCCGTCCCCATCTACTGCAGTACATCGACGGTCCATGAGCCACTGCACGGACTCGTCGCCATTGAAACCAGCTGTGTCTCCGTCGAAGTCAGTCTCGTTCGAGAGCAATGGTCCCCAGCAGCAGCACCACCGTCGGTCCACGACTCCATCCAGTGACCTCACCATGAGCGAGCTGGAGGCAGCAGAACGCCAAAGGAACCAACCGCCGCCCCAGCCCGACCAAACTCCCAAGAAAGCAGCAGACCCGGCCGTGATCGACGTCGACAGCCACCCCCTTCTCGCCAACCTCAAAGTCGACGGCAAAGAAGTTGGCGCGTACATGCTGTGCAAGTTTGCCGACGACGTGCTGGGCCACCGCGCGCGTCAGATCTTTCGCGAAAAGGCGAGTTCAATCAAGGGCCAGAACGGCATTTACTACTACCTGAAAGACTTGATGCTCAAGTTCAGCCACGACGACGACAACTCGACGAGTAGTACTAATGGGGGAGCCAAGAAGAAGCCGCCACCAACAAGGAAAAAGGATGAGGACGACAATGTGGGGCTGGAAGAACATCAGTTCCGCAAACTCATGGCGAGCGACCCTGCGTTCGAGTGTTTGGTGGCGCAGGAAGACACGACGATGTTGTTTCAGCGCATCGTCAACAGCGCCACCAAGTCTACCATGTCACACATGGATTTCGTCGAGTTTTGTCTGCTGGATCGCATGCAACTGTAAGCCAGAGTTGCTTCCATCTCCTCGTCGTTGCCCAACAACTTGCTGGGTGATCATATGGGTTGGTGGCTGTAGGCTCATTCTCCTGTGCAAGTACTGGAAATCATTGCGCAAGTGCAAACTCACCGACAATGAACTCCTCGACATGTATCGTCGCATGACTGTCCAAGGGTCGAATGAGTCTCAGATGGCCGGCGAGTTGTTTGGGGCCGCCCTCGCGCGAGAGTTTGACGTCGTGCTCACTGTTGGCGTAAGTCTTCATAACTACCTGCAGTAGTATATTTATTTCCTGTCCTTTGTATATATTCAAATTATTATATATTATATACATGTATATGTTTAGGAAATTCAAGTGATGATGGATTTGATGGATTACGATGGCGACGGCATCGTCAAGCCAGCAGATTTTGAAACGTTTTACAAGGACACTGATCGCGCGCAACAGCTCACGGAACTCAAACAACCCGATGCGATCGTGGACCTCAAGGTAATAATATTTCCATCGTAAATATATATATATATATACTTCTCGTAGTACTCGACCAACGACAATGACGCGGCCGAACTAAAGCGCGAGGGATACATTTTATACCCCAAGAACATCTACGAAGGCCACGGAACTCTCTATTTCTGGTACAAACGTGCGCGGCGGGACAGCGGCAAGCCGGCGATCGAAGCGATTCAGTACGCTCCGACCAACATGGACACGGCGCTGGTGGCGCAGGGTTTTGTCTGTATGAACGGTTCAAAGGCGTTTGCCAAGAAGTTTGTCTGGATCAAGCACACTAACCAACAAGCAAGGAGCAACTTTCACGCCCAAGAGCTCGGCGATATTTTCATCACGTCCGGTACGCCGCCATCCACTTTTCCTTGCTTGTATATATATATATATATATGCTTGTGTATTGTAGGTCACACTGCAGATGAGAAATCTGCGACGCTGTGGATGCCCCCCTGTCGCGGGTACAAGCAAATTGAAGGCACGTTAGACGACACAAACAAACTGACGGCGCGGTGGACGACCGGCCGGCGCGGGGTGTTTCTATGGGTTCGGTATGCCTCAACTAAAACTACCTCTCTACAATTCATGTGTTGGTTGCATGTGGATAAGCAATGTAATACTAGCACTACTATAGTAGTAGTTGTAGTAGTAGCGCGATGAGTGTTCACTTGTGTATCGAGTAGATATATGAACGAAGCGCAGGACGTCCTCGAGTTCAAGCCGCCGCCGTCCCCCACTGCCAACGGAGTGGTGTCGGCTTCAGTGTGGTCCAAGATCGACGAGCTCGAAGGCCAGATCCGGCAGACGCTGCGCCGGCGATGCCCCGCCGAGGCGGACGGCGTCCTGAACTTTCTCAAATTGTTTCAGAGTTTGGACAAGAAGAACCGCAAACTGCTGAGCGCGACCAAACTCAAGCTTGGGTTGGTGGCTTTGGGTTGTAAAATGGATGTTCGCGTACGTCGATCTATATATATATATATATATATATATTATTAATATTTTATGCAGTTGTATGCCGAAGTATGGAAACGAGTGGACGTGATGGCGGCCAAGCGCGTGGATTTCGACGCGTTCCAGCGCTTTGTGCTCATGACGGACACGGAAGTGTTCGTTTTAATATATCATTTTCATATCATGTTCTACTTATTTTGTAACGTCAAACTGATCAAATATTTGATGTTGGATAATAATTTCTTTGATAGAATTATTTACGAATACTTTGATGGGTAGGGATGATGCGACCGAGAGCCTCCAGCGCCATGTCACCAAGGGGTCGTCCAACTATCGGTCTATTTTCAAAACGCACAACGCTGCGGGCGATGGCACGTTGAGTCGGAACGATTTTCTGCGCATGTTGGCATCGGCGCAAGTCCTCGTTGCCCCTGAAGTGCGTTTCATAATATTACCAAATATATATATATATATATATATATATATTTAGGAATTGGTTAAAATCACACAACGGTTCGACGTCAATCGCGACAACGTGGTGGACTATGCCGACTTTTTGAAGTTCGTGACGGGTGTGTGTGACATTCACTCGCGGCAGGCGGCGCGCGTGGCCGAGGCGGCTGCGGCCTTCCAAGGTACACAATGTAGTCAATTGTAGTAATACTAGTAGTAGTACTACTACTACCCATACTGAACATCGATAGGCTGGGCCATTGAGCATCAAAACCAAAAGTTGGCAAAGGACGGCAACATCGACTCGTCGGCGTCGTGGCGGCTTGTGAAATCGGCGGGGGATGTGCTTCGAGTGCCCATGATCGACAAGGTACACATTGGGCTTGATATTAAGTACCCTTCGTGATATTGAGTGTACGATATATGTGTTTATAGAATATATATATATAATATAAATAAATGTATAATATTACGATTGTTATTAGATCCTGCGCCAAAAGCACTGGCGGTTAAATCCATGGGAAATGAAAAGTCTGTGCGTGTTGATGTCACCGACGGCCGCCAAAGTCGGCGAAATCGCGCGGAATGCTTACCATGCGTTTGTAAACCACAACCCCAAGAAAATGTACGACCTCGTTGTATACGTAAACATATCAGTTTGAGATCGTGTCGTGATGACGTTAGTGCCAACTTGGTCGTGGCTGGGCGAAAAGTGGTCGGCAACTTACCCGACAACAACACCCCCGACGCTGTCTTCAACCAGCTCAATACTCTGGGCCACGGCAAACTGACGTTATCGAGTTTGCACCAGGAGTTCAACGCCATGGCCCTCGACAAGAGCATCCCGTCTATGGATATCAAGGTACCTACCTAATCGTCGTTTCATGTACTCTAATAATCAATCACTTTTCCGGTTCCAAAGCTATCTATTGATATCTATCTTGGGATGTTAGTTTAAAAGGTAGTACGTTTCACGGGTGTATCGTTATATTTGGTTGTAGGACTTTGTCTACTTGGTGCAGCACACGGGGGCCGACTGTGGCGGTATGTTCAATCCACCAACTAACGCTGCTACTACTGCCGACTCGTCCGATTCAGGTTATTACTATGTATTGTACATGTGAGAGTAGGCGATGGCCTGGTGATTCTCGATCGGTTCCTGGCATGTCTTCGCGATTGCACCGAGCGGCGCAGCATGAAGCACGGGTTTCTCACTCCGTACGACAGCCCCCAGTTTGCCAAGGGCGTGCTGACGCTCGTGGCAGAACTCAAGCGAAGCGCCAAGACGCTGGACGGCAAGTACGACTACAGCATTCCGTTCAAGCTGTTGGATAAGGACAATTGCCAATCGATCCGACTGTGTGAGTTTGAGACAGCCATGCGGGAGCTCGGGCTCGGGCAGTACCTCAATGACCAGGTACGATTGATAACAATCAACAAAGTATGGACGGTTAGGTGGTGAAGTTAGTTGCCTTATGAAATGACACTTGTGCACTGTATATATAGCACATGACTGAAAGGCCTTGGTGATCATATATCGAGAAAGTTGGTGATGGACTAGGTACACTTTACTACAACGCCTAAAGTTCATCTGTTGGGTCCAATGAACGGATGACTTTTAGACGTTGTAGTACAGTCTAACTATAAGATAGATTGCTATGAAGTCGATCGAAAACTATTTATTATATATATATATATTCTATGAATTAATTTTTTTTTAACGGTGTATTCCTATTACCATGTCCATCATCAGTGAGAGAGGATATGACTGTAGGAAATCAAAAGCGTGGTGCGGCGGTTCCACGTCGACAATGGCGGGGGGATTGATTTCGAAGAGTTTTGTCGGTTCCTGACCACCCCCACCGACCACGGGGACCATGCCAACGTGGGGGCGTTGAACCAGCCGAAGGTGGTCGCGGCCATCACCGAGGCTTTCGTGCAGCTGCCCCCGTACGGCGTGCTGTCGTTTGCCAATATGATCAAGCGCATGTGCTCGATGGCAGACAAGGATGGCTCGGGGAGTGTGACTGCGACGAAATTTGCCCAAGTGTTTGATACGCTAGACATTGCACTCCCCCGCGCGAGCAAGACGGACCACCATCCGTTGTTGATCCAGTTGCTTTGCGACAAGGACGAGAACGTGCCGTACGGGGTGTTTTGCGACCTGTATGTGGCCGCCATGTCGCCGCCCCCCGCGCCCACAAAGCAGAGCGAAGTCGACAAGGAGAGTCACAAGGTGCTTACGGAGGCGTTTACCGAGATGCAAAAGATGATGGTGCAAAAAGGAGTAGAGTTCGACTACAAGAGCGCGTTCAGTTTGATTGACAAGGGGGTCATCACGCCCCCTAATTTAAACGAAGTGTTGTGGGCTGCGGGGGTGCGGTACCCGTTCTCCCCCGAGGTAAACCCATCGTTCCCGCGATATTTCCATGCTACACAAATGACATCCGAGCCGTTTCGATTTAGAAAGAGAATGACGACGACGGGAGTACTTGGTACTTATAACTTTTTTTGCCCTTGTGGGTCGTAGGAACTGACGGTGCTGCATCGGGCGTTCCTGAAAGAAACTGGTTCATTTGACGCTGACAAGTTCTGCGATTTTGCGGTCAGGGGCCCCGTCGTGTGCACGAAAGTGGCGGACGAAGCGAACAGCAAGGTGGACGCTGTGATTGCTCATTTGCAAGCCAGCATCAAACAGCTAGTGTCCAACGACAAGGACGCAACCAAATTTCACAAACTATTTCTCGGTTCGTAGTTTTGGCTCAGTCTATCTGTAGTAGTCGCGGCTAGTATATATTTCTACGGACTCCCACAATCGTCAAATTAGAACCATCGTCTATTTTATTTGGGGCAATCACTGGACTTTTACTATTTGGTTGGCGATGGTTTGCCGTTTCATCATCATGTCATGCCTAGATTTTGACGGCAACAACGACGGCACCATCTCCACGACCGAGTTCCTCCACATATTGGACCACATGGGGCTGTCCAAGGGGCTCACCCCTGCTGAAACGGACGCGATATTGCACTTCTTTGACGTCAACGGCGACCATGCAATCGACTATACTGAATTTTTTCATTTTGCCAACCACGCCGACGTTATGCTGCAAGCCAACGTGAATGCATCGAAAGGAGCTGTCGCTGTGAATGCATCCCCTCCAAAAGCCACCGCGGGGTCCGCCCCATCGAGCCCGCCCAAAGCGACGGGGAGTGCCCCGCCGAGTCCGTCGAAATCAGTCACGTCGACTTCAAAGTCACCGAGCAAAAACAACATCTTGGCGCTGCAACATCCAAACGGGTAACTAATTGTGAACTCGCTATAAATTTCCAATAGTCGCTAGGTTTTCTATTGTCAAATATTGCATCTCGATGGAAGGTCTGATTGGCTGAATATACCTGTGTAAGAGCCAATCCGATCTGCTCAAAAATGAAGGAGCCAATAGCGTCGATTCGTGATTCGAGCGAGATGCGATATTTTTTTTACTGAATCCACAATTCAATTTGGACATTGTTCAGAATTAGGATGGTATTTGATGATGATATTGCCGTTTTGATCGAATTTCGTCTCATTTTTCATGATGCAACTATATATATATATATATTATATGATAGTCAATTCACGGGACTCGGCAAACAATTGTGTCGACTGGCGTCGTTGGATCAAACGGCAAGGGGACGTGGGGGGTTTGCCTTTGCAAAGTACTTTGAAAAGTACAAGGCCCGCCACGACCCAAACGTTGTCGCATGCAAGAAATTTCGGCTCATTTTGGACAAATTCCTTGACACCGTCGCAGCAGACCACAGCGGAACCAGCAAGCAAGTCGCGCACGACGTCGCTCGCCTCGACATGACCGTGATTGAAAAGCAGTACGTCGTTCGGGAAACCGGCATGGTCAAGTACCCGCTGTTCCTCCGAGATGTGCACACGGCGATGCAGCTGGATGCGCGGCGCGCCGCCTGGAGCGACGACGACGACCAGGATGACCTGGATGACGACGACGATCTCTCGCTCAGCGACTCGAACATTTCCGAGAGCGGGAGCAGTAGCGATGATAGTCGTGATGACGCGGCAGTGTCAGCTGCAGCGTTGGGCAGTCTCCTGGACCGATTGCTTATCAAAGCCAACTGGTCGACGTCGAAATGCTCCAAGTGTATGCGCCACCTCGACGAGTGGTTTCCCCCTCGAGCATCGTCGCGTTCACGGCCAAAGCCGTTCATGGCCAAACTACGGGATACAGTAGCGTTGCCGTGGAGACAGTCGGACTTGCAAGCCGTCGCCGCCGCCTGCCGAAGCCGCCCGCACCGCCGCGTCGACCCATCCATGTTTGTGCTGGCCATGCGGGAAGCGTTGGCACGGTATGGGGGGTTAAGCAATCAGAACAGTACGAGCCCCAACAGCAACATCAACAACAATGGGGGGTTGAAGCCTCTTATGGCCAAAATCTACCATGTGTTTCTACAAGCCGCACAACGCAACATCAACGGACGACAGCTTCTGGAACGATGTGACGGTCGCGGCAGTGGGGCTATCTCATGGTCCGAGTTTTCGACTGTGCTGCGACTCATGGACTGCGACTTGAGTGTGTCCGAGCTCAGTGGGATCCAGCAAGCTCTGCAGTCGCCATCTTCATGTCCATACAAGTCATTCTTCACGCTGCTTGAGACGTATGGCAGTATCTCGTCGTCGTCGTCGCTTGTGGTTGCGAGCCCCCGGCGCCATGAACTGGCCCCTCCAATGACCTCCCCCCCCCACCACCTCCATCATCACGCCCTCCCCGCTTCGTCGGTGCATGTCGCGCTGCCGCCATCGTACGCCGCCCCCAACGTGTACCCCACCCGCGGCATTGAGCAGGAATTGCAGGCCATCTTCCTGGACGCACTTCGATCCGTCGATTCGGCGGCGCTTGTAGCAGCTTTCCGGGCGTATGACATCAAGGGATGTGGGTTCATCAGCCTCGACGGGTTCCACTCGGCCATGCGACAAGGTGGCATCTTCCTCTCGCCCGACATTTACGCGAAAATCGCGGCCCAGTTCGCCGCGCGGTTCAGTCCGGACGGCGTCGACTACGTTTCATTTTGCCACGTCATGGGCCTCCCAATGAACCACCCCCCTTTTGTGAATGGAAACCCCCGCAAAGTAACCCCGCTCCAACTTCCTGACCAGAGGGGGGGGAGTGGAGGGGGGATCACCCCCACGGCAGTCGAGTCGTGGCTGCAGCATGGCGCGTCTGATGACGACAAGCGCCAGTTTAACGACATGTACAACGCCATCTTTGACTACAAAAGCAAGCAACAAGCTAGTGCTGCCCAGGTAGGTAGGACGTTCCGACCCTGATTGTTATGCAATCTCGCCTATTGATGGCAGCTTGGAAATGCTGTCGTCTACCAGAGACCAACCGATTGAAATCTCTCTCATGCTATGTGTATCAGGTGCTACCGTCCTCTCGTGTGCCGCCAATGACGCCAAGAGCCGACATGTGGAGTTGCGCGGTATGCTTTCACTCGCAAAGCCAAGCCAGGTCCACGTGTGAGATCTGCGCATCCAAGAACCCGTCGCCTCCCTCCCCCAATCCCAACAGTGGCGGCCATGGAGATTTTGAAGTGGCGCTGCAGTGCTCTGTCTGTGCTTTCCGCAACAAAGCCACGTCATCGATCTGTAGCTTGTGTCAAACCCCCCTGCGTCTAAACCATCCAGCATCTTCGTCTACCAGACTCACAACCGCCGCCGGAGATGGTTGGCTTACATAGCACATCGACGTACGTAAGTTGATTGAATACAATCATGTAGTTATCAGCTGTACAACGACGTTGTAACCAGTTAGATAAATAGCTCAATAATGTTTGCAGTAGTCACTTGGATATCGGAAGTAAGCAGCATTCGTCGATAGGGGACCAATAAAATTTACTATTAATAGTAATACTTCGAAGTATTCCCCAACTAAGTACATATATCTTCAAGGACAAAAGGCAGTGTTAATATTGTATTGGATGCTAATATTGGCTATTTACTGTAACGTTAACGTTACGTATATAATCTATTCCAATGGCCACGAAAGGGTGTGTGGGTACAATACATCGGGAAGTAAGACCCTGAGGTAGGACAAGCAACTTTCTTTGGCCGGTTAAGCTTGCTTTTTGGAAACGTCTGGGAGTGACGCGGGTCGCTTGTTGCGCGCTTGGACACAGTACGACGTGATGAAGAAGTACACGAACAGCCAGAACAGCGACTGCACATACGCCATGTACGCGATGGACACGTTCAACGGTACCGTCGGGCACGACTTGTACAGGACGAGGAACCCTTGAACGTTCATGGTGAGGAACTGCGCGAGCTGGAGCACCGTCAGGTACTGCTTCCACCAAATCGTCTTGGTGTGCGCGCTCACAAAGTAGTACATGTACATGATGGTGTGGATGGCGCCGTTGAGTAGGATCGTCATGTAGATCTCGCCATCGTACATGACGCGGAAAACCAGCCAGTACACGACCCACACGGTGAAGTGGTGGTACACATGCAGGAGCGACAACTGCTTCCACTTCTTGCCCAAAATGATAAACACCGTGGCCATAAAGTCGAGCGACTTGGACGCGTAGAACAGCCACAGCACATTGCCCATGACCGGGTTCGTTTGGTTGTACGGGTTGCATGGCATGAACGTGTAATTCTACAGAAAGGGAACAAAATGTCAGATCTTAGATCGAAGGACGAGGTTGAAGTCGTGTGAATAGGAGTCGTACGTTGCGATACGCTTGGGCCCCGGCTTCCACGCACATGTAAGAGCAAATCAGGATCTGAAGAGGGTTGTAGATGAACTGCAACGCCGTGATGTTGATCGCTGGCACTCCCGCCTTCATCACCACGGTCCCCACAAGCACGAACGCCAAGTACGCGACCGCGACCGCCAACGCCGTGCTAAAGTCGGCAAGCGGCCACGACGCAGTCGCAGACAACTTGTACCCGCCGGAAGGATCCATGAAAGACAAGATGCTGTCTCCTACGGGCGTCGCCCACGCATGGTAGTCTCTCCACAACTGTTCCATGGCGGCGCAAAAGTTGAAATGGCCAAGGATATCATATCTATCCCCACACCCATCCATGGAACCAAGTCAAGTGACTTGATTACGACACACATTTTGCACCGTTTGGGATTTTTATTACTTGTGTTGTGTATGGCAAATAAAAAGAATGAATGTAGTTGTTTGAGATTACTAGGTCACTGGAATGAAAAACCGACTTCGCTTGCCTTCTGGTCAGTCAACACTAGGAAATGATGAGATGTCAAGGCTGCATATTCACGCAGGACATTCGTGTCATGGAGGATACATCCTACATGAAACCTTCGTAGGCTCAAGCATGTACTGACCTCGAAGAAAGGCAGCGCTGCGATGTTCCTCTGCAGAACGTTACACCAATTCTCCTACTTCATGACATCACACATTTGAAATGTCATCTGGACAAACCTATGGGGCAAACATCACTTTCGTTTGACCCAAGCTGTAATCATCCATTTTCGAAGGTCACAAGATCTGTCCATTCTTGGTCCCAGTTGTCGCCATGGAACGAGACACCGCCGCCGTGAATGCTAGCATGCAGAAGGCCGCTAAGAAACTACAAGATGCCATCATGGGCGTACGCAAGGCTCGTCAGAATCAACCAATGCACAGTCAAGTCAACGTCGAGGAGACCCTGCCGCGAGCAGCGGCATCATCAAGGCATGGCACTTTAACAAGCAAAGCTCTGCCGTCGTCGTCATCGTGGCTACATGACGAGTACTTGGAGTCCAGTGACAGCGAGATGGAAGAACATGACGACGTGTCGATTGGGTCGACCATGAGCGACGAAGACCTTGCCGGGGAGGACAACCAACTGTCCGCTTGCACGAGTCCGACCAAATCCACTGAACAACGCCCTCACAACGAGTTGCGCCATTCTAGTGCGAGTGGTAGCCTTCCCTCCATCAACGACAGGTACCATCCCCGTTTCTTGACGACAACTTATCTCTGCGATGACCATAGGTTTGCCGACCCCCTCCCCTCCGATCCTCGGGCCGCGGCAGTGGACTCTATGATCGACCAGATGAAGTTGAAAATGGACGAACTCTCGGAACTCAAGGCCACCATCATGCACACATTTGTCCATGCATGTGGTCGCATCGATGCGTTCGTGCGCTCGACGATAGGCCAGCCGCCGCGGCTACACCATGTCGAGGTTATGCCAGACATCCAGCACATGGACCAAGTCGTGTCACGATGGGAGCGGTCGTTGGCAGATTGGAATATGCGCGTGCGGGAAGACCTGGCTCACGAATGTCGCCGTGAAGTGCTCGGAATGCAACGTACGTCGTCATACATTAGATAGGATATGCTGAGATGCACGCAGAAGCATGGCGGTTGCAAGAAGACGTGGACCAAGACAATCGAATGCAAAGTACTCGATATAAACCAACAATACATCCACAGTCATTCAAGAATGAATCATGTCATGTGGGTAGTGGCCATGGAGGATGGCGCGGCAGTCACGTGGCGGCGATGGCATCGCAGTACGACCCTACCCTTCTCCATCTACTACCGAACTCGTGGTTGTTGACATGTGTACTACATAGGCCATGAATCTTTAGCTCCCACGATGAGGATTGAGATGCCTGCCAAGATGACACTCCAACAAGAAGAAGCCAATGAGGCCATGCACATGCACGTGGAAGACTGGCAGAGTCGATGCATGGTTCTGCACACTCAGCTACGACATGCTCGGGTAGGGTATCTGTCAAACCTGACACAGTGTCACATATTGATAAGTAGACCGAGACTGAAGCGCACAAACATGGACATGCGATGCTGCGGCTGCAATTGACGTCAATAGACGCTCGATTGCAGGAAGCTATCCACCAAGTGCACATGCAAGAGGAGATCGCCGCGCATGTCCAGTCGACCCAGGAGCACAACATGCGCGAAGTCGAAGCGCTCAACTACAAACTGCTCAATACACTGGTGGACCAAGACCGGCAGCTGCAGCTCAAGGAAGCCGCCATGCTCGAGCGCATCCAAGCCATCGACGCTGACCGCGCGCAGCTCAGATGCGAACACTTGGCGTTTGAACAGCAAAAGAAGGCCATCCTCAGCGACCTCAAGAACGTCTGCGACTACTTTTCCACCTACGAGTCGAGCCATCCGTCGTCGTCCGCCAAGGTGATATAGCTACACAGTGGTATATTCTAAACCTTGATTGGCCTGTGTATGTGCTAGGACGACTTGCGACTCGAGATGCTGCGCACGGTGGCCAAGTATTGAACCCGTCGACACGCCACCACTTTGCACGTGGGGATGGATGGTCAAGGGAGTTGATTGTTGGATGGCCATATGTCTAGTTCATGCGGCCGATGCAGTTGGGAGCGCCGCAGTCACATCGCAGCGCTTCGTCTTCGATTGGAAACTTGTAATCGTACGTGACTTCGTCGCCAGGTTGGAGCGACACCTTGGCAAAAATGATAATTTTCTTTTCGTTGCCGTCGATGCTGATGATCCGGGCATTTGCTTTTGGCTACAAAATCACATGGGCACAATTAGGCATCAAATATACATATATATATATATATATTTGCAAACCACACATCACATCTATATATATATATATACTAGTATTCACTAACAATGATAAAATATATATACGTTCAAGAAACATTTATCATCTATATATATATATATGTATATCCACTACCCATGCCTCAAACATATATATATAGTATGCAATCGAATAATCCCATCAAAACATCAAGACACAACAACGTACGTCACACGAGTGGTTGATGAATCGAGCGAGGTTTCCCGTCTGGGTGGCGTCGACAATAATATCTTTGTCCAGTCGAAACATGTAGCAACTGCCAATCCCCATTTCCTCGTACCTACATCCCCACAATATATTATTTTTGAGACTATATATATATAACATACCGCTTTTCGCGCATGTCGGCCACCTTTTGTCGAATCGCTTGGCCTTGGTACTCAACAATCATCTTGCCTTCGGCGATCGCTTCCTTGACAAACAAGCCGTAGCCGTGGATTTTGGACTTGCGCACTTCGAGACGTTCGCTAAACGGCCGCCGCCGCAAGTCGCGGTACTGCATCGGAATCGGCAGGTTTTCCATGCCGCCGTTAGCTGGCTGTTTGGTTTGGTTGGTGTCGTCGTTGCTGGCTTGCTTGGACACGTTCACCTTGCGTCTCTTGGCCACGCCATCCGGCTTGGTCTTGAGTTTGTGCCATGCAAATCCGTCCGTCCGTGCGCATCCGGATGAGTGCTGCGCGTGGGCATTGGCGACTCGGTGGCGCTTCAGGTCGTGCTTGGCGTCTTCAAACATGGCTGGGGTCGGCAACGTGTGGCAAAACGCGTACGGATATGGGTTTTGAGCGTCTTGTAAGGCCGTGGTGGCGGCGTACGGCAACGTTTCCAGCGCCGCGCCAATCACGGGCACGGTGAGCCCAAAGAAGTGGTCGCCCAGGAGCCCGTACGAGTACCATGACGTGCGATTCGTAAACGGATTGGTCGACCCGGCAAACGCTCGATGGGACTCGTATAGACCCACCAGTCGACTTCGCAATTGGTGGAGCGCATCTACATCCAAGTAAAACGATCGTCATTCTACAAAAGTGAATCGACACAATGTAGTCAAAAGTCGCTCGACCGAAGCCCCAATGGGGGAATAATACCCTAGGTGATACTAGTGTCCTTGTAATATGATCCACGTACGACACTTGGCAGTAAATACAATCCAAGGAATTTGGTATCGTAGAATGGCCTAGCCAATCGAATCGCACAAGTACGAAATATTTCAACCAATCACCGATCATCATTTCGTTGTGACCGAGCCAAACGGTCTAGCGTTATTTTCATGCATATTGAAGAAGCAAGCTTGCACTCTGTCACAGATCGAGTCTCAACACCACCACCTTGCCAAAGTCAAACACATTTCAGCGAAGAACCATCCATCCCATACAAAATGCAATAGTAGAAATCAATATAGAGAGTGAAAGTAGATTTGGACAATGTCACACACATGGTCAACCACGGCAACCCAATATATATATTGTCAAGTCGATTCGAAATTGGAATGAATTCTCAATCGAATATGAGCAGAATCACCAAATCGACAGACCATCGAAATTCGACCAATCAAAACCCACAACACGAATCAAGTGGCCAATCAAATTCACTCTTCGGCCAATACAACACCGAATTAGTGTGTGATTGAAATTAGTGTGATATTGGACGATCTTGACAAATGTCAGGACAAAGAATCGATCGATAGACTTGGCAAAGAATTAGCACAAAAGTCAGCCAAATTTTGGGCAAAAGGACAATAAATATAAACAATAATCATGATATGTACCGTTGGGAGTGGCTCCATAGATGGGGTTGTCCATGTCGTCGCACGGTGTGATCTTGAAGAGGGGGCGACTGGTGGTAGTCGCCTTGTTGTGGGAGTTGTCGTTGACAATTTCGCATTCGTACAGAGCTCGCTGCTCGACGTTTGTGGCGCTCCAAAAGAGGCGAGTGCTTCGATACCCCAGAGGGTACAGCGTCGACCGCGTGTGGAAGCTGTCGTTACCGACTTGAATCGTCCCCAGGTTTTGCACGCAGAGGGCGCCCACTCGGTAGCACGTGCCTTTGGCCATTTGGGTCTTGGTCGCCTTCTTGTCGGTAAGGGGGTCGCTCATAACAAACCGCAGCGGCTCCAACCGGGCGTCGATGGCGTCGGTACAAATCGAATCCACCAGCTCCGACACACACAAGTGCACTGTTTCGTCGACTTCGTTGTCATCATCGATGGCTCTTGGGTCGTTGATCCCCGCGCGCACGACCTCCACAGCATCGTTGTCGCCGCCGTCTTCGTCGTTGGGTCGTGCTAGTTTGCCGTCAATGTTGGCTGCTGCTGTTGCCGCCAGCTTGGCCTTGGCGTCGTCTAGCTTTTTTCGCCGCCGGTCCTGTTGCTTCTTGATATGCGCCATCCAATGGTCGTGTTGATGGCAAAATGTTTGCTTGTCCAATGTAAAATTCACGTGGGATTGTGCGCACGTAAAGTGAAAGTTGAGCTGGCAGCGCAGGCCGTGGCACCCAAGCGTCGCCCCCGACAAGTGGCACACCGAACACCGCGTCGTGCGGCCGCGGAACCGCGCCTTCTGACACATGATGAGCGTCCCGTACGCGTCTTCGTACACTTCGTGGGACCAAAACGCGCAGTTTATGTGTACCCACTGGTCGTAGTCTGCGAAAACCAGGCGCCCGCACACGGTGCTGTCGCCAAAGACGCGGCACAACCCGCACATGCGATGGTCTTGAAACGATCCAAAGTGGAGTGTGTGATCCGCCCACCCTTGCCACCCATGCAAGGGCTTGGCAACGGTCATCCGAACGACGGGGGGGTGGTGTTCTGGCAACAACACGGTACCCACTGGCTCGACTTGCACAAGATCTTGACTCGACGACGTTTCAGGGGGGGCACTGCTGCTGCTGCTTGATGTAGTTGGTTCCAACGACAACGCAAGCGGGGTTGGAGTACTAGTAGTACTAGTAGTACTAGTACTATTAGTTGGAGTGGGGGCAACGTCCCGAGCTTTGGACCGCTTGGTGTACTCTGCCGTGAGGAACTTGACTTCGTCCGCCAGCGAAATCGCATGCTTGTCCACCAAGGCATTCCACAATGCGTCTGGGATTGGGTCCCCGCTCGCCCGCACCAATGTCGCGGTGAACATGCTCAGTTTCTTGGTCCCGTACAGCCACGTGCAGCACGCCAAGAAGGCCGCCGCAGACACGGCCTCGGTCACGACGTTGGCGATCGCGCCTTCGTCGCCGCTGTTGACGCCTTCCCATGTGAAAAAGTGGCCTTTTTTTCGGTTTTGCCGCCGAAGCGCCGCCTTGGGACCCCGCGCGTACCGTTTGAAGCGGAGGTATCGACTGGCGCGGTGGCGGATGCTTACGGGGATCAGCGACACGTTAAACAAATCGCCTTGGGTCGACGACGGGTACGAAAACGAAAGCCGCCGCCCTGCCAACGACTTGAGGCATTCTTCGCCTAAGCAAACCCAATACATGATTGTCGTGTCGAGAGAGATATGATATAGGGTTTGAAGTGCCAAATATGGCGCAAGAACGAGCACTAGAAGGAACCAATCAGGTTGTAGGGATAAAACACATCACCAATTAAAAACGTTCATTGGTGTAAATATATACATATATAATATACCCATGTTGTGGTGTCCAGAAGAAAATCGAGCCAATCAGAATGTAGAAAAGCATATCTAAGTCGTGTATGACTTTAATTAGTGTGATTTTGACAATACCCATGGTCAGTTATTTACATCAAAAAATTAGTACGACGAATCGGTCGATGATATGATGTGGCGAATCAGCACAAAAGTCCACATTTTGGGTAAACGGACACTAATTAGTGTGCTAAGCACTCCTAATGCATCATGTTCGGTACTTCGAAGTATGATGTATAATAGAGTGAGTGCCACATGTGGCTGGTGAAAGGGCAAGAATGTCATACCACGCATGATATTGCCAACTCGATTCGAAACTGGAGCCATCAGCAGAATCAAATATCTTGGGTGAATCGATGAAAGAACCGCCTGGGCCAATCAAATCACGTCATGTGGAATATATTCTGCCAATCCAAGCGTTTGATCCTTCCGCATTGGGCAAAACCACATATATATACTAATCTATGTATAGTATAACGCGTACAAGATTAAACAGGATCAAATAACGTCGAAAGGTATTTGTCGAAATGACTCTCAAGCAATGCACAATATATATATATAATATATACCTAATCGCATCGTGTACAAGTAGACGGGACACCGGGCCCGCCAATGCGCCCACTGCCTCGTGGTTTTCGCGTTCACTTGCTTGGCCTGCCACGTCTCGACCAGATCTTGCCGTTTGTTTTGAATCAGCGCAATGTTCATTTGAAGGTCCCACGCTTTCTTGAACACGTTCAGGTGCTGGCGTTGCTTTTGCCGACATACGGGGCAGTAGTACTCGCTCGTCGAGTCGTCCACGAGCACCGCGAGCGCGTCGTCCGTGATGTGGTCGCAAACAGGGTGCACCCATAGCTCACACCCGTCGCACTGGATCAACGGTTCGGTGGCCATCCACTTTTTACTGCACACAGGGCAGCAGTCGGTCGATCTCTTGGCCGAGGGTTTCTTCTTGGCCAAGTCGTCGATCTTGACCCCGAGGCATGTCAGACACGACGACGGCGTCGAGCTCCACGTCGTCTTGTCTTGGGGGACGCTGCACGAGTCGCATTGGATGCAGCTGCCGCAGACAAACCCGCCGGACGGGACGTCGCGGAGCTTGGGCTTGAGGCAAAATGTATGGAACCCTCGCTCACAGACCTACACAATATCGTGTGTGCCTATTGAGTCGTCCCCATGCAAAACCACACAGCATTCATTCACTTCAAGAGTACAGTGTAGTTTCGTACATCGCACACAAGCAGCTTGGCCTCGTCTTCTTGATGGCACCGGCCGCAGAACTCGCAAATCTTGCAGTTCGGACACCGCCAATACTCGAGGATCTTGTCGCTTCGTTTCGCCTCGAGGTCCAGCGCCGGCTGCAGACAAAACGTATGAAACCCTTCGCCGCAATCGACGCAAAACACCATCGCGAGCGTCTGCCCCGAGCTGCAGCACACTGCGCACACGTCGACCCACGCCATCTCGTGCGCTTGTATTTTGGACTGCGTTGCGACCACACTCGACACGCACGAGTACGGTTTGGGTACCACGGCGAGCTCCGTGGGCACGACAAACGTACTCATCTCGTTGACAAGGCTGGCCTGCACGACCTTGTCCGCCACTACCACCACTGCCGACGACGTCGACGACGGCGGCGCCATCCCTGGCTCGACCTTGATCGTGTCGGCGGGGATAGCGGCGGCGTCGGTGGCGTGGGTCTGGCTGGACTCGACAGTACATTCGTCCGAGATGACGACAACGACGTCCTTCTTTGGCTCTTCCTTGTTGGCCAGCACGCTGTTGTTGGGCAGTTGGCGCTTGGCCGCTGCAATCATGTTGTCGGCAAACTTGCCGGGGACGAACCCCACACTCGGCATCGTTTGCCGGACGAGGCGCGTCCCGGCGTTGAAGAACCGCCACGCTTCGCGCCAAATGGTGAAATTGCGCTCCTTCGAGTTGAACGTGACTGCGTTCAGACACATGAGCTCGAAATCGTCGCGAAAGTCGGCGCACAGCGCGTGGACGTAGTGCTGGTCCTTCAAGTTGTTTTCCATCGTTTGCAAATCCATGGGGTGCTTGATCACGTCAAAGTACGTGGGCGCGATCGCGACCGTCACGGGCTCGCGAAACAAGCCGAGCTTGTCTTCTGCGACCAATGCTTTGAGCAAGCGAAAGCACCGGATGCGGCGACACGTGTAGCACTCGTACTTGGCCAAGATGCGCGGGTCGTACGTCGATGCAAACGCCAACGTCCGCGCAATTTTGTCGTCCGCCGCGCGCCGCCGCTGCTTTTCCGTCAGCACCTCGTCCGTGTCTGGGGTCGGTGCTGTAGAGTCTGGCGGTTCCGACGGGTGGCTTTTGGTCGCCGAGTCGTCCACTTGGTGAAACGCCAGCGGGGGAGGATAGTCCTCGGTATGGTACATTGGGTCCGGGTCTGGCTCGCACTCGCTGTGCACCCACAGGTCGCACGTCGTGCACTGCATGACGTCGGCGCAAAAGGGCATGGCGCCTCCTCCATACACGCGGTGGCACACGGGACAAAACGACTGCGTCTTGTACAGGTCATGACAGGTCGTACAGAGGGTCACGGGGGTCAGCGGCAGCTTCCAGCGATGCCACGTGTCGGTCGTGGTCGGGGACGCGCAGCCGTCGCACACGAGGCACGACGGGCACACAAACGGGGGGTTGATATCGTCGACGAGGATGGCGCCGTCGACGGGGTCCACGAGCGGAAACTCGTTCTGGGGGCAGTCCACACACGACCGATGAAACAGCTGGGCGCACGACGCGCACGGAAGCAGTAGCGCTTCGCCCATTAATGGAAACAAGCACTTGACACACCGCGTCACGTCCGGCTCGACGCTGGTCGCGGTCTTGGCCAGAAGTTGGTGCGTGTCGTCTTCGCGGAGGACAGCATGTGGGTCGGCATACCACTGCATGGACAGCTCGGCATACGTGCAGTCGACGAGCAGCGAGATGTGCACGTCGTCGTTGACGGCAAACCACCGCGACGACGACCCTTCGTCCGTACACGAGACAAAGTACTCGTGTGTGACAGGGTTGAACTGGGTGATGGTGCCGTGGGTGAGGCCGTCGGTTTGTTGCGAAAAGTTCATAACTTCCACGTGCTTGCCAATCCACGTCTTGCCATGCAAGCGCTTTTGAATGTCCCGCCGCAGCGTTTCTTTGGCATCGACCACGGTTTCCCGCGCGAGATGCATCTCCTCCTTGGCATCGTCCACCGCGTCTGCCCACGACGCGTTCGACGGGTCACAAGCGTCGGCTTCAAACACGTCAAAGCACCGCACGCTTGACATGGACACCCACGCACACACGTTGTCCCCGCCGTACAAGTACACGAGCGTCTTGTCGGTTGGCTGCATGTGCCGCGCGGCCACGTCGTTGGTGCTCATGAGCTGCGCGGGCCACCACGCGTTCGGCTGGTCTAATTTCACAAACACGTTCACGTGCTGGCTGTAGCAATACGGCATCTCGTGCAGTGGCAGCCACTGATCCGTGTCGTCTAGGAACTGCACGCGGTGGAGCAACGTGTGCGGGTCGAAGAAGCCCACGCGGCCGCTCAACCACTGCCCGCTCGACGCCGCCATGTACACGAGCACCGTGCGCCCGACCATTTCGTGCATGGTCCACAAGTCCACGGCGGCAGTATCGGCGACGGTCGACGTGTCCGACGCCACCGCCACCGGCTCGGGAACGACCACGCGAAGAGGCAATCGAGTCCGTTTCGGCGCTTTGTGCTGGCCGGTGGCCACGCGACGGCATTCTTTGCACGACGACTCGATGCCCGGTACCTTGTCGCATCGCACGCACGTGGGTTCGCCCCTCGTACGTCGCGAAGATGTCTTGCTAGTTGAAGAGCTCTTTCGGTCGACTTTGGATCGTTTTTTATCGACTGGGGGGGGGGCAGCCTCGACTCGACCTCGTTTCGACGCCGAGCGCAATGGAGTTGTCCGAGAGGGGGTGCTGGCGGTCGACATGGCCGCCGCGGCCCGTCGTGTGATGGAGGATGTTGTGGGTGGTGCAGACACGTCGTCGTCGGCGACTGCAGCAGAGGCGTCGCAATGCTGGCAAAACCAATCGCCTTTGGGCAACGACGACATTTTGAGATGCGTCATCGAGAACTCCCCTTCGCAGTTGTCGCACAGCACGACGGAGCTCTCTGGCAACGGATTCGCGAGGGGCTGGATGATATGCAGCGCGGGGTTGTTCGACGCGGCCTTGGCCCGCCGCTGCCCACCGCTAAAACATCCAGGACACGACCACTTCTTGCGCAAATGTGGCTTCATGCACAACGAATGGGCCGACGTCTCGTGGCACACAGTGCATGACAAGACGTGGATCTCGGGAATGCTAATAAGGCCGCATCGAGTACACACGCCGTTCGATTGTATGCGAAACGTCTCATCCGTGTCGACGATTTCTCGACATTCGTCGTCCTAAGTGATGCATGTGAGTGCGACAGTTTCCAACAATCGATGATCATGCTCACATTGCTTCGATCTGGTTGCTGGTGTGTTATGGATGTGGGGGGTGGCTCGCGGTTCGCCTACATGCGGTCAGTATGCACAGATACAGTCATAAGTACCTCGTTATTGATGTCGTTGGACGCAATTTCTTCGAGTGGAAGCGACATCGACGAGCCTTCCATTTCAGTCCACCATTCTTCGTCTGCATCGTCGGCCTCTTCGTTGAGTTTGTTCACAGCTTCGGTCACAAGTAGCCCTTTCTCTTGATTCAGGCCTTGGCATCCCGAGCATTCCCACGGTTCCGATCGGCGGCGTTTGTTTCGAACGCACGTTCCATGGAACATACCGCCGCATGACGTGCATAGCCATTCTGCAGGGTCTCCCTCCATCACAACATGGCGGCATTCTTCGCAGGAGCGCAGCATCTCCGCTCGATCGCCCGCTTGAAGGAAATCCCGCAAGGTTTTGAATCGATTTGAGCGAAATAAAAACAAACGGGTGTTCCGTTCGTTGAAGGACAACACAAAATGCGTAATATTTTAAAAGCCCATAATTTAAAACATATTTCTAAAACTCAGCTGAAAATGGATGGCGTTGATTGGCCCAATTGGAAAACCGCACAACCAGAGATCCAAAAAGCGCGCGGGTTTTTTCATTTCACTTTGTATTTTCTCGACATTCCTCCGGACAAGAAGCAAACGCGCCGCCACGACGATCACATGGAAGGTCCATGTCTCGTTTGAAGTTGGCGCAGTGGCACCCTCGTACGGCATGGAGTTCATTCAGCATGTGGAACGCTGAGGCGGGGATCAGGTATGGTTGACGTTGCTCGCGCTGTGTTTTTACGTTCGAGGTATGTGACTCCTACCGAAGTTCCTCTTGAGGCATCGCGAGCATGCGCCTCCCATGGGGAATGTCTTCAATATTTGGTGTCATGGATGCCAAGGGGCGAGACACCACCACAGTTTTCCGCACCATGTTGTCGACTACATCCAGCGATACCATGGCCTTTTCACCGTTGCGAAACACGATCCAGTCGCTGCTTTGTGGAAATTCTTCGAATCTTGGGAGGACGTGAAGGTACAGCAGGCGTAATAGCTCTGCGCTCAGTGGATGAAAGAATGTGGCGTCGTACAAAGGCCGACTTTCCGAGGGCCGTGCGGGGGCGGGCACAAACGAGGCGAGTTTGGCTGCCTCGACAACACCCGCACGCGCGGCAGCGATGTCTCCAGGTTGAAGCAGCACATCGACCTTGTTCTTCCTCGATCGAAACGACACGGCTCTGGTGGTTCGATAGTGAGGGGTGCACACCGCGCACCATCGTTGCGCGTACATGTTTCGGACCTCGTCAGCCAAATCCACTTGGAACAATTCGCTATGCAGGTCCAGCACTTTAGCGTAAATGTAGTCCACCGTAACTTCCCCACGCTTAAATTTCTCCACCTCGTGCCACGCCAATAGCAGCTCCGGGGCCAGTTCCATGCGACAGAATGTCAAAACAGCCGCGTAACCTTCCGACGTCGACAAATACCGGTAAAACACCTTGTAGTCGAGCTCATCGACCTTTCTTTGGAGGCGTCGGCGGCGGACGCGCATCTCCCGGTGGGTTTCCACGGTCAAGTACGATTGCCGCAGTGGCATCGTGATGAGCATGAAGCACAAGGCTTGGGTCCCATGCATGACAATCATGGTGCTGGCGTAAAACTCGTCCAGAAACTCAGCGACACCCAGCAGCGGCAACAGCGACGTCAAGCCATAACCGGTCAGGCATATTGCACTGTACTTGGAAATGGACAAGTACGTGGCACGGAGGCCAAAGTTGTCCACGACCAGGCTGATCTTCCGAGTTAGTCCCCACGAAATAATCGTCATGGCTGTCACTTCCAGCGACGAGATAATGTTCAGGGTCTGGGTGACAGGATGCACCCCGTTGATGAGGTCGTTCGATGTGAACGTATCCGGCAAGAACAAGAGGAGGTGCAGGATTGGGGCGACCACGACGGTGCTGGCTGTGAGCCACACCAGGATTTGTGCGCGGGGGTAAAGCAGCCACCGGATGGACTGCACATGATGGATGATGGACTCGAGCTTCCGTGGCCGTCCGTGGGTCCAATAGCATTTCCGTGATGGCGAACTTGACCACAATGATGCATTGACTCAGGATGAACGACACGCCGCCAACAAGAACCAGCGCTTTGGAAATGAAGATGCGCGAGTAGATGTCAATCGTCACGTCGTCGTCAAAGCACACGATGGGGGGTAGCGCAAGAGTGTACAGTGCGAGCACGACCCCAGTCACAGCCGCCATTCCCGGCTGTCGGTACTTGATCGCTGTGTGGTTGCTTCGATAGACAAACAGGACAAGTGCACATGGAAAGTAGAGATGGAAGACCCATTGCACGAACACACACACAGTCGTCGGACGAAGAAAGTGCATGCCACGCAGTCGGTTGCGTTGTGGACAGAAATAGCCTGCTGCCACGGTACGGCAGTTTCACGTTACAAGGTAGTAGTGACTGACCTCAAAGGACTTGTATACCATTAGTATCGTTACAGTGAATCGCAGTCACCGATCCATCGTTAGCCATGCATAGTAAGTACTGGAGTAGTCCAATCGTTTTTGATTACAAATGTGTCGTTTTCATGGCATGCAAGCTGTAGTGTCAGACGACATGGAGCTGGACGGTTTGAGAGGTAACGACAAGTTGCGGGAAGCCGACTTGGTCGAAGGTGTGGACGACGAGCGCTGCAATAATATCGGAGTACTAGACACATGATGATTGTTGTCGGCGCGGGACGCACACCCGCGACATATCACGACCAAGTCCCCGCCAGGGGCCGCACATTTGGAGCAGTAGGACATTTTGCACTGCTTGCACTGAAGGCGGCGCCGCAGGAGCGTAAACGTCTTGGTGCATGCATGGCAGCACGGACCGTTGTCGAAGTGGTCGTACAAGAGTCCCTCCAAGCGGTGAAGGGCCACGACGAGTTTGTCCATCCACGATCGATGCGGGGCGGAGGCTTTGGGTTGGTTGACAGTCATTGTCACCCGAACTCGGCCATTATCGATGGCTTCCACCAAGAAGCCCCAGCTGGAAATCCGTTGTCGGGTCAAGCCCAAGGAATCGAGGGGAGGAACGCCGTCTAAATCCACGCTCTCCCATACGTGGCACGCTGTGAGGAGTGCTGGATTGGCTGGCGTGGTCTGTGTCTCCTGGCGCAGTTGGTCGTGATCACGTACATACACGTCGGCGTATTGAAGGAATACGTAGTCTCGATCATTGAACGACGTGTGCGGAGCTTGCAGCGCCATCCATGTCACGCGCATGCGCTCGTGGGGCCCTCCACTGGCCAGCGACCGGAGCACGTACCCATCGAGGAAGACCTCTCCAAAGAGCGATCGCATCGCATGCATGTCCTCGTTGTGTCCCAGCAGAAAACGATGGACGTCCAGCACTTTGCCATACATTTCGACGCTGCCCTGCATCCACAGCGTATCGTCCACTTGAATATGCGACGTCATGACGTTCTTCGTCATCGTGATGGAGTTGATCTTGTGCACCCCTCGACGCAACTGTTCGTCAACACGAACCCGACCAACGTGGGCCAACTGCGACTCAATGTACGGCGTCACAGCGGGCGCAAACGCCTCTAGCACTTGGCCATATCGCCCGTGGTGGTGTCTGCTGCTGTACATTGACCAAATGGGTGTGTCCGACGCGCAATCTGCCAAAATGATACTACAACACACCTGGCTTCACCAACAACGACCAAGGTGTATGTTGTATGCATGTATAATACTAGTACTACTAAAATAGAAAGTACTACATACTTTCCACAAATGTGTGTCGTACGACGAAGTATATATTGTCCAAATAGCGTGTGTTTTGATGTATATATTGGACTATTAATACGAGTACTGATTGCGACTAATACCAGTAGAAATATACTATAGTGGTACTATGAACAAGATATCGAATTATCACCCTAGTTTGTATAGGACTAATATGACTGTGGCCATCAGGTCACAATTGTGGTGGTCGTCGGCCCGAGAATACGTATGTCAGTCACCTCACAAAGGGTCTCTGGGTCGCAGCAGTCATCATCGGTACTAATGTATCCTTACAGGGAAGTACTACTACAGTATACAAGTCCTAAACAACCCATCTAACGCTAGAGGTGACTAGGTTCCACCGCATAAGCACAAGTACTACTTGCAAAGCGGATTGGTGGTAACGTTAGTACCAAGGTACAGTAGCATAAAAGCTCACTAGTATATGATAGAGCAAAAGGAGCGATGCTATTCCCCCTCAAATTCTCCCACGCCACCCCCTAGCATTCATTCGTGTTATATACACTACCGCATATTTGAACACGTCGCAGAGGCAGCTGGAATGGCCCTACGACGTTGCCTCTGGAAATCTAGGCGAGTTTGTGATAAATGATGGTTGGTCATTCTTGTTGGCCGCGTCCTGCTGCAACGATCAGCGTATGATCAGGAGCGAGTTCTGTACCTTTCGCATGGCAATCTCATACATGGTCGATCGAAATGGAATGGACAGCGCGCTCTACAGAACTCGCCAATGAACCCCGCGCCTCGAATTCCCACCACGACGTACCAAATTTCGCTCTGCTGTGGCAAGTTCTTGTGACAGGGCAAGGACTTGCTTGTTCAGAGTGCCTAGAAGGGAGTTTGTCTGTCCAATTGTAAGACACCACTGATACGAGTGTTCGTGGAAGGCATACCTCATGCAGACATGAAAGGAACGTCCCCATGGCCTCTAACGATTCGACCTCAACTTCATCCATCTTAACTGGGCTGAAGCAATAATTTGAATAGTCCAATCCCAGGCGCGAATGATGAGAATGGGCACTGTGATTGGTCAGTTGAGATAAACCTTCCTTGTGATTGAAAATTAATACTACGTAGTATAATACTTCGAAGTACATTAAAAAGGATAAAAAATCATTGCACGGTGGTCAGTTCATTGATTTGCACGACGGCTCAACCACCTTGGAGAAGCAAAAGAGAAGCACAACCCCGTGTGTAGATCCTTTTTATGCACGTGATGACGAGGAATACAGTGTAGGTACATACCAGTACGAAAATTTCATCCAAGGTACGTCATCTTTCGTTTTGACCCGAAAAACTGTTTCAATGAGATTTATATGGAACTTTGTATTCTCAGACAACCTTGTAAGTGCATCTCAGTGGTTAGCGATAGCTAACCACTGCAGTTAACCCTGGAGATTTAGCATCGTGTGTACGTACTCACCGGAGGTAGGACGGAGTCCCAGGTTGGAGAAAAGGTGTATCCGGATGTATTAATAAAAATTCCCTCGTTGAAACAGTATTTCGGGTCAAAACAACAGTGGAACTGTTTTAATGAGGGAATTATTCTTTATTTGAAGAATGACGCCGGAATGATCTGTGTAAGAACTGGGTTATCCGGACGATTATCCGTTAATTCGATGTTCCCCAAGAACAGACAGTTTTCGAGTGGAATTCCTCGAATAATTGGCTCCATCCCCCAATACGGTACAAGTTGTCCGAAAAGGTAAGTACTACTGTAGTACTGTACTGTAACGTTTCCAGTAAAGTTTCGGAGCTCGTAAGCGATACAAACTACAGTAGTAAGTACTGGTATGTACTACTACTGTAGTACGTACATACAGAGCGATTTCAATGAATTGGAGAGGTATACTAGTACTCCGGAGTATGTATTAATATGTACATCCATATTTCATGGCCGTTGCACCAGGAAGGTTCACACGTTCGCTGGACGTCGTTGTTGAAAGTCAATGAAAATTCCATGTCCATATGAAGTTGTACCATCGGGGCGATATGCAACCAACACAAGAAATGCATGGCACCAGTACATGCATTCAAGGCCACCAACGTGCTTACTGTGCCGATACGCCCAAGCCATAACATTGCCCGATTTATCTGCTTCCAAAGTTTGAGCCCCATCGGGAATTTTGAGTGAAGGAAGCAACTTCCTCTTCATGGCCGCACATTTGCAAGTGGTACCGTGTCGGGCGTGCCCTGTGTATGTGCGGCGGCGGACTGAGTTTTTTGAGAGGGGGTCACATAATAGTGACTACAGTACACTGTACTACAACTGTACGTATTCGTACTAGTACACAGTATGCTGTAGTAGTTCTTTCAAAAGATATCAAGTCTTGCCCCATTTTTGTTTCGAACGTAAAATAATTCAAACTCCTCCCAAGGGGGGCTGTCGGGAAAAAGAAAATGTCCGCGACGATATTTTGGTAACGTAACTAAATTCCAAAGTCGTAATGTGATGGGTTTACTCCTATAACAATGCCAGCACATGGCGAAATTGGCTGGCCCCAAGCGGTGTTATCTTTGCCACAACCACAGCGTGTTAACATTGAAAGAGCGCCATTCACTCTTTCGCCCGCATCTCTCCAATTCAATCAGTAGCCATGACACAGCATGGTATCTTGATCATAAAGGAACTACAACGCACTTCCCTGTGTGCTTGTTGTTTCATACACTATTTACCTGCACCGTTGTGGGTTCAGCTATGGTTATCTTGGATCTGTCCCATTTCGTCCTACCTGAAAATCTCCCTTGTCTCCAGTTACGCTCCATTCTTGTGGGAATTTGCCAAATGTTGGAAAACGTTCATCCCAATACACATTGACTTGGGATTCTGAGGCGATCAGTGGGCTGTAAGTGGCGCAAGCACAACTTCTGTCGCCACCAGCACAGTGTGAACCATATGTCCAGTGGATACAAATATCAAGTCTAAATTGCTGAAACCGGATCGAAGGCTCCAGATGGAGGAGGCGGGGCGACACTCGTATTTGAGTTTGGCGCGCAATTATAATAAAATCTTATTTGCGTGTAGACAGAGACTGGTGTATTTTAATTGTATGCCTTCGGCGGGGAGACATTTCTTAGTCAAGTGAAGCTACCACCAGAGTGGGTCCTTGGCATTATTATTCAATCGGCAGAGAAACATTTTCGTAATTGTTGAGGACAAGGCATGACGGTGCCGCCGCTGTCGGTCGAGACGATCGACTTCGATGAAGCAAACATGGAGCATCGCATGAGTTCGTACAGTAATGCGACCGATACCACCGAGTCCTCTGATGAGAACTACCAAGAAACGTGGCTCGAATCGGAAACAATGGACGACCTCATCTCAGGCAAGGTGTTCCTCGACGAAATCGACGTCAAGGATGACTTGGACGGCGGCGACTGCACCACCATCAACCAATTGCACGATTCTCCCCGCCGCGAACGACTCCGATCCAAGACGTACTCGGTGTGCAGCACCAACTCCACTTGCAGTTGCGTGTCATTCACTGCCAAAGAGCGATGTCTGTCCGACCTCAGTGCATGCATGGACTACACGTACCTGAATTCCCCCGCCCTCAGTGTGCGTGTCATCGGAACTGCCACCGTCGGCGGTTTACTGCTATACAGCATTCGCGCCGAAGATGAAACCAACGGCACGTGGACAATCCAGAAGACGTACAAAGAACTGTACACGTTGTACAAGCAAGTCAAGAGTGTGTCGACGTCTCCAGTGGACACTCCGTTCTGGGGAACGCTGCATGCGCTTCGCAAATGCCGCGTGCCGAAGCGTCTTTTTCGTCTCAAGTCGCGCAAGTCGATCACGTGTCAGCGAATGGTGATCATGGATTCGTTCATTCGCCAGACTGCGATGATCGTCCAACCAACGCCATTGGGCCCTCAGCGCCGACAAGTCCTCGATCTACTGCGGGCATTCATCGGTAAAAGTCCCAATTCCACCGGTCCGAAGCGCACCACGGCCGAGTATCTCCTGCGCAAATCGTCCTTCATGCAGAGCGCGTCATGCACCACGTGTGCGGCGGCGTCGGAGAAACCGTCGGCTACGGATATCGCCAAGGTGATCTCGACGGCGTTCGATTCCCATCTTGCCGCGTCCTGCGAGTCCTTCATCGACCAATTCACCCACCGCGCGGCCACGCTGTATGTGCCTCCGGCCAAGAGTTTGTTGGCGAAAAAGTCGAGTTGCCTCGAGACCCGCATTTCGAAAGAAAACGCAGACGCGATGCTCGACTGCATCAAGACGACCATGGCAGACTTCAAGGCGCAACTGGTTGACGCCCCGCCCGTCGTCGAGTTCCTTCGCTCGACGCGGCTCAAGGTTGTCGACCCCGAAGCATACGAGGAGGTATCCCAACACGTTCGTCGCGAAGCTACGTCAATCGTCCAAACCCACATCTACGTGGCTCTCGAAGACGACATTGCCGAATGCTTGCGGGGGGTCGTCCAGGACACGCACGACGAGGCGCTGGTCCGGAAAATGCGCGCCCTGGGAAGGAAGCCCCAAGCGTGGTTTGGCGTGAAAGCCGACTTTTCCGACGACGATTGGATCCACGCACGGACCGAACTCGGCGCTATGGACCTGTGTACCCTCCCCATCGACAAGCTCAAGTGCATCATGAATGCCGCCATGGGCGTGTACCAGACGGTGGTCGAGTCGCACGGCGGCGAAGCCAACAACCCCCCGTGCCTGACGCTGTCGGCCGACGACTTTGTACCGATTCACATTTACGTTGTGGTCACGAGTCTGCTGCAAAACCCGCTTGTGACAAAGGAATTACTCGCGTTGATCACCGACCCCTCCGACCTCACGGGCAAATTGGGGTTTTACTTTACCAATTTCATCGCCGCAGTCGAACACATTGCCCAGCTCTCCGACACGGCCCTGTAGAGTGTGTGTACTACTATTGTTATTTATTATTAAAAGAGAATACTATTATTATTATAAGTTATGATGAACCTTGTACTATTAATAGTAGTTACTACAATTCATACGTAGTACTCCAGGAGTACAGTATGTACTACTGTACTACTTCGTATTAATATTGTGAATTGGGCCCAAATTTGCTGAAACAGCACAATTCAGCCATTGAATTGAAATGATTCTCAAATGAATCCAGGACAGTTATTGGTCAAAACAAACACATTTTTCGGCAAATCATTTTGGTCTTGGTGTGGCATTTTGCATCATGGAGGCTGTAGCCACACGACAACATGCCCATCCGAACACTGTCTACCATTGTCTTTACAGGTACTATCACCTCGGGTAGGGTTGCACCGACGGGGTCTGACTATCGACGCGATGAGCTGCAGTACGAACGCGCAGTGGATATGGCGACACTCGGTTGTGCACAACTGGCTGTGCAGGAGTTTGGACAATGCCTGGGCTTTCTTGGAGAGATCTGCGGAAGGGTGATTGAGATGAAGCGGAGTGACGCGAGGAAGCTCCTTCACTGGGTGACTGCGTCGGCGTGACATGTGAATTCCCCTGTGGCGTGATCGACCATTTGGCGTTTGGAGGCGCTCAGAAACCCTTGCACACATCATAATTATAGGTTTTCCAGGAAGTTTCATTCGTGGCGCGATTTGTCCGTCGCGATTGAACGAATCGCGCTCGGAAATTTTGAGTAGAACTCACAATAGTATGTCGGTACTGTATTGCAATCGCATCCCAAGATGCAGTCAAAAGAGTAAGCTTACCGGCAAACTGTCAGAATTTCCACCTACAGTTAGTACTACTATTAATACTACTAGTACTACTACTGTGCAGTCTTGTGAAAGTGCAAATTCGTCCAACTATTAATGCTTCGAAGCAGCTAACAGTAAAGTCTACTCCTGGGAGTATTAATACTGATTGTTCTATTACCCTGTACTCCAGTAATAGACCGTTGGTGGGTGTGACAATTCCGGAAATAAGTTGCGAATATTGTTGTTTTTATGTGCTGTTTTTATCATGGCTTGCAGGAAATAACCCAAATAAAAACGCGGATACTATTAAATTTCGCAGGTTTATGTTAACAGTTACTCGGGAGTAACTGACTGTAAGGAGCTGCATACGTTTGGTTGTTCATGTAACGTTAACGGGCGCAATTTCGTGCCTGCTCGGTAGGTCACAAACCTGGTGCGATGGATGCAGACCTGACCGAACTGGAACAGCGCATCCTTGAGGGCAACACAACCAACTCTGTCGAACATGTACTACCGTCGTCGAGGTTACTCAAGTCGTCTGCCACGCATCAAAGCACCAAACTCCTCCTCCCGACCAACTCGACAGCCACTTTAGCCCGGCCACAATGTCCGATCCTTCCGTCTCCGCGGCTGCAACAGTCGAGCAGCACCGTCCTCTACACTTCTTCAGTCGCGCAATCGTCTTGAGCCCGTGCCAACGACCTTCCCGGACACGAACCCGCCCCCTCCCTTGCATTCGAATGCATCAAAATCCCACGTTCAAAATGCGAGCTTGTCCAAGCTCATGTCTCTTGGCCCCAGTGTCAGCGAGCGAGTGCTACCTACACTCAACCGAGCCATGACCAAAGGTACCAGTCGCCTTCTTCTTGTCCCTTCTTCCAACCGACGCACATACAGTGCGAGACTTTGGACGGCGATTGAGCCACGACTTCGACACGAGCCAGATCTTGGATGCGTTGGCACACATGAACTCGTCCCACAAGGCCAAGCTCGCCGAGAGCCAGAAATGTACCGACTCCAAATTTGGAATTGACAGCTCACACGATTTAACCTGTGTGACATAGCGTTTGTGTTGTCTCTGCATTCGCCATGGAAACCGTACTGGGACGTCCTGCAAGCCGTCGCCGCCGTCTACGCCATCGTGCTGACTCCTCTCCAGCTCGCGTTTCACGTCTGTGACATCGTGCCCGCCCTCTTCGTGATTCAAGTCGTGGTCGACACACTATTTGTCGACTCGGTCCTGCACTTCAACACGACCTTCATTGACGCCAACTCGATGGAGGAAGTGTTTAACCGACGCCACGTCTTCCGGCATTACCTCGTCGGCGCGTTCGTCACGGATTGGTTCACAAGCGTCCTGCTGTCGTATTTCGGCCACGTGTCACCGTACATTGAGTGCCTCCGGTTCGGCATTCTCTGCCGGGTACTGAAGCCCAGTTCGAAGTACCAAATCTGACTGATATTCCTACTACTACCTATTCAAGCCTAACTGATAGGAGTATTCAATACTACAGTAGTACTCAATAGACTCATATGAGTACTAACGTTACTCAATACATACCCAACCAAATCGCCGAGTAGATCCGTCGGCTGGCCACAACACACCTGCTTGATAAAATGCTGCGTAGTGCACATCAACCGCGGCATCGTGCGCTTGGTGTATTTGGCTGTGGGGTACATAATGGTACATCACTACATAGCGTGTGCGTACATCGTAGTGACTATCAGCGAAGCCGGCAACGGCACCACGCGGTGGTATTTGCGTTTGAAAGCTGTTGTTTTGCCATATCACTCGGGGAATACACACATATCGTGTAGGGACTCTGCAAGTGACTTGCCTAATTCGGTGGCCGACCAGTACTTTCACGCGTATTACGAAGCGATTACGGTCACGGGCGGCGAGTCCATGCAGCCCACGACGTCCCACGAAGTATTTTTCAGTGGCGCAATGCTGGTCGTAGGCGTTATGATTTCAAGAGTGGTACGTATACAAAACCCAAATCTATGACGTGGCGCCGCCACCACAACCCACCATCCTGACGACGGCGGCGATGCATTCAAATAGCACGGTGGGGCTGTGCGCAGGGGTATTTGCCCAGATCCACCACGTCGAAGACGACTGTGTCCAGCGCACCGACGCCATCCATGCCAAGCTGAAAAACTGCCACGTCGAACCAGCCGTCCAGAGTGGGATTTTGGACTATTACGGCTGCACCAAGGGCGAAGAGGACGTGTACAACGCGCTGAGCTGCTCGCGGACCTGCCGACGACGCTGACCCTCCGGCTACAGTGGACGTTGCACCAAGCGTTTATGCGGAAAGTGCCGTTCTTTCAAACCCTCGAGCCCGAGGGGTTGCTCACGTTGTTGCAGTGCATGGAAGAATGGGTGGCGTTGACGGGCGACGTGATTATCCGTGCCGGCGAAGAGGTACACAAAACCAAGGGGGGATAAATATATACTTCGAAGTATATATATATATATACAATTGGGGGGAATCCCAACTATCTATGACCGATTTTAGAGCCAAGCGTTTACTTGATTCAAACCGGCAGCGTCGACGTGTTCTTAGCAACAAGACGCGCATCTTGTTGAAACATGTAGGGCCGGGCGACTTTTTTGGGAAAATGAGCTTGATTGGCGACGCAACCGCGGGGGACGGGGGAAGGAGTTGCCGCACGACGGCCAACGTCGAATCCACGTCGTTTTGCACGTTTCAGTGCTATACAAGGAATTGTTCCTGGTCTTGACGACGCAGAATGAACAGTTGAAAGCGTTCCTGACTCAGGCGCGCGCCCAGCGGCTGGCCGACGCCAATCACAGCAAACTCAAAGCCAGTGCTCAAGAAGACGAGAATGTCCAGTTAACCCTTCACAGTATGCAGCGCACGGTGACCACGGCAACCCTAGTGCGCAACGCGATCAAAGCGATGAAGCGTCTTGCGGCGCGGCGGCGGCGCCGGATGGCCGTGATGATTCGACGGATGACGCTGTCCGTGCCTAGGGGGATCGAACTCGACGGCGCCAACAACATCGCAGACAAGAGCACGAGCTTGCGATCGACCATCAAGCACAACACCCTGCGCCAGAACCAACACGGCGAGCCACACAACGAGCGGCCGCCGCCGCCGATCCTCCGAAACCATGCACCGCGCCCAGACTGTCAACCTGCTCCTGGCGGTGCGCGGGAGGCGCGAGGTCAGCATGGACGCGATGGAGTCGGTCAACGCCATGTCCCATCTGACGACGAAACGCGTGGCCGAATCCAAGCGTGTGACGCTGGTCAACATTAGCGCCGGGCATCGGGGGCCACCCCCTTCGAAACCATATTCCAGGCAGATTGTTTATCAACCAATATGAAAGCCAAAGTTGAAGGTTCCCAAAACCTTTCTAGTTTGGTTCAAACCAACGACCGACCACCTCCTTTTGAGGAACCCACCCACCCCCACAACATCAAGTGGCTCACATCCTTCGTACATCTTCACGTCACACCATGAAGTCGCCCTTTTGGCGTCGCTATACTTGCATCCGATTTCCTTGCCAACTAGTGTAAAGGTCCTATCCTAGTCTATGTGTTCGCCGTAGATCGCTTATCCCCCTCTCATTTGTTTGTAGAGGCCTACTACACACAAAACTACCTTCCACCCGTACCACGTCGCCCATATACATGTATACATGCTGAGAAGGGGGGGGAGTTTTTTGTCGTCATAAGTTAAGTTTCATTCGCCCGGTACAACATGTTTTCCTTGGTGATGGACGTGGCGTCGACCATGTCCTTGGCGGCGATCTGGGACATCTTGGTCACGGCCAGCAGCGCCCTCGCGCTCATCTGACGCCCCTTGAGCATGGACAAGAGCATGTGCGCGTTGCTGAGGGGCGATGCGCGCATCTTTTTGGCCGCCCCCTTGAGCCGCGACCCCTTGGGACTGGTTTTCGGTTCTGCGTCGACCGGTGGGTCGGCGGCGATTGGTGGGGAATGGATCGAAGACGGCGACGGGGTGTCCGCCGCGTGAATGGCCATCCCGTCGGGACCTGTGGGTACCGGCACTGTTCCGTCCGGAACGAGGCGGGGGGGGACGTGGGAGATGTGCGACGTATCTGACCGTTGAGAATGGTTGGACGTGTTTGAGTGAAGGTTGTCTTGACATCGCGAGCTCAGGGCCTGGGTCCGGTTGATTTGCTGATGGTGGAGAAGCATCACCCGCCTCGCCGCTTTTCGCATGCGCACCTTGCGCAGCATGATCCGCATGCGCTTGGGCAGGACTTTGTTGGCCAAGTAATGGATAACGCCCACTTGTTGGGTCACTTCGCTGACCGTCGAGACCAGCGACGCGCGCTACAGCATGGAAGAACGTTGGTACAGTACATACATAGGATGATAATATCCTTCCCATGTATGTTCAACTATATCCTACAAACTGGAACGAGTAGTACAGTAGTATATAGTTCACGACAACTTGGACCGAATGTGCCAATGTACAGTTCGTACATACCCGGACAACAGTTTCAGACGTTTCCATCTGCTTGACCCGGGAACGTTCCCAGAACGTTCGCACTTGGTCGTTTTCCCGTGTGATCCATTGAAACATGTCTTTGTACAGCACCAAAAGCACGCAGAACGACGTCGCAACGACGCTCGCAGATGCGACACCGTTGCGAAGGAGCGACATTTCTCCAAATGAGTGGCCAGCCTCCATTTGTTTAATCGACACGTGGCGCCCGTTGGAGTCATCGTACACTTCGACACTGCCCATCTTGATCATGTAAAACGCTCGGCCCTACCAAAGGCACATTCCACATTCGTTTGTACGAGACGTCGTCCGCTACCTCTTCGCCGGCGCGGATGATGACGTCGCCCGACATGGCCACCGTCTCCTCGACGCACTCCATCAACGCGACAATCCCTTCCGGCTCGAGCGTTCGAAACAGCGGTACTTTGTCCAAAAATGACTGGTTCAGGGCCACCGAGAGCTCGAAGTGCAACTTTTCCGGCATCCCGTGAAACATTTCGGTCGCATGATGGGCGGTTTCGCGGCCGTGCGCGCTGTCGAAGAACGTGAGCACGCGCTTCTGGAGGTCTTCGCCGGCGTTGCAGTGTCGCAGGGTGTTGTGAATGCACTCCTTTTGGTGGACCTGTTCGTCCTCGACCTTGTTCATTTGGGCTAGAACGCTGGCGCAGATCCCCGCGACGCTAAGACAACGTCGTCACAGGATTGGTGTAGGATGATGCCGTGGCAGGCTACCATGCGTTGGCGAGAATGCCCACGATGAACATGGCGGTGCCCCATATTTGCTCGGCGCTGGTCACAGGACCCAAGTCGCTGCCACTCGTCACCAGGAGTCCGCGGTAGTACGAGCTCACGTACTTGACGTCCAGCGTGTCGTTGGCATCAAACGGGACCGTCCTAATCACAATATATATATGTATATAAGACATATGCATGCGTGGTCTTCCTAGCGCCCAGAATATAATGGGCCAAGCAAGAGAGACACACCACGCGATATATCGGACGACAACATACCATTGACGGTTACTGGCATCGCGTTCATAAAACACGAGCAGGTAGAACGAGCACGCAATGTAGTGATGCAGCAGCAAGTACATGGTTGTGAGCACCACGAGCCGGACAAAGTACGACGTGAACGTCCGACTGGCCCACGACATCAAGTCGGCAAACGTCGGCGACGTCGACAACCGGAGGATCTACCCCAAACACAATCAAACACATCCAAGGGGGATTGAACGACTAGTTAAGCAACCGCAACTTACGCGGAGAAACACGAGAAGACGGAGGTACGCGAGCTGGGACTGCTGGCACGACGTGCCAAACAAGTCAGACGGCACCGACCCGAGGCAGTCGACCCAGAACCACGTCGTCAGGTAGTGCTGCCGGATACGCGCCACGTCCACCACTTCTTCGAGTGAGACACTGGACAGGTACGACGTTCGAAACGTGAGGATGATGTCGACCACAAACACAATCTCCACCGTGCGCTGGACACTCACGACTCCGTCGTACGTAGTGCTCAAGTCAAAGCACACGTCCATCGGCACAACCACAATCGAGTAAAACGTCACCACGGCCATCACGGCGTCCCACCATACTTTCATGTGCGAATGGATGGAGATCACAACTAGGCCGAATCATCAGAATGGTGCGAATCAGACGAATCAGAGCGCGTACATGTTTGATGGTCCTGGGCGAGTTTGGAAATGTAGTTGGTCGAGAGATTGTTGAGCTCTTCTTCCAGCTGGCTAGCGTCCATGGTCACGCCATTGCGCCGGTTCATCGTCATGCTTCGACTCACGCGCTTGGCTACACTGTGGCTCAAATGGCATAGTCGTTGTTGCAACGTTTGTACCTTTCTTCACGACGATGGACACTGCTTCGGCTGCGCGTTTGCGTGCTTGGATCTTTTTATGCAGCTTCTTGGCCATCTTCTTTTCAAAGTTGACGGCATTGATCACGTCCATGATGCTCGCGGGTTGGCGGCCGCTACTGCCCGACCACGGCGACTTGGACAAGTCCGACAGCCGCGGGGCAAGGACGGCGGCGGGGGATGGTTCAGATTCTTCCGGATCTGCAACCGGTTCCTTGACCGCCGGCGTACCCGTGAGGGGAGGACGTGTTCGCGGTTCGAATGGAGTCACAAGCGATGGACGAGATGTGAGGAAGGGCGAGTCATAATGCACTTGGTCCATAGCTTCCTCAATGTCCAGGTCCGCGTTTGTCGGAAGCGGTGCCGCGAGCATCCGCGGTCCGCCTTGGAGCTTGGTCGACGACCCCGCCTTAGCCAAGTTCAAGCGGGACACAGCGCTGGCCAGCGATCGCCGCGGCGGCGGCTTGCCACCCTCGTCGGCCATCGTTGTATGTAACTGGTCGAGCCGTTTCGCACTGTCTTGTAACCACTAATGTAACTGGTCGAGCCGTTTCGCGCTGTCTTGTAACCACTAATGCAACGACGAAACGGCCTTGTCCACACCTAGAGACTGCTACCTCGCCTCACCAATGTCATCGAAAGTCGGTCATAGCTCGAAATCTTCGTATCGCGAACGACGGTCGTGTGTTCGTGAATTTCATGAGGAACAACACATCACAGCGCTTTGAACTGGGCCAATTAATCACATGTACTGTAGTGATGTACTGTACATACCGGTACAGTACTGTGACAATTAATAAAGACTAGAAAATGAAGCCAACCACCTGAAACTTCGTCACTGAACAAGAGGAGGTCTATTAATAGAAGACCTCTTGTACTGAGGCCCAAATAGGAATTTTAGCCATACAACACTGAAGGTTAAATAGATGTCAACAATTGGCATACCATTTTACAGAGGTTTGACATGGATCGCCCTGAAAATTGTGATAATATAGGATTTTTCAGGATTCAAAGACAATTCCTCCATCACGAATTAGACTCCCCTTATCATGTGAATACTATCACAACAGTATTTTACACCAAATTTTGACTGACTGTGAATTGACAATATTATTAACAGTCACAATACTTGAATTTGTAATGTTAATATTACTTGCATTATTTATTCTCGGCCCACGAAGAAAGTGTTTTGATTGGCTGAAATCATAGTTCTTAGTGTTTGATTCGCTTACATTAAGCCAATCATCAATCGCTCACACAGTACGATCAACTCGGTATTCTTCGACGACTTGTACTGGGAAGTCATGGACGCGTACAAGGCGATGGATCATGCATCGACCGTGGAGGAACCTTTCCTCCCCGGAAGCAATCACGTGTCCTTTGAGAGCAAAGATCGAGTGCCCGCGGCCCTGTTTCTGGCCAACGTCGTCTCCGTCACCTACATGGCGGTACACATGCCTTCGTCAGATCGTATCTTCGTCTCATGGGACTTGTAGGTTGCTTGGGGCGCACCAAACTTGTCCAAGTTCGACTTCACTCCGCACAAAGGGCCAGTGCATGACATCGATCCCGCCCGTTCCCAAGGCATGAGCTTTTTCCTCGTGTCCCTTGCCATGGGGATCGTCGGCGCCGTGTTGTCCGCGGTGTGGTTGCAGGCGCTTCAACTGTACGCCTCGCGCATCATCTCAGTGACGTTGCAAGCATCCGCGGGGGCGCTGGCCGTTGCATCGATTGCGGGGTTTGCCGAAGCAGGTAGTCCATATCCCTACGCTGCCCTTTCTTCACCCGTTGTCGTAGGAATCGCCGGTCGCGCCATCGGGTTTGCCAACCTCTTCCTGGCGGCGATGGTCGCCATGTACTACTTCAACGTCCGCCATCGCATTCCGTTTGCTGCCGCCAACTTGACCGTCGCCGCAAAAGTCCTGCAGCGCTTCCCCCAGGCACGTACATATGTTCTCAAAATGCAATTCCATCGTCCGATCTCACGATGCACTGTCGTAGGTGGTGCTGGTGGCGTACGCTGCAATTGCAGCGCAAGTGGCATGGATGCTTCTTTGGACCGTCGCTGTGGTCGGCGTATGGGCCACGTCCGACTTGTTGTCGTCGTCATCGTCGACGTTGAACATGTATCTCTTTTTGATGTTGCTCAGGTACTGTGTCTTCGAATTTTCGCAATTATTTCGCGTATATTTTCGTGTTTTTTCGTAAAAGTCGAGGTGGTTTTGGGTGTTTTTACCCGTTTCCGTAAAGGTTTCGTCAAAACAGTAGTCAATTTCGTCAAACTTCCAAATTTCGCGTGTTTTGTCTAATCAGTAGGATTGCATCACGCTAGAGTTCTTCTGATTGGTGGAATATCCTGTAAGAGCCAATCAAATCCACTCAAAGTTGGATTAGCCAATAGCGTCGATTCGTTCGATTCGACGGGGTTTCTTTTTTTTTTTTTTTTAGAAATATATGTATTTTTCTTAGAAATTTGAATCGAATCCGCAATCCTAGTAGTTGAATCATCGATATTTACAATTCCCGTTTTAGTTTATGCTGGGGACTCCACGTCTTGCGCAATATTGTGCACTGCACCACCGCGGGCACCATCGGTATATATATATATATATATATATGCATACACTCTCTCTCTCATTGTCCTGTTTGTGTTTTGCCCTTACTTGGTTGCTAATCAACGGTGGTGGTGGCGGCGGCGTCGTTGCTCAGGCGAATGGTGGTTCTCTATCGACACGCACCACGCCGTGCGTCGGTCCGCCCGCCGCGCCGTCACGTCGGCGTTCGGGTCCATCTGCCTCGGCTCGCTCCTCGTGGCGGCGCTGTGGGCCCTGCGCCTGCTGCTGCTGACGACCAAACGCCGCAAAGGCGGGGGGGCCAACGCATGCCTCGAGTGCATCGCGGGGGCGCTGGACACGCACTTGCGCGCGTTTAACAAGTTCGCGTACTGCCAGGTGGCGCTGTATGGCAAAGACTTTCGAACGGCGGGTGCCGACACGTTGCAGCTGTTTCGTGAAAAGTACGACCTCCCATCATGTAGTTATAGATGTATGGGGTGTGCGTGCTACCAGTGTGAAAAGCGGCATGCATATATATATATATTGTCCTTTTCGCCAATTATGTGGACTTGGCAGAGCTGCTTGGAGAATCGAGATGTGACTGATTTGAATCTTATTCAATGTATGCCATACATATATATATATATATATATATTTAGATGTACTTTTTCGGTGGGCCAAACAATGGGGATCGATGATTGGTTTAAATTTCACAATTGTGTGCCATGATTGGATATATCGTTCTAAATTATATTTGCCTAATACATTCTATTTTTTTCTATGGAAAGTCCAAATTGGAACGGAAATGGACAATATATATATATATATATGATGTGGTTGGTATTTCATTTTGGTGGGAACCAATACATTTGGTGTTTGTATCGATCTATTGGTCAGAAGCGATTGTTCGAGGACATCTGGCATGGGATTTCGTACACATGTGTGTGGCAGTTATATTGGATATTTGTCCAGTCGCAATGTGGATAATATATTGTTCAGGGATATTGTACATCTGCTTTTGCTAGTGAGTCCAGTATCATAGCATGACATACACTATGTACTTGACGTATTCAATGGATGTATTGTACGACCGATAGAGGATACACGGGGATCGTACAAGAAAGTTTGGTGTCAATGGTGTTGTGCATGGGCAGTCTTGTCGTGGGTACGTTGCTGTCACGACCATCTGTTTCGAGGCCATTTGGAAAGCAAGGGTCATTGGATATGTAGGCGCGACGACGGGGGTCGTGGGCGTCGGGTACTTGTACGCGACGATGGCATGCTCCGATGCCGAAGGCGCGGCCCTCTCCCCTCAGGAATGCGGTATGTGTCTTTTCTGTGCATTTTGATATGAGGGTCCTACTACTAAGTGGTACTCTAGTACTTCTATAGTACTACTACTAGTTCTAAAGGGAGATTTGCTAGAAACGTTCAACGTGGTGATCATGGCGTTCGTTGCGTGCAGTTCGATGGGGTACGCCATGTGCTCGGTCATGTGTTCGACTCTGGATTCGATTGTGGCCACGATCTTTGTCTGTTTTGCCGAAGTACGTGAAATGCGACAAATATATATATATTAGCAATGGGGTATAAGGTGAATATATATATATATATATATATATTAGGATCCGGTGGCGCTGCACATTGCCAATTCCGAGGAATATGTCCAGCTTGTCGACGCATGGTACGATCGATGTATAGAAAATCGTGTAAAGTACAACTTTTGCCACCATAAGTGTGTGTAGGCGCCAGTTTCACCCCGAGTTGCTCACTCACTCGACGTTTTCTACGTCTGTCATGTACGCCTAAGTCCGTACATGGTCGATCGTTGCTTGGTTTATCCCACGACCTACCTATAAATATATATATATACATACTTGATGCATCATCTCCGAGTTACTCTATCTACTGTATTCCTTAGTTTCGTACTTCCAAGTTCTAAATAGTACTTCCAAGTACAAAATAGTACTTCTAAGTACTAAATAGTACTTCCGAGTACAAATAGTACTTCCGAGTACAAATAGTACTTCCAAGTACAAAATAGTACTTCCAAGTACTATTAATATATAGTACTACCCCATAATAATGAGCTCAACACAAACACCATGGAACCAACCAACCTCCTGTTGGAATCTATTCGTATGGTGTATTTGGGAGGGTGGGGAAATTTCCTCGTCGGTTTGTCCTCGTCTATTTCTCCTTGGGCAAGTTGCCCAACACGACGTCGAACGCTTTTTGCTTGAGCTGTTCCCGGGTCATGCCGTCCTCGATCGCGATGGGTTTCCCGATGACCAACTTGACCTTCCCGAGGCGGTTCCATGTCCACAAGTCGTCCGGGATGATGATCGTCACAGGCAGCACGCGGACCTTGGCGCCGATGGCCAAGTCGAACGCGCCATCTTTGAACGGAAGGAACTCGGTGCGTCTCCGCGTGCCCTAGATTATAAAGATTGGGATGATCATTGGGAAGATTAGTGGGATGATTGGGATATTTACCTGGGGAAACACGACAACAGACCAGCCATTGGCAAAACGGTCCCTAGCCAGCTCAAACATGCGCAGCACACTCGTCTTGTTCTTGCGCGTCAACGGCACGTAGTTGGCGAGTTTCATGAGCCATCCCGCGCCAGGAATCTACAAGATGGGTAGGACGACGACAAAAGATTGGGAAAATTCCCCGTACGAGGAAAATGATGCTCTTGGACACCCACGAAAAGTTGCCGCCCAAGAAATACAACGACGTGATGTCCATCATGGTCTACATGCCGGCAATGAGAACGAGAATGGGAACGTGAGATGGGAGCATATGCCGTCTACCTGGTGGTTGGCTACGATCATGTACCTAGTTGTTCTCTCACACGTGAGTCGACAGTGCGCGGGATGAGGTTGATTGACGACTTACACTTCGTCGGGGTTGGCGTTGGGTCGGCCTTCGACGACGACGGGGCCGAAGAAGAGCACGTGCAGACTACGCGCAACAACCTGGCACGTCTCATGCGCCACGATGTGCAGTTCGTTGGGCGCGAGCACGAGCTTCAGCGGCAGCACGAGCGCGAACTGCAACGCACTCACAAGCACCCAGAAGAGCCCGAAGAGGAGGATCTTGCCGTGCGCGATGTTGGCAAAGTGCTTCTTCTCTTCGTAGTAGATCATGAAGACGGCCACGGATATCACGACCACGGCCACGACGCCCGCGTAGACTTGCCACATGACGAGGCTGGTGGCGATGGTGAAATGCCACCAAATCGATGACGAAACAGCATTTGGTTGACGAGAACGGCGTTGATTGGTCAGATTTCCAATCTGCTGGGCTCACACTATTAATATTCTGGAGAGTAGCACACACTATTTCAGTATTATTTTTCGAATCTTATTATGATCACACTATTAACCTTGTGTTGTATTTAGTGTGATACCGATTTGTGTATCTGTCGGCGGCGGTTCAGTTTTCGTGTGAAGGGGCACGACATCAGTGGTCGCGGCGTCAGTAGACCCTTCGGACGAACGAGAAAGCGATGGCCGAGCTAGCGCAAGTGGACAGCGAATGGGTGTTCGACTTTGTCATGAACTTGTTCCAGTCGCCGGCGTGGGAAGTGCCCATCATGAGTTTCATCGACGAGAACTGCGCGAGTTTCGACACAGACGACGAAAACAAGTTCATCTACTCGGACCTCCACGGTCAATTCCGCGACACAGGTACACACTCGTCTCAATCTTCCGCTCATCTCCATCCTTGCTCATGCACGTCTGCAGTGGATGGCGTCCTCACGGCCAACTTGGCTGAGATCGGGATCACGCCGTCCGACTTTGCCGACATCTGCGCGAAATGCCGCCACTCCACCGAGATCAGCATGGCCGTGATCAACCAAATCCTCGCTATCGACGACTTTCTCACGTTCAAAAAGCTCATGGTATAAACCCGATCAAGCAACGACGACGTTCATCGGCATGTTGACATGGTGGACATGGCTAGGTCAAGCGCAACTTGGAGCTCGAGCTGGAAGTGATCACGGCGGTGCGGGACGAGAAGGAGCGCGCGGTGGCCGTCAAGTCGGCCTTGGAAGCCGAAGCAAAGGAAGCGGTGGAAGACGAGGCCAAGGCCGCCGACGACGCCGCCGCGCAAGACGACTTTTCGAATGTCGAAGACTACTGGATGGAAATGGACATTTTGTACAAGCAAGAAGAGATGGAGCAGGCCGAGTTGGAAGCCGCGATCGCCTTGTCCATTGCCGTCGAGGAGGAAAGGTAGCTGTTTGCTTCACCAAAACATATCACTTTGACACACGGCGACTAGGTTTCGGTTGGCGTCCGTGCAGCTCAAAGCGGCCGAGGACAAGCATGGCGGCGGCGGTGGCAAGACTGGGCTGGTGGACCTGGAAGAGGTCGAGCGGGCGGTGCGTCGCGGCAAAGAGCAGGCGGAAGAAGTGTTTAAGCGCAACAAGCAAGTCCTCGACTCGAAAAAGGAAAAACACAAAGAGTTCCAGGAACAAGCCGAGATCTCCGACTTTGAGATCCGCAAACGCGCGGCCTATTTGAAGGCGCAGCGCGATCGCATCCTCGATAAGAAGAAGAAGGAGCGCGACTCCAAGCTCGAGTCGTATCAAAAGGAGCTCAAGGCGTCGGCCCCCGAGCCAGTACGGGTCTTGTCCTATTCCGGGGGGTTATATTTGTAGCCCCATATCCATGTGAATTCTTTGTAGCCCCATCCATGTGAATTCTTTGTAGCATGTCGATGGTTATTTGTAGCATGTCGATGACTATTTGGAGCCAACCATTGTGATAATTGTGATGGAAATGTGTAGCCGCCAACCATCTTGGAGCGGATGCAAGAAGGACCGGCGCCGCAAGAAGCCAAGGAATCGGAAGCGGAAGAGCGCCGCAAAGCGCTGCGCATTGCCTTGGCTCGCCGCATGAAACAGGTAATATCATATATATATATATATTGCAATATTGTTGTTTATGACGTGTACATGGTAGGAACTGATTGAAGCCGCGGACGACAAGCTCAACCAATCCGTCCAACCGGTGCGTGGTCTTGTCTACTTCTTTCAATATTTGTTCACACGCTTGTCGTCTGTAGTGATATATATATATATTGATTTTTTCTACGACTAAACGTATATATATATATATATATTAATGTGTGGAATTGTTTCTTGAAAATATTCCTATTTTGTCACTAGCTCACGGATTTGGACGAAAAGCTCAAGCGCGTGGAAGATTTGCGCAAAATCAACCAAAAAAAGGAAGACGCGACCATGAAAGAGCTAGAAAAGCACAAGCGAAAGCAAAAGCAACCTGCCTAAGCCAAATCCCTACTAGTGCTCGAGCATACACAAACTATCAAAATACATACATATCCCTTCCATATACTTCGGAAAAAAAAAATATATATATATATATATAAGGTTATAACGTTCTATCGTTGCATTTGTACTACTACATACTTCTAGTAATACTACTAGTTCAACGCAGGACCCTGTGATAACGTCACGAGGTGTGACTTCCAAGTCAACTACGTACGGTGACGTTGGCACAATCCCACACCCATACAGTACCTACAATCTCTCCCTCGTTTCCTATACAGTATATATACTACCGTAGTATAAATATATACTATTAATAGTATGAATACTACGTAGTATTGTCGATTTGATATACAAATATTTGGGGAGCGGGTGCAATCGAATCGTTGCGCCGACCAAACCAAGATCCACAATCGATCTGATTGGTTGAATTTCATTGAGAAGGTTTTGATTGGCTAATTATTTTGAGCTCATCGGAGGTAGCCAATCAAATCGATTTAAATTCCAACGAGAAACCACATCACAATGAAATTTCACGCAAAAGCACACAATTGTAACTACTACTACTACTGTACTATTAATAGTACTATGTTAACTTACATACTGTACTACATAGTACTTTTAGTAGTTCCATAGTATAAAAAAGGACATGTTAGTGATGAATACTTACTCGTAGTCCTCGTCGTGATATATAACCATCTCTGTTAATGAAACGTCTTGTTGGTTTTGGCCAAGTCTTGGAGCAGCGGCGCCGGCGTAAACTGGTCGCCATAGTTGTCAGCATACCGAAGCAGCTGGTCGTTGAATTTCGCCGTCCCGATGCGGTCCACGTATCGGAAGGGGCCGCCTAGGAAGGGCGGAAACCCAATCCCAAACACTGCGCCAATGTCTCCCTCGGTGGGGCTGGCAATGATTTCATCCTGAACGCACAAAATCGCTTCGTTCACAAACCGCGAGATGAGGCGGTTGGTCGCGTCTTCGTCCGACAGCTTGAGGTCGCGGGTCTGGTACTTGTGTACAATCGCCACCGCTTCGGGGTTGATAGTCTTCTTGCTCTTCTTGTTCGTAGGCTGAATGTAAAACCCCTTGCCCGTCTTCTTGCCCAGAAACCCCGCGTTAATCATATCTTGAAAGATCGCGGGGTTGCCGCCCTGCATGCGCACGCCCAGCGCCTGCGACAGCGTTTGGTTGACATGCGCACCCACATCCACGCCGACTTCGTCTGCCAGCGTGATCGGACCCACGGGAAGCCCCCACTTGGTCATCAACTTGTCCAAGCGCTCAATCTCGACACCTGATTCCACCAACGCCAATGTTTCTGCAATATACGGCCCCAAGCATCTACTCGCCATTATAGTGTCACATATACCATGCGACAGGGTAAACACTCGAGGCCGTGTCACATATAACTAGTATTGTCGATATATTCGAAATCGGAGTCAATCGGCAGACAATCGAGTGACCAATCAAAACCCAGATCACTCGTAAGTAGCCAATCAAATCCAATCTTTTCGACCAGTGTGTAATTAGTGTGACACTGGACGATTTGTACATACAACAGTCAATACAATGAATTGATAGATTTCGCGAATATCAGCACAAATTTTGGGGTAAAAGAAAGACAAAATAGGATCTGTCCCATGTTGTATACTACATACCGGTTCACGTAAAAGCCAGGAACGTCCTTTACGACAATGCACGTTTTGCCCTGGCGCAACCCAACGTCGACCGCTCGTGCCGCCACGTCATCGGACGTGCCAGGGTGCCGAATGATTTCCAGCAACGGCATGCTTGGCACAGGGGAAAAGTAATGCATTCCAATCACATTTTCTGGCCGTTGGCTCGCCTACATGTTGTTCGTGAGTGATCATCACAATGTATCCCCCCCTTTTAGCAATACACTCGAGCCAGATTGTCCAGAAGTTATCTTGTATAGTGTTGATTCTAAGCTGGAGAATGAATCAAATCAACCAAATAATGTACACACGAATCATCGGCAGAACGATATATATTTAGCCAATCAGATTGCAGGAAACCATCACCACCATCGAATTAGTGTGCGTCTTCAAATAGTGTGATACCAATCACCACACGACACCTTTTTACATACAACATTCCGTACAAACAAGACTCGATAGATTTGGCGATATTCTGCACAAAAGTCAATCAAATTTTGGGGAAAAGGACAATAGATTTGGCGATTCTGCACAAAAGTCAGCCAAATTTTGGGTAAAAGGACAATACAGCAACGTCGTTACCTTGGCGATTTCAGCCACGCTGAGCGCCGACGTGTTGGTCGCAACGATACAGTCGGGATTCAAGAACGGTTCGAGCCCTTGAATGACCTTGTGTTTGAGCGAAATGTCTTCAAACACGGCTTCAATCACCAAATCCGCATGCTTCATGTGGGCCTTCCATACTATATATATATATATATAGTAGTTACGAATACACCATCCAATCATGGTAAATAGACACAAGCGAAGAGAATAACGCGGGCAAATAGACTCCCCCCTATGCTTATGATTTTGACCCAAACATATACCTTCATCCTGGTCACTCAACGGAATCACGTTCGACATGACAACATCGCGGTCGTAGCCCGTCATGCGGCGCTTCTTGACGCGGTCGTCCAAGCTCTTGCGGACATGGTATTCGCCCTACACACCCGCCATTCATTCGTTACATGTCTCAAATGTCATACCTTGGCGGCGCTGGCAGCATCGCGATCTTTCAACAGCACGCGGATGCCCTTGGTCGCCGACACCTGCGCGATGCCCGCCCCCATGAGTCCGGCCCCGATCACCGCCATGGTCTGCACGGGCTTGGAAGGTTTGCCGTATCGGTTCTTCTTCAATTGGGTCTGGCCAAAGAAGATGCTCATCAACGCCTTGGCTTCGGGGGTTTGGCTCAACTTGGCAAAGTTGGTTGACTCGACTTCAAACCCGTTCGAGCCAGCATACCCCGCTTGCGCTGCTTCCAAGATGAGCTTGGGCGCGGGGTAGTGGCCGCCCGTCTTTTTGGCCACCATTTCGCCGGCCTTTTGAAACACAATGCTGCGCAGCGGCGTGTCCTCCAACAGTCGGTTGACCACACCCTTGGCCTTGGTCTTCTTCTTCGTCTTGCCGGACGCCAGCCCTTCCGCGGCGTCGATCGCGGCGTTCTCGAGCGCATACGGATCGGCCACCTGGTCGACTAGTCCCAACTTCAACGCCTTGTCGGGCTTGATGTTCTTGCCCGTGAGCATCATGTCGAGGGCCGCTTGCAGGCCCACCAACTTAGGGAGACGCTGGGTGCCGCCGGCGCCTGGCAGCAAGCCGAGCATCACCTCGGGCAGCGCCAGCTGCGTCTTTTTACCCGACGATGCCACGCGGTAGTGGCACGCGAGCGCGACTTCCAGCCCGCCGCCCAAGCACGACCCGTCAATGGCCGCCACGAACGGCTTCTTGGAGCTCTGGATACGATTCATGTACACTTGTCCGTTCGACGAGAGCTTCTTCACTTCGGCCTCGGACGTGGCGGCTTGCAGCTGCGCAATGTCGGCGCCGGCAATGAAGCAGCCCGGTTTGCTGGAGATCAGCACCACGGACTTGATGTCCGCGTCCGACTCTACCTTGTCCAACACCGTCACGAGTTCTTTGGTCATGGCCGCGTTCAACGTGTTCACCTTGGCGGTCTTGTCGTCCAGACGGACGATCGCGACGCCGTTCGGCCGCGTCTCCAAGCTCAAGCAGTCACCGCTAAACGTGCTCACGAAGCGGCGGTGGATGCCGGCGGTGCAGCGGACATTGCTACCCTTTCGCAACGCGTACCGCACAGCCATGAATATGGACGTTGATGGAGGGACGGAGGAATTCGAAATGGAGAATCGTGGGGTATCCCATCGCCTGAAACCGTTGACGTGACACTGTTTACAAAACAGATCTTATATCCACATTGAAGTTACTATAAGGAAGGTTTTTTGAAACGTCCGCTACATTGGCAACCCCAAGGTTGTGTTTCAGAAAGACATTCGTCTGACAGGACCCCTGTACTGGGTAATCTTAGCGTAACCTTTGCTCTCATTCTTCGCCTTAAGTTGTCGATGGCAATGCTGTTTGTTGCCAGTGTTGTGACTGACAAATACTGGACGTATAAACTGTTACAGTTTTCCGCTCGATTGAGACGTCCGCTACATATGCTTTTAAAAATCTTGTGCAATGTGATTGGTCGATAATTTCGGATTTTGACCGTGCAACGGGCGTCAGGCTTCCAATAAAAGTAATATTGTGCTTTCGAGTTGGAAGTTAAATTGATTTGATTGGCTACCTCAGATAAGCTCAAAATTATTAGCCAATCAAAACCATCTCAATGAAATTCAACCAATCAGGTCGATTGTGCATCGGTTTGGTATTGCACCCCCCTCCCCAAATATTTGTATCAAATCGACAATACTACCGGTATATTTATTGCGACGTTATCTAATGTCGCAATGCCAGTGCGATCTCCCGTCTCGGGGTTATGGCGCTGCTTTTGTGCCTCTGCTCCATCGATCGCAACGATACTCCCAAGCGTGTTAGCGTACTCTACAGCATCACGCTTACACGCTTGGGAGTATCGTTGTCTCCCTTGCCCATGACATCAACCCTATGCTGGCCGCCACGGCCCTGTAAGTGCCCCCCTGTGTATGAATGACTTGAATGTGCTCTTGGCCCTGTACCTCCATGATCTCTAGACTAGAGGTGGATGATGTGGTTCTTTACGGCAGCGGGTCACGAACGCTATGGCAAGTTGATGCAGGTGCGTCGGTCTATATATCTTGATCGCAGGCACCAAGTGACATGCAACCATCCCATCCCGTACAAGATGGCAATAAACTCGTCTATACACATAAAGTGCCTTGTTGTTGGAAACATGTTACTTGGGTCCGATCATGTCTTCGGGGCGGACGTAGCGGTCAAACTCGTCGGACGTCAAGTACTCGAGGGCGAGCACGGCTTCCTTGAGGGTCGTGCCTTCGGTGTGCGCCTTCTTGGCCGCCTTGGATGCCTTGTCGTACCCGATGTGCGGGTTGAGGGCCGTGACCAGCATGAGCGAGTTCTTCATGAGGCGGTCGATCGTGTCGCGGTTGGCTTCGATGCCCACAACGCAGTTGTCGGTGAACGCCACGGCGCTGTCGCCGATGAGTCGGATGGACGAGATCAGGTTGGAGATCATCACGGGCTTGAACACGTTCAGTTCAAAGTGGCCGTTCGACCCGCCCACGGTCACCGCCACGTGATTGCCAATCACTTGCGCACACACCATCGTGATGGCCTCGCACTGCGTCGGGTTGACCTTGCCGGGCATGATGGACGACCCGGGTTCGTTCGCGGGGAGGTTGAGTTCGCCGAGGCCGCTGCGGGGCCCGCTGCCGAGGAACCGGATGTCGTTGGCAATCTTCATGAGCGAGCATGCGATCGTGTTGAGTGCGCCGGACGCCTCCACGACCGCGTCGTTGGCCGCCAGCGCTTCAAACTTGTTGGGCGCCGTCACAAACGGGAGCTTGGTCTCGTCCGCAATGATCGCTGCGATCTCCTTGTCGTAGCCCTTGGTGGTGTTGAGGCCCGTGCCGACGGCGGTGCCGCCCAGCGCGAGCTTGTACAAGTTGGGCAACACGGCTTCCACGCGCTGAATCGAGTACGCGATCTGTTCGCGGTACCCCGAGAACTCTTGGCCGAGGGTCATGGGGGTCGCGTCCTGCGTGTGCGTGCGGCCAATCTTGATGATGTCGTCGAACTCGGTGACCTTGGCGTCGAGCGCGGCATGCAGCTTGCGCAGACCAGGAAGCAACACGCGGTGGATTTCCAGGACAGCCGCGATGTGCATGGCGGTGGGGAATGAGTCGTTGGACGATTGACCCATGTTGACGTGGTCGTTCGGGTGCACGGGCGACTTGGACCCGAGCTCGCCGCCCATGAACTCAATCGCGCGGTTCGAGATCACTTCGTTCGTGTTCATGTTGGATTGGGTGCCCGATCCGGTTTGGAACACCACCTTATATACACATGCGTTAGCCATTGAAGGTGACAGGGAAGCGACGACGATGATGACGACTACTCACCAAGGGGAAATGGTCGTCCAACTTGCCCGCGATGACGTCGTCGGCGGCCTTGATGATGTTTTCCGCGATCGCCTTGTCCAACTTGCCCAATTTCAAGTTGTACTTGGCGGCGCACTTCTTGACAATGCCCATGGCCTTGATCACTGGCATCGGCATGCGTTCGCGGTCGCCGCCGATGGGAAAGTTCTCCAAGGAGCGCTGGGTTTGCGCGCCCCAGTACTTGGACGCGTCCACGTCGACCTTTCCGAGGGAATCGGTTTCCACGCGGACACCGGCCGCGGTGGACAGGCGCGCCACTTGGCCGCGGAAGAGCGCAGACGAACGAGGCAGGCTTCGGGACAACATGGTGGCGATGCGATTCAAAAAGCAAAAGTGAAGTCAGCCACATCATTTGATTGAAAAACCGTGGAATCCTATCGACCAATCCGATTCACGAATGCACCTCCCATTCAGCCAATCAAATCGCAGGAATTAAGCAGGACCGAATAACAAGTGGAGGCGACGCATCAGCGTAACGGCGCCAAGTCGGGTTATCAAGCTACGGTAGTGCTTATGAACCTATGCTCAGACCTTTCGTCGTATTTCTCTTATACCCCAAGCAGTTCTCGTCCACACGTTGTACTGTACTGTACTGTAGTCACTGACGCTAGGATTCCAGTTTTAACGCGTTTCATTGTGTTTAACCTATAAAGCCAAGTTTCCGTTAATCCAGGTCGATTGCCAATCAAAGCATTTAACGTGCTATTCTAGCACCAATGGCATCACGCCAAGATTGTACAGTAACAGCAACGGATACTCTCTCGTACGTAACTTGACAAGACGGGATGTCTATTACATGTGCTGCATCTTGATGCGCGTCGATACGACCATTTCCTTGGCAGTGTACTGGGACATCTCGTTAACCGCGCGCAGCGCGCGCGTGGCTGTGTTGCGACATCGGTTTGCATGCATAAGCGTGCGCATCTTGGATGCCAGGCCCAAGCTCATGTGTTTGGCTGGAGGCGGTTCAGCCTGGACGAAATGCCGACTCATGGTTTCGTTTTGCCTCGAGGAGCTATCCATCGACTCCACCGTCAACCCTACGCGTTGGATCATCATGACCCATCGCGCCGCCCGACGCATTCGTATTCGCGCGATCAACGCCGCCATCCGCCTCGGTACGAACGTGTTTCGTCGTTTGATAAGTCCTTGCGTGGCCTTGGCCACATCTTCTGCCATCGTCACATGCGACCGCTACCAGATTGATTCCGTGAATAAAAACGGTTTTAAACCATGGGGTTTTGCGTACATGCCGCGCCTCGGTGGCTTCGTTAGATCGCCGCACCTCGGACCGCTCCATAAACGACTTCAAGTGCTCGTTTTCCATGGTTATCCAGTGGAAAACCTCCTTGTACAGGACCAAAAGCACACAAAACGACGTCGCGACCACGTTGGCCGACGCGTTGCCTTGCCGGATCAAACTCATTTCGCCAAAGAATTCTCCCGCCAGCATGTGCTTGATTGACACGCGCGACCCTTGCGGCCCCATGTTGTCGTACACTTCGACGCTGCCCATCTTGATCATGTAGAACGCGCGGCCCTATACAGAACAAACCTCGATTTACATGATCTGCTTTCATCTAGACGTCGTCCGCTACCGCTTCGCCGGCGCGGATGATGACATCTCCAGGCATCGCAACCGTCTCCTCGACGCACTCCATCAGCGCGACAATTCCTTCCGGCTCGAGCGCTCGAAACAGCGGCACCTTTTTCAAGAACGACTGGTTCAGGGCCACCGAGAGCTCAAAATGCAACTTCTCCGGCATCCCGTGAAACAAGTCGGACGCGTGATGGGCGCTCTCGTGGCTGTGGGCGCTGTTGTAAAACAAATTGATTTTCGACGTGAGCGAGTTCGTGGCGTGGCAGTTGCGCAGACACACGTCGATGCTGTCCTGCCGTTGGACTTGTTCGTCCTGTACTTTGTTCATTTGGGCTAGAACGCTGGCGCAGATCCCAGCGACACTATTGCGACATGACCCGTTAGAGAGAGAGAGATGTAGGTATTGGGTTGTTGTGTCCATCTATAATGGGTGTTTCGTGACGTCACAGCCACACAATATGTGTGCATATCGATGATGGAGGGAGGGAGGGATGTACCAGGCATTGGCAATGATACCCACGGTAAACATGACTGTGCCCCACACGCGTTCGGGCCTTGTGACAGGACCTAGGTCGCTCCCACTGGTCACGACTAGCCCTCGGTAGTACGAGCTCAAGTACTTGACTCCGAGCGTGTCGTTGGATTGAAACGGCACAGCCCTACGTACGTACAAATGTCAATGGAAATATGGAATTGTATGGCGGATGATAGGGGGAGAGGATTGCAAGACGAGCATGTACTGGCGTACTACATATTACCAAATGTTGTCGACGGTGGGGTCCACTTGGCGGGTTTCAATGTCCACCAACAGGTAAAACGAACATGCGACGTAGTGGTGCAGCAGCAAGTACATGAACATGAGCATCCCCATGCGGACGCCGTACGACGTAAATGTCCGCGACGCCCATGACATGGCTTTGGAAAACGTTGGCGACGACGACAACCGGAGAATCTAATATATAGGATATATAGGACCAAATGAACAACAGGCTCAATGACACATTGTGACCAATCACAGGTCTTAGGTTAACCAATCAGATGCCAAGTCCATGAAGTCATACCCAATCCAGTTGAAGGACCGTTCAATAACTCAATATTAATTATTGAATAACACCACACAAACAGCACCTAAAATGACAACATACCCGCAGAAACACGAGAAGCCGGAGGTATGTAAAGTCGGACAGACGCAGTGCATCGCCGAGCACGGACGACGGAATCGTGCCGACGCAGTCGACCCAGAACCACAGCGTCAGATAATGTCGTCGAATGCTGTTGATGTCCATCACTTCTTCGTGGGTAGCGCTGATAAGAAACGACGTTCGGAAAGCCACGAGTATGTCGAGCGAAAAGATGACGTCGACGAGGCCCTGAACGCCTCGGAACCAAGTGTAGGCGTCCCACAGGTTGAAGCTCAAGTCCATAGGCACGACCACAACCGCGTACAGCGTCACGATAGCCACCACGGCATCCCACCCCATTTTCGCCTTGGAATGGATTGAAATGCAATCTACGGCACGACATGTCATTGCCAATCAAACGTCATGTGACAACGTACACGGGGCCTGCTGCTGCTGGGCCAACTTGGACACGTGCGACGCGGCCATGTCGTTGAGTTCGTGCTCGAGCTCTTCGGCATTCACGGTCGTGTCTGCCCGCAACAGCAAGAACCGCTTCGATACGGCCGCCGCTACGTCGTGACCTGGTCCAGATAGTATGTCATCACGATAAAGTCACAAGTTGATTCGAATAGTATGACTTGTCCAGGGGCAAATGGATATTGAGGACGTACCTTTCCGTGCGACGGCGGCGGCGCCGTCCGCGATGCTCTGCCGAGCGCCTTCCTGAGACGGGGTCATTTGATGCAGCACTTTACCCACCGCTTCAACCATTCGCTTGGAACTGCCATTTTGCTGGGACAACAACGTCGACTTAGAGGGTACACGCATGAGCAGCCCCCCTGGGGACATTCCCCGTGCCGACCCGCTGCCCCCCCGAACCGATCCGCTGGCCCCCCGCGCCAATCCGCTTCCAACGGCCAGCTCGGTCACCTTGAGCAGGAGCGCACTCGCAGGAGACAGTATTTGAGTGCTTTTGCTCGTGGACATTGTGAGGCTGCTATGATGGCTAGTGTTCATGATGAGCGAGCCTGAGTTGCTGCCCATGTGTAGGTTGGACGACGACGAGGAAGTTGGGATGTCAGACGTGCCAGGAGACATGACGGCCTTGTCCATAGGAATCGCTAGCATGGAGGCAAGATCCACCAGTCGTGGTGACGTCGAAGTGATCCGACTTTTCGACGCGGATGCTGCCAGTTGCGCCACTGACCTCGAAGGTGGAAGATCCACAATGTCGTCCGTCTCCGCGACCGAGGATGTGACTTCTTGAGCGTCTTCTCTGAATTGATCTGCGTCAGTGTCCGCAGCGGACGAGTTCGCTGACGAAGGGAGCTCCGCCGCCCGTAGCATGTCGTCGACGACATTCATCGTCGGCCCCTGACCTTTGTGCGCATTCGTAATCTTCGTGGTCGAGCTGCCTCGCACAATGGGAGCCAATGTAGGACCCAAAGACCGTCGGTGGCCAGCGGACGAACCATTAGCCTTGGACGCCATCGTCTTTTGAACCGGCGGAATGCAGTCCGTCAACACTGGTAACCGCTTGTGTCAACGAAACTGCCGCCCGTGGGCCAAAGCTAGCGTCCCTGGGGCAAACCGGCTACTATCGTTAGTATTACTTGAAAACAGCAATTATTAAAATAATACTCCCTCTGTTCCAAAAGAAGTGCGCGAATCAGGAAGTTGATGTATGCCTCCTCCAATAATAATACAAAACACTCCAACCTTCAATATGCATTTATACAGGTGTAACGATACATTGGGCCAATCAGAGGATGCCAAATCCGTGTCTCAGGACGAATCAAATGGCGACTTTAAGTAATTCTGACACTGCCATTCGGTTCAGGAGGGGGGTTTACCTCAGGAACCCTCCTAACGAGCACAAGGACCATCAACAATACCAACACACATCGGTTCGTGTTTACTCGTCATCTTCTACACAAATTGGTTCAATTCCCACTCCAATCATGACGTCAAGCATGTCATCGTCGCATAGGGCAATTGCCTCTAGCTCCTGGGCGAGCTCGTTGATGCAGCGGGCCTCGGCAGCGAGCGAGCGGTTCAGGTCAGCGGATGCCATGCCATCCAACTTGGACCTCGCGGCGTCGAACACTTCGCGCGGGCATGACACGTTCAGTGGTAACATTCCCTTTCGCTCATGCTTCTCCTTCGACATGTGAGGCAACTTGTAAGCGTTGTCTCCAAAAAGTATCATCGTCTCAATCAAGCAAGCCTGCAGCGACATGAAGGTATGGTTCAAGCGCTCGTGCGGGTACTCATTGAACGAAGAGGTCACGTGTCATGTGTCATGTGTCCAACAAGCTCGTCGATTGTGCGCGCTGACTTGCGATGTTGTAGGGACTGTATCGCAGCGAAGAAGCCAAGGTCAAGGACATTGGTGTCGGGCGAGTTGGGCGGCTGCGGCGCCAACGACATGGTCCATCCCATCGCCGAATACTTCGCCAGGGCCGTTTGCAGCTGCGCGTCGGATGGCGTCACGTGCGCCCGGGCGTTGTCGTGCTGGAGCTTGATGACGCGGTCTTCGCATGGCCACTTGGCGACGATGGATGGCAGGACTTTGTCAAGCAAGAAGGTACGGTACACATCCTTCGTGACGCTGATTGACTTGGTTTCAAGGGTCCCAGCTGGGCGGTTGACACTATCGCGCTGTGCTTCGACCGACCCGACGAACGGCCATATGCCGAGCTTGCCGTCCCACCACTTGTTGGTCGCATGGACGTATCGTGGCCGGGCGACAGCACAGAGAAACATCACTTTAGTAATATACCGTTTGCTCTTGCACACCCGTTTTGGTTCTTGTTCTCCTGGCACGAGGTAGTACTTGCGGCTCTTTTTCGTAAGGTAAAACCACTTCTCGTCCAAGTGCACGTATTGCAACATACTATTGAGCTCCATGCTGGAGCCAACAAAGTCCAACGCAAACTTCATTCGACCGTACTTGTTTGCGTCGGTAAGAAACGGCCGTATAGAGTTCGAGTGGGACCGAAACAGGCCGAGCTTGAGGTATCGATGCAACGAACCTAGGCTGATCCCTATGGCAAAATCAGACTCATGTATGCATGGCTACAATACATGACCTGTTCTTTCCGCAATGGATCGAAGGGTAGTGCGTTGAGCAAGAGGTACTTGTAGGAGCTTGGCCTTAACTTGCTCTGCAGTAAACGCCTTCTTTCTACCAACTCTGCCCTTCTTCCTACTTGCAACAGTGACTTTCATGTTGCCATGACCGACACCCTGCTGCTTCGCAAGAGCAAGGACCCGGCGAATGGTGGAAACGTGGCAGTTATACTTGTCGGCCAGTTGCTGGCTCAGACCCTTTGACAGCCTCGACATGTAGCTGCCGTTGCTGAGAAGCAATACCTCTCGGAGGATGCCCTCGCGCTCGTCGTCGGCGAGGTTGCGTCTTTTGATTGGCATTTCAAAAATGTTGGTAGTTGAGTGTGTATGTTATATATGGATATTTGTATACAATATTTTGAACGCGGGTAATGGCGTCATCTCTTGAGATTTCCCGCTCATTGTTGCATCTACGGGGAGCTCTTGGTGCGCTTGTACTCATGATCCAATCATAGCAGCGCATTTCGATTTGAGGCAGGTGACACCATGTTTTCAAATTTACTTATGAATATAATGACGTGTCATGTCCCCCCTCCTCAGACTCGCGCACTTATTTTGGAACAGAGGGAGTACTAATATTAATAGATACTATACGTATCTTGGTTCCGTGCCACGAAACATGATTGGTAGATCACTCTGAAATTTTAAGCCAATCAGATGCAATTTTTGACGGACTGTTGTCAGCCTATGGATATTTCCACTCTTTTAATTCATTTTCCATCAACACCAAATCTTTAAACCAGCAGCTGACTAACTTCCAATAACTTATTACTGATATCAATACAATTGGGGTGTAGTGCTTCCGAAATAGTATTTTAATTCGTCAGTAAATGTCAAAATATGCATGCACTTTGCTACTAATAAGATATACAGTGTAGTATCGATTTCACAAAAAGAATCAGAGATGTAATAAATTTCCTCGATTTTTATTGGTCGCTTCTTAACATCCAGCTTTATTGTGGAAAACTCAGTAAACCTCCTTGTATTGATTCTTTTTTGGCAGGCACCCTCGCGGCTGTCGACTACTGTCAATCAAGAACTCAGCAACTTCGAAAGTGACTAGGTTACTGATAAAAAATGAAGTACTGTAGCCGATCATTTAAATACTACGGAGCCATATCAAATCGATCAGCAAACTCGTTTTATGAATGGTATTCATCCATCATCTAATAGTTCGAACGATTGTTCGAACGATTCATCGATGGCGACAGAAAGCGTGTAGCGCGGTTGCTGTCAATGGACAATCTCTCTTAAACGATAGCGGCGTTGAGCTTCACCGCGCTTGCTCTTTTTCTCATTTGCCATCTGCTCATAACGAGCAATTACAGACCTGTAAAACCCTTCGTCCTCCGCGCGCAATGGCATCAACGAGAGGTGGAAGTTCGTCAATGCGAACGTCGTGAGCTGCATCGTGTTGTAGTTTTTCTCACCCCAAGTGTACGTAGCCAACGAAATCTTCCAGAGAATAGAGACTTTTAGCAAGTGCGAAATCTTGACTTTCCAGACTTAAACTTCGAAGCTTGCCGACTTTGCTCGGAAACAGGTCTGAAAAGTGAGGAAGTCATCACACTTTTGGCCTCGAAGTCCGCAGACATCTGACTACTTTCCGAGCCAATCAAATTGCTCTATTAGGTTTGCTCCACTCACACCAACATGCTCCGACTCGCTTCAGCCGACGCATAGGTAGTTAAGACTATGTACTGTAGTGTTAGGATAGTGCACAAGCGCGGGTATGTACAGTGATGCAGGACGCTAGTCTGATACTCCCCGCCGCCGCGCACCAAGCCTTCGATGATTGCCGCCTGATCACCCATGCCAAGGCATGGACGACGGGCGGCGAGCTCGGTCCTGACTACGTAAACCTATGTTTGGTCGCCACGATACTTGACGACCAAACAGAGGGAGTATCTTGACTCAAGATCCTCAAACTTCGAAAGCAGCGGGCATTAGAACCGCTGAGCTAGTCCGAGTCCCTACAGTCCAAAGCGTTCGATGACTATCGTTTCATAACGTCGCACATGATACACAAATCCACATTCTATACGCCCTTATGTGTCTCTCGTTGAATTGCGCGCAATGAAGTCATACCGGTAGGCACAGACTAAGAACAGGAGAAGGAATAATGGATGGTGTTGGTTTGGTGTGTCGGGATTTACTTTTCAGACTTGCTAAATCTGAATTCTTTAAACTTCCAGACATCGATAAAATCGAACGAAGTACAAAGTATGTAAACTACTCACATTTCGCACTTGCTAAAAGGCTCTAGTGCACTACGAATTTCGACATGATTTTAAGCCCAACGAACTGCATTAATTCTCCTCTTTTAAAAACACTATTATAATAGCAATTTGGAGTAAGGGAACCCCTCCATCGAAGGGTCCCAAAAAGTGTCGAGGACTGCGCCCATACGTACTACTAACAATATAAGTACTATATTAATAGTATTAAAAACTGTTATTGTTATTAATAGTACTCTGGAGTAGTACAGTATATCAATAGTACTGCAATTGCTGTACAGTCAAGCCGAAGTCCACCATACAAATCTTCAAATGAAATATTGTGAGTGAAATAGCTCTATAGTAGTGCAGTACTACAGTAGTACTGTAGTACAGTGCTGGCAATAAGTTTAAAGCAACCCCAAAATTGTTGTTTCTGAAGATTCTGTTGTAACTTGACCATGCCATGTTATTCAATCGATTCGAGCATGTATTCCATCGTTTCTGCACTGATTCAACCTCCTTAAGCTGTCCATGATTCAATCAAAGTACAAAAACGCAAATACAGATCTTTTTTACCTGGCAAAAAGTATAAAACCACCATGTTTTTATGCTCTTCCAGGCGTTTTTAAGTAAAAACACGCGTTTTTAATCCTCCCGCCCCTGTATTTGACCGATTCCCGGCTGAATCAACTTTTAAACGCAAGTTCATCATGCCAGCCGGCGCCAAGCTCTCCGAAGAAGAGCAAGACATGGTTTTGGCCCTTAAAGCCGCCGGGGAAAGCCTCCGAGAGATCTAGCTTCTCATTAGACGCTCGCGAGATGCCATAACTCGGTCCCTGATGGACCCCGCGGCATATAACACGCACAAGTGGACAGGACCACCACCAAAGGTCAGACCTACCGACATTCGACGACTCATTCGGACAGCATCGAACTCGTTTTTGACTTCACGTGAGCTCGTGCAGCTGTGCCAGCTCACCATCAAGGCCCGCCATGCCCGCCAATTGCTTGGAATGTGCAAGCACCTCAAGTTTGTCAAAACCAAGGCCTCGCCAGTTCTCACGGTCAAGCACAAGAAAGCCAATTTTCAGTGGGCCCGGGGAATGCTCGGTCACGGCTCGGAACAATGGAAAAATGTCGTCTTTAGCGACGAAACGAAGTTCAACTTGGCCAGACCCGACGGGCTCAAGCACTATTGACACGATCTATGCAAGGAAAAAGCGATATATTCCAAGCGCCAATCTGGTGGTGGAACGTCATGGTTTGGGGTGCATTTAGTGCCATGGGAAATACGGATTTGGCTATTTTGGAGGGTTCGCAGGACAGTGGCGCCTACATCGGGACCTTGTCTGACTATTTGTTTCCCTACATCGATTATTACTATGGTCGTGACTGTGTCTTTCAGCAAGACAACGCCTCGATTCATGCGTCGCAAGAGACCAACGCGTTTCTTAACGAGCATGGCGTGCGCGTTATGGAGTGGCCAGCGAATTCGCCGGACCTCAATCCGATCGAGAACATGTGGGATGTTCTTGCACGTGCAGTTTATGCATATGGGCGCCAATTTGCGACAAAAACTGACTTGATTGCTGCGATTTCCAAGGCGTGAAAAGAATTCGGGTAAAACTTGATCGAAAAGCTCCTGCAGTCAATGCCGAATAGGTGTGTGGCTGTCTTAGAGCTCAAAGGTGGCAAAACGAAGTATTAAGCACAAATATTTGTCACTACACAAACAATTTTTGATGTTTTTCTGTGGTGGTCATAATCTTATTGCCAGGGTAAGTATTCACCTGACTGACAAAAGTCGCATTTTTTGTTATGCTTTTGAAAGCACAAGCATTTCAATATCATTCCCACGCAATCCAAGCTCATTCAATGTTTTTGCACAGGCACATTCGTTCATGGTGTTCTCCTACTCCAATTGTTTTTGGGTGGCTTTAAACTTATTGCCAGCACTGTAGTACCATAGCAAATCGATACTGAGATCGATATAGTAATTGGAGAGGGCTTCAAATATATCGACACAACTGTTAGCCAATCTGATTGCAGGGTATCATCCATTACTGGTAAATAACTAGCATCTCCAACGACGTGGATGAGAAGTGGTTCCATGCGACAAAGGTCAAATCGCGAATGTACCTGCTGCCCGGCGAGATCCCAGCCACCCTACCGCTCAACCCAGAGCAAGCGTTCATCACCAAAGTGATGTTCTTGTGGGATCAATGAAGAGGACGACGAAGGAGGAGTGTTGGTTTCTGCGTAAGAATCAAATGAATTTGAGCTTTAGAATGCAAAGCCAATAAATAAATAAAACTTGTTTTATTTTATTTTATTATATAGCTTTGATTGGATATTGATTTATTAAATTTATGGGGTCTTTGAAATGTCAGGTCTATTTCCGTCGTTCAACGATTTTCAGGTCTACCGGTATTTCCCTCCGGAGGTAAGTATGTGACTGAAATTAGTGTGATGGGCATCACCACTGGAATATTTTTTACTACAACATTTAGGGTGCGTCTGGTAACCGGAAATATTGCAATATTCAGCCCCAAAAACCCATTTTGGGGCCGAATTCAACAAATCTGATCAATATTGAAACATGTCTTGTTCAAAGAATTTTAACCCAAATCCAATAATTCCAAGTGGGATTTACTCGTTGAAGAGGTTCAAAACGCCATATTACAAAATAGACCTTTTACCTCCATTTTGAAAATGGCATTTTGGTTAATCCCATTTTGCGAGAAAATAATAGTACAAAAAATCGAGAGACAATGAATTTACAACAGCATTTCAAGAATCTACAAGTACAGAATCCAGAATTTACAGCTTATCCACATGTCGCATACATTAATTACCATGCACCTTTCGATTTCCGTACTGTATGTACCCTTGTAACCCCGGAATCCCGAAACCCCTTGTGTTTACTCCGTCTACATATAATGCTTGTGTGTGTGCAACAGGTTGACATACCGATTAAACTGATCCTGATATTACAAAGCATACAAAGTTTAAGTATAGCACTTGTGTAGTCATGATTGCAGTTGTATATTCTTGCCAGAAGTTGTAGATTCTTGAAAGAAGTCGTAGACTCTATTGTCGATTTGATACAAATTTGGGGAGGGGGTGCAATCGAATCGCGCCGACCAAACTGATCCACAATCGATCTGATTGGTTGAGTTTCATTGAGAGGGTTTTGATTGGCTAGTAATTTTGAGCTCATCAGAGGTAGCCAATCAAATCGATTTGAATTCCAACGAGAAACCACACCACCACACGAAATTTCACTCGAACGCACATTAACAAGGCGCTTGTATTTTCGATTTCTCTCCAAAAACTCTATATACGGATTCGATTGAGAGCACCTCACTTCGAATCGACAGTAACGTGACGCTCATGACGGCAGAGTCGGCTGCTGATCTCGGTCACCATCACACTCCTACTTGCAGTCTCTCAAGTGGGCGTTGGTTCACTGATATGACAAAATACGGTGTATTTGCGTGACTTATAATAAATAGTTTCTGTTAGGCGACGACGACTCTTTTGGCGGAGGGGGGCGAGTCAGCGATGGCAACGTCGACGAAGTCGGATACAGCTTGGGCAACGGACCGCTGGTTCCGTCCAAGGCCTGAAATCGCATACGGGGATGATGCGGATGGAACGAGTTCGGGGGACGGGGGTCGTCGTAGGTCGGGGGAGAATGGCGGGGATAGCCAATTGGAGCAAGTGCAGGCGGGTAGCGCTGCTGCTGTTGGTGTGTCGAGTACGACGCGGGGTTGTTGTAGCCGAACGCTGTCGCAGGGGGCGGTGGAGTGTACTCGGGGTGGTGGTGATGCGGGGCATATGGATGTGGGGCAAAGTGGTCGGCATGGCCCAAGTCGTAAGCAGCGGGATGGGTTTGTGGGTGGTGATGGTGCTGGGTGGTCATCACTTCTTCTGAGATGATGTTGACCAGCTTTTGAAGGACGCGGGACCGAAAGGCTTCCCGTGCTTCGCCCTTCAAGTACGATGGAGTGGGGACGGTGATGTCATCTGTGAATGTTTCGGGCTTGACGGGTTGGGACTGTTGCGGCGATGGGTCGTAGTGGATAGTTGGTTGCGATGTCGACCGCCGCAGATGCGACAGGGTCGGAAACGTAGCCGAATTGGATATGCGGGGCGCCGTTGGGTACGGAAGGTACTGCAATGGCGAGGACGGTGTGTGGTGCGCAGGTGCGTTGATCGGTGGCGCGAAATAGTGTCGATTCGACGTACGCGGAGGCAGTTCAATTTGAGTCGGTGGTGTCGTATAGCTGCATTCGCTCGAGCGGGGTGAGTGCATCGTCGACGGTTCTGGCTTCACTGGGTCGACGGTTGTCGCGACGACTGGAGAAATTGTGTGGTCGGGGGAGATGGGGTCTGCAGAGTTGCGCTCATACGGCGAGTACGCCGTGCGGTTATGTCGGTTCTTCCCATCCAGTTTTCGCTGGTTCTGGTTCTGTCGAAGGCGATGCATATCACACAAGTTGTGTGCTTGGCCATTCGTTTTCAATGCGCGCTCGTTCTCGCATTTGCCAGTCTTGTACAAGCACCGCCCTCGGTAACCACCTGCCGAGGGTTCGGTATTGTCGGTGTGGTGCATGGTGGTCGCGACGGCAGCCACGGCCACGGAAGTAAGGTCGCTTTGACTCGACTTCATTGAGTGTTTGGGGGAAACTACGGCGGCATCCCGAGAATTTTCGATGGCGTCGCCGTTGTCGTGACTGACCTCATGTCCATGATGCTTTGGTGGCGGGGTTGATCCTGGCGGCATCTTGCTTCACGGTGTCAACAGCGCCACAGCGTTGGAAATCTGTGCGACGAGGGGAATTCAAAAATGAGAATTCTGGGAATTACTCTTGCATATTGTATATCAGCCTTAGTTGACTTGGATTCAGTATGTGTTGAGTCTGGTAAAGGGCTCTGATCCCATCGAGTGAATTTAACTGGTTGACTGTTTTTCACTATTTACGACCAATTTTGGGTCTACTTTCCTTGAGTCGTCAAGGGTTAGAGGCTGAGGCCTCACCTTCTTTTGTTAACATTTCAGTGTGGACCAGATAACTCAATTACCCGGTATTTTGGAATCTGCTGCGGATTCCCAACTGCCTTGGGGTAAACCGAACACCATTAAAGTATCTGGTGATTTGTATGTGTCACCATCATTTTAATATAACGTAGAAGTGATTTCGCCGCATCAGATGATTTGTTTGCCCTGGATTTGGAATCACTTGCAATTTGTATTGCAAAAACAGTTTGAGACATCTGATGCCGTCCCAGGTCTCTGATCCGACGGGACCTTCCAGTATCTCATCCCACGAATCGAAACCTTTTGAAGGTGACTTCAAACCCACATGCCCGCCCTAATAACGTACATTACTCCCCCACTGCAAGCGTGACCAGTCTAATCTCCCAAAACTCGCACTACCGTCCACTCCTTCCCGCTTTGACGGCACCGATTTTGCACAACAATCACGCACGTCAGTGGAGTGGCAACTCCTGATCCTCAACTTCTCCCCCGAACTATACCACTTTGGCAACCATTCACCCACGTGTAATGTCGCCATGTCCCACTACCCAACCACTTGCCAAGAGCCCTTGTCCAGCCAACCCGCAAAGGCTCTGGCGCCAGATCGACAGCTTTCTGTAAGACTACATATAACTGTGAGATGTACGTACTTGTTGTCGATAAAAACAGGCAAAATGGCCGGCCCATGCGACGACAGCATGATTGCAATAGACGAGACCCTATCGTCACAGACGACCTAAGGACTGTACAGTAACACGTCCTGTCTGAATGCTGACTGTACTTCCTCTTTGTTCAAGTCCACATCGCAATCGACTTCGAAATTTACCCATAACGTTAACGTAAGCTATTTTTTGCCCAAGAAAGCCTCGCATACTTAGGAACTTGCTCGCCAGTCAAACTTGAAAACCCGTTGCCTCTATAATTTAATAATACAGACGTTCGTCCATTTTGACAGGAAACCGCAGAATGGGGCAAATCGTGTGGGGCAAACTAGTATATTGGGCCAAACGTGGCACAAGAATTCAAAAAGCCAAACCTGACGCGGGGATGGCCGACGACGATGTGGTGGAGGTGCCGTTCCCAGTGGTGTTTCAATGCCGCGTCTGCCGAGCCATCGTGGCGGACTCGACCTCTCTCTCCTCTAGCGACGTGAACCAGCGAACGATCACATTCTGCCGCGTGACGCATTTGCAGCCAAGCACGGCGATCACTGCAGAAGGCGGGAATTCGTTCCACACACTGCTATGTACTCAATGCGACGGCGTCCTTGGCAAATTGTACGTAGGAACTGTTCGTGCCTTGGACCATGCTCGCGACCTCTACACGTTGGACGCAGGAGCCCTCACGAATTACCGGATTGGCACATCCATTGAAGACAATTTAACCACCACAGGCCAAAGCGACATTCTCATTGCAGACGACCCAGCAGCTGATCCTACGTTGACAGTAGAGCAGTTTCGCTCTGACATGGACAAGGCAAGTTATCACCCTCGCTGATGTAACATCATCTCAATGGGTGGTGTACAGGTCCAAAACTTCCTCCTCTTGGTCGACGAGCGGTTATGCGATATCGAAGAAGCCCTTCAACGATGACCCCGAAGGTTTCTTCTGCCGCTGTGTACCCCACGTCCGCCACCCTCGCTACACTGCAGGCTGTCCACGGCAAACTCCGTGGCAATGCGCCAAGTTTGCTGACAGTGAAATGATAAATCGAGGAATGTGGGAGATATTTTACATTAAATTTGTTTTAAAAAGAAGCTAGCACATACTAATCGGTAGTACATTCCAGAGTACTTTAATAAAATATGGTCGTGGTACGAAAAACTAATAATCAGGATTGTGAATATTCGGACATCGAATCCCTGTAATATTTTATATATTTACAGAGTGACGGTAGTTCAACCCCTCTTGAACGTTATATTTTTGGTCTGCGGCTGATTATACCTTTATCCGCCGTCCCAGCCACCCAGGAACCAAGCACGCGGCGCGTGGACATAGTGCGATGGGAGACAAGGTCGTGAGCACGTTGAAGCAGTATGACGGCATGATCAACGAGATGGGGGCGTATCCTGCCAAGCCCATCATCAACACCCTCACGATGCTGGCAGAGGACCTTACGATGGCCAAACACATTGCACCTTTTCTCGTCAAGAAGCTCAACGTCGTAGGCCCTCCATATCGCCTTCCCATCCTGTACCTCATGGACTCGATCATTAAGAATGTCGGCGGTCCATATGCGTACCTCTTCAGCCAGACGCTGGCGCCGGTGTACGTTGATTCAGTGCGGCAGGTGAACGCGACCGACCTGAACCGGTTCAATCACGTGCTGAAGACATGGGAGACAGCGCGACTTCTTCCACCGGCTGTCCTTATGCAGATGCGTGCAGCCGCCGATTCGGCGCTGCGTGTGGCGCAGCCGTCGGATCAGCCGACGAGTTTCGCATCACGAGGAGGGGGTCCGGTGGGTCCATCGTCCCGCATCGGCGTCCCGCCCCGTCCTTCCTCGTTGTCCGATGCCCACTTGGAACTGCAGATGCGACGTCTCTTGACCCAGCTTCAGACCGAGGACGGTGTGCATCCTGCCAAGCAGCTCAGCCTCGAAGAAGTCCGCGCGCAAAACCCCGACTTGTATGCGACGTTAAAGCTCAACGTCGTCGATGAAGTTGCCGCTCCCCATCATGCGGCTCCTCCCCCCGTACTAGGCCATCCGCCAGTGTATCCACAACAAGCGCCTTATAAACGAAGTCCCCCGCGGCAGTTGCCTCCACACCACCACCATCCGTACCCCAACGATCGATCCAGTCATGACGGGGGACTGCTCCCCCTACCTCCGTCGGTCGGCCATCGAGGACAAGGAATTCCACCGCCGCCGCATCATTTCCCCCTTCCTCCTCAAGGCAGCGCCCCCCCTCCCCCGTCCTCTCGACGATGGTCGCCGCCCCATCACCACCACCACCCCATGCAGCAACCCCATCATCATCGGGCACCAGGGGGGCAGCCGCAGGCGACGCCCACTGGCCAAGACGTGATGAACTTGCTCAAGAAGATCAACGCCATGTCCGCGCCTCCATCTTCTTCTTCTTCGTCGTCGTCGCGGCGATACCAACACCAGGTGACGTCGGCGACGTTGGGCCGCCCGCTGACCTGTGCGGACGTGGCCGTCAACAAGAAGCGGATAGGAGACAACGTGTACCGGCTCTACGACGCGCTTCCCCACGTGTCGACCAGCAGCGGCCTTCGCTTTAAGGACCAAGCCCAAGTACGAACGATCCTTGGAATGTGTGTTGGGAATGTTGGTATCTTCTTTTTGGGTGTACAAAGGTGCCATCCGCGATTGATACCTATATCATTGCTCATGGAAACAAATCCTATTTATATATATATATATATCATTACTCATGGAAACAAATCCTATATATATATATATTATTGCTCATGGAAACAAATCCTATATATATATATATATAGGATTTGTATATATATATATATATATATAGGATTTGTATATATATATGGGATTTGTATATATATATATACATTATACTATATTATGGCAGGACTGGGATACGTTGCATGCATGGCGTCATATGTTATTCTCCACACAAAGATATATTATTTCTATGAAAGATATATATATTAATATGTGTTTTGGTTGATGTGTAGCTGTCGGTACACATGGATTTTCTATTTCATTACAATCGCGCGCTGCGAGAACGCACCAAGGGCGGCATCTCTCGCTCGTGGTACCCCAACGAAGCAGTACGTCAATATATATATATATATATATTATATAGACCTGTGTATATGTCATCGCGATATATATGTATATTATATATATGATATAACTGATTTTTTGGACAGCAATGGACGACGGACTTTTGCGCCGTGTCCAACTCCAAGGAAGAAACCAGCGCTGGGTTTGTCCAGCTCGAAGACAAGCTCACTGTCCCTGGTACAGTTCGGAATAAATGATTCATCTATCTTGGTCTCTGATGTCTTTTGAATCGAGTTAGATTTTGACAAGGACGCGTTGAATGCTTCGCGGGTGCCCGTGGACGGCTCGATCACGAAATGTCGGATTTGCGGGTGCGTACGGAGCCAAGGGTCGTGGTCATACTGTGCCTTCACTGAATGTCTAGTGAACCGTTCACAAAGTGCTGGGACGAAGACGAAGAAGAGTGGATGTACCAGAACGCCGTGGTCGGGTCCATCGAGTCGACCGACGTCGTGCCCAAGCAGACCATTTTCCACAAGTATTGCTACGACAGCGCTGTGGCGTCGTCCAAATCCAAGGTGATCCTTCCATCGCAGTTGGCGCCCGGCAGTCCCGTGGTCGTTGGATCCAAGCGCCCCATGTCGGAGGTACTGACTTGATCATTTGGAGTATAAGACTTACATGTGGTGTATATATATATATATATAGGTGGAGGAGGATGCTACGTGGAGAGGTGAAACGGGTAGAGTCGACGATGACAAGGACGAGCAGCAGGACATTAATAAACGACTAAAGCTTACCCACGCAGACGAGACTGGTGGCGTGTTGTAGGAGTCGTCTAGGGTTGTAGGGCTCGTAATGCATGCTTTATCTCTTTTGTTTTGCCTTTCTCAGGTATATGCTCGCATACATACGCCTAGTGTACAGTACAGTGTACGTACAGTACTACCTCGACGGAAGCACAGGACTACAGTACAGAATTCCCCCCTCGATCAAGTGCATGCTTTTCGAGAGATGTACTACTACAGTAGCTCATTAGGACGTTTCATTGTAAAATGTCGAGCACAAGGCATCGGGGGCGATGGGCACGAGCGCTTCCACGGCGACGGCGTCCCTTGCAAACACTTCGTCCCACACGCTGTCGGCCTCGTCCGACTTGGGGTTGGTCACGTCGTGGGGCTGGCCACTGGCCAACGCGAGCGCCATTTGCTCTACGTGAATACACAAACGGGCTGGTCGAAACAAACACAAACAGACAAGACCGTCATCTGAACAAAGAATCAAGCTGACGACGTCCATAGCCAGCAAACGAGGCATGCATGCAGGTTACGAGCAACGGTCAAGTTCCATCGTACTGGGCGTCATGCGAAGGACGTCAAGGCCATGCTGCAGCCACGTGGGCAGGTCCTTGGACGTGGTATTAGAGCTACTGCTACTACTGGTGTTGTTGTACACGAGAGCGGCGACGCGCTCCAACGCCGCGAGCCCGCCACTGTCTTGGACCTTGAATGGCTTGCCTTGTTGCCATACGTTGTGTTTGTACTCCAACGTCGGCGCCATGGCGGCAATGGCGCGGCCGCTGGCGTCTAGAACGCGGACGTTCATCGTGGACATGCACAGCGCGAGCAGCACGTCGTGGCCGTCCATGTCTTCCAAAATCCGGAGGTTCGCGTCCATGGCGACTACGGACGCAATCGCCAAGCAGGTGGCCGAGAGGACGTCAGGGTTGTGGTGGAACCTCTCGGCGGTTGCAACGACATACAGAAGCACCGCGAGCCCGTTCTGGCCCGCGACTCGCACCTTGTTGACTTTGCACTGGTGGCATAAACTGGCAATGGCCAGCCCTGAGTGAGATTATGGACGTTAGCGTATGACGCAACTGTTTTACTAGTAGAACGAGCGACAAACCGTAGGCGGTGAGAACGGGCGGGTCGTTGGAATCCACCATTTGCTGCAGCATGGTGGGAAGAGCGTCGCTGTACCCGATGGAAATTTGGTTCACTTTGGTCGACGCCAAGTTGGCAAGGCCCCGTGCGCAGTGCTGCAAGAGATGACTTTCACTCGACCGACCAAGAACGGGGGGTTGTGACGTGGCGGGCGGAGATGTTAGAGGAATAGACATCGTGACCGGCGACTGGAGTGCTTTCGCCGTCGCGCCGAGCTGCTTGATGAGCTCCATGTCCCCTTGCGCCATGAACACCGCGCCTTGGTTGGTCGTGCCGGCGAATCCAATGTTCGCCAAGGTGTGCGCCGCCGCAATGCGCACAGATATGTCCGGTACATCCGCCAACAGTCGGGCGATGCAGGGCACCACCCCCGATTGTGCCACTTGCGTGCGCAGAACATCTGAATCTGCAATCCATAGTCAAGAATATGAGACAACGTGAAAGGCACATTGCACATGAGAGTTATTGGAGGGAAGGAAAAATGGGGGTTTACCGTGGGTCAAGTTGGAGAGGGCCACTAGAGCAAACTGGAGAACCGACTTGTACATAACGGCGTTTGTTTCGTACGTGGTGAGCAGCTTGGCCATGGCGCGAACGGCGTGCTTGGCGGCCATGGCGGTTTTGTTCAGCGGGGTCGACGCCAGCGACGCCAGCAGTCGCGCAGCTTCGGTGAGTATCGCCGGGTTGGTCACGACGTCGCAGATCCGGACGAGGGGGGGCAGCGTGCCGGCTTTGACGATTTCGTGGCGCAATGGACTCGGACTGGAACCGCCAGGGGGGACGTATATGGACACGTGCACGAGGCCGATAAGCACCGGACCGAGCACGGCGTCCGTGGTGGTTTCCCGGAGAATGCATGCCAAGAAGTCCAGGCACCCGGCCCGGACCACATGGGGGGACTCTGTTGTGGGAAGCAACGCGATGCTTTGGCCAAACCGAGCAAATACGTCGTCGGCAAGGGGATGGATCGATGGTGAGCACGCGTGTAAGCGAAACCTAATATATCGACCACAAATCAACTTCTTTCCGTATGAATGACCAAGTGGAATTGCCAGGTAAGTATCGGTTGGGGGGACTGGGAGGGTTTAGCCTACCGTTCGTGCCATTGTTTCTGGGTTTCTTGGTCGTGCGATAGCTTTGCCAACTGTGTTGTCAAGCTCTCGAGACGCAACGTCCATACGGCGCGCTCGGCCAGGACCGCGGCGTGCTGGAGCTGGATCTGCTCGACATGACTGCGTTGTTCGCGGGCGAGCAATTCCGCCTCGCGCATGTGCGCACTATGATCAGCAATATACATGTGATGGTAGCTTAGGTGACTAACAACAGCCGTACGCTTGGACTTGAGCTTCAAGGTCGACGATGCGATCTTCGTAGCGCTTTTCAATCACGTCGCGGTCCGCTTGAAGTCCCAACAGTTCCTGTGATAAGGCTAGCTCGTGGGGGGTGGGGACAGTAGAATACGCCTAATGTTATGCACAACATCGATGTGAAATAGCGCAGTTACCGACACTTATAGAGACAGTGCGCACCACTTTCTTCACATCTAGGACTACGATTGCTGGCTCGCGCTGGGTCGGCGACGACGATGCCGCCGACCGCATTTTGCTTGGGGACGGCATGGTTTGACGGTTACTGCCGTTTAGCGAAGTACAGTTACGTCCATCATTGTGATGGGCGGCGATCGCCAGAGACCGGACAACCAGGTTTGAGTCCATCAATCAACCGGTGCATCGGTCGGTACATTAGGACATACCATTGTTCGATTGTCTGTCCACGTCATATTAATCAACAAGCGATGACGGCGTATGGCTGGCTATCTTGGGCCGCCATCATCCTTCTTTGGACGTCGGATGTCATGGGGTGGCAGATGGACCGCGTAACTTCGATCCAAGCGCGGGTCCAGGGTGACAAGCCTGTGTGGGATCCAACTCACCGCGTATTTGTGTCGCATCTTGGCGCGACGTTTGAAGAGCAATATGTAGCGATGTTGGACACGGTCAACCTGGCGTCCGTGGAGGGGGTGCTCAAGTACGTCCAAAGCGAAGGCATTAACCAAAACCTGCTCAACCCGGCGTCGTGCCAGCGCAAAAACAACATCCAGTACATTGTGTTTTTCGAAGTCACGTTCGTGCAACCAAGCGCGAGCTTGGCGGTGTATCAAGGCGATCCCAACCTCGGTAGAACACTCATGGTACAACTGGTTTCTAACGCTGTGGTTGTAGTGCCCGAGTATGGACCTTTCGTTGCCATGGACGCTGGAGCGTGCACGTCCACCACAGCTGACGGTTCGGTTCTATCGGACGACTGCGTTCGATACTTTGGATCGACATCTATCCCTGCAGTTGGCCCCAATGTGGGGGCAGGCGTCAAGAGCTCCGACCCGCGAGCCCCGTACCCCAACACGATTTGGTTTTCCTACCCCAACAGGTGACCCACCCTGGCTTGTGTGTGGCGTTTTGACGTTTTCGAGGGGGCATTGTGTTGTTGTAGTTGTGTGATGCAACCGTGGGATAAAAAGTCGAGCTCGTGCCGCAAGGACTATCCAGGGGGGTTATGTCCTTTTGGGGTGGCCCCCAACGGAATCAACTGCTCGTTTGCGTACACGGTGCTCGGGTACTTGCGCTTGGACGATCTTGTGGGCATTACAAACCTCACAAGCAGCCAAACCCGTCAATTGTACACGTCGTACTTTGAGTTTTGTCAAGACAAGAATGGATTGTACCAAGGTATTTGGCTCCTCAGACACTTGGTTGGCCAAACGTGATGATGAATGAACGCACCTAGGAGTCGAGTTCAAGGCCCCCGACGGCGTGTTCGACAACAAAGCGGTCACGTCACTACCATTTTGGAGTTTGCCGTTCGATTCCCAAGCAAATGAAAAGCGATCGCAAGCCATGGTCGACACGTACAATGCCAGAAGCGGAAAAACGCTAGAAGGCACAATGCGCCCACTGCCCCCCATGGCATCCCTTCGAAACCCGCCATGTTACGCCAACGCGAAGCAGTGTGCAGACGCGCCATTTGGGTGCCGACGCGACTTGTTGGCCCAAGTGTGTCGCGTGTGTGAGGCACAGGGCGAGGGCGGATGTGTGAAAACTCCCTCAGGGTTTCAGTTCCCCACTCTAATCGCTCCCACGCTAGCCCCTACTCCAATGCCGCTCGCCGCTGTTGCCAAGCCAAAGCCATTAACGGCGACGTCATCGAATGGGACGCCCCTGTCGTCTGTTGCCCTTTCCTCCGGCAGTCAGCCAGGGTTCGAAATGGCCTTGCGTGATCTGATGGTGATTGGTACCGTGGTCGTGGTACTTGCAAATTGGCAGTGAGTTGGATGCACACGCCAGTGCTGTGGCATCAATCCTAATTTGTCATTTGGTTATAAAAATTCTTGTGTCAAATATACGTCGTCCTGTCAAGTTCGGTTATGTTGAAACTGACATAGCGGTTTCCTCTCTGAGCATGCAAACCCTCCCCGAGGAAGACTTGTTGGCTGGCGCGCCGACCCCATCACGGGACGAGGACTCCTTCGCGAGAAACTCCGATGCTGTTGTGGACGAATTTCCAGAGTCCGACTTGGTGAGTCGATTGCGGCTATTGCTCCTACGTGAAAACGAGTCCTCGTCACCGCAACAGCAACGACGTGACGAATGGCAGCCGCTGGTGCGCCAGTTGCAGCAATGTTTGGGGCAATCCCAGCACCGCCCCCCTCCACGCCCCCTCTATGCAGTTGTCTCCAGTACGTCCTCCAGCCTCGAGAATCGTGTTGTGATGCCTTTCTCTTTCTTAACTATCGCGCTTGTGTGCTTTCTAGACTTGGACAAATCCACCAACCCCATCCCATACACAAAAGTGTCTACCGCAGCGTGGAAATCGACGTTGCAACGGTTCGAAAGTGCCAAAGTGAAAACGCAGTCCAAACTGGCGTCGAAACGCGTGAGTCGTCCTCCATTCACGATTGCAACCATCAGCATGAATAAAACATCCACATTGATCTCCAAACCTCTAAATAGGCCAGTTTGGAGGATGCAGAGACTAAAGAGCTGTCGTTTCGACCACACATCGACGTCAAAAGCCAGCGGATGGCGGCTCACTTTCCCAGCTTTCACGAACGCCAGCGCAATTCGGTCGCATGGCGGTACGCCGCCTGTGTCATTCTTCGTTGTCGACTCACTTGCATATGTACCGTCGTTTAGCGACAACCACGTAGCAGCAGAGCGCGAGCAAAGGCGGTTGAATGTACTACACCCGTATCTCAAGTTATGATGGCGTGTTCATTGTTTTGTGTGGGCAAATTTCATAGGAAGAAGCAGCGCTGCGCCCCGTGCCAGACATCAAAACTCCCTGTTTGTGTGGCCACCGCAACGTGCCGCCGTCGTCGTCGTCGTCGTCTCCGTCACCCCGACAGCAACATTCCGACGCGTGTGTTCGGTTCATGGAGATCTGTGCGTCGACCAACAAGTCGTTCAAGATCCAGAAAAAGACCCACGCCATGCGACGTTCCGTGGATGACATGCTCGCTTATGTCAGTACAAAAAGTATTCGACAGTCGTTTGACCAAGTATCGTAGGGTGACTCCAAGTACATTCGTCAAGTAGAGCGGTCGGTGGCGTTGCAAGCCGCGGAAGACGCCGAGGCGACGTTTTCGCCACGAATCAACCCCCAGTCCAAAAAGGTACTCTATATGACGGGCGAACGATGTCGCACGACATATGGTTGCCTTTTGGGGCTCAAAACACAAATGACGGTATCACGTCTAGATCTACAAAGCGATGGTGCAAGCCGGGCGCACGGGAAAGGAAGCCAAGGCAGTGCCGGTCCGTCCACAAGGTACACCTTGTGAAAGACTTTGAGATTGTCCATGTGGTTCTCATTCTCTGCGATGGCAATGGTTGTGACGATGACAGTGGCATTCACATTTCAACCTGTGATCAACCGCAAGTCGAAAGCATTGGCCGCCAAGCACGGAAAGGGCGGTGGCGGCGGCGGTGTCTTTGACCGACTGGACCGCCACGCGGACGAACGCCTGTTCAAGCTCATGCAGTCGCAAATCACGTCTGCAGATGCGAATGTTCGGCATGCCGACCTGGTCAAGGTCGGCCGCGACGACATTCAGATCAAGAGTCTCCTGCACCAATATCCAGATGTATGTCGAGTTGCGCATTGCATCATGCGTCCTTCGATCGAATTGTCGAGGAAAATAATGGTCGTGTTCGTGTCTAGTGCCCCATGTCTCCTACGCGCGCGCCGCCACCAAAGACCAGGGTAGACGTGGACGTGGTGGGGCTGTCTGGTATCGAGTTTATCGTGGGCAACTTTACGAATGGCCAAGCGGTGTTCCTACCTCGGGAAATGCACAGCAAACGACACAGTCATCCGCCTTTGATGACTGACCAACGACGCAAGACGTCCTTTCAGGCTAGCGTTGAAGGCAACAACACTCGGCGGCGGTCGCTCGGGTCGCCGCTGCAACTGCATCGTCCCATGGCAACTTAATTGATTGGATGGAATATGAAACCGTCGTTGTGTTGATTGGCTGCTGCTATCGTGTTGACCTTTGACTAAACTACCACCTAGAGTATAATATAGTGTGTCCAAGTCAAATGCTATGTCACAAAAAACGACACAAATGTCCAAATATAAGCAAATCAAAGGTCAAATCTTATTGACTTTTGATGGTTTGACGTACATTTTGTACATAAAAAAGTAGAAAATAGGAGTTTCTATTACGAAATATTGGAAATTACAAACAGATACGGGCAGTTTACTTCGGAAGGTGTGAATGACCAAGCACAACGACGACACCGCGCCGCCGCCTCCACCCACGGCTGCGTTGAATCGCCTCGAGGCGATGCTGTCGCAACTGGGAAGTGGACATCCTGCAACACTTCCTTCGTCTTCCTTGAACGAAGCTCGGTGGGATGGATGGGGATACAACGACACGAGCATTTTCTTGAACGCGGATGGACAAGTTGAGTTTGCGGGCAACCGGTGCGTCAAAGGGTGACACGTGTGGCCATGCATGACGATGGGATATGTAGGTACGAAGAGATCTTTCCCGCGGCTCGTGTCCTTCCCGCGTTGCGCGCATGGGCCGAATCAAAAGTCGGCTTGGACGTCAATCGCCAGGTATGTTCGTCCATTCCATCGGCATTCGCGCTGAACCTTCCTTGCATGTTCCTATGTTTAGGCGCCACGGAACGCTGTACCTCCATCCATCAAGGAAGGCAGCGAGGTGATGAACGTCGCATTCCTGGAGGCCATGGTGGCGTTGCACATCCCCGTGAACGTCGACGCCGTCGCCCGCGTCCGCCACTCCCACGGCCAGACTTGCGGGGTACGCCGTTGCTTGGCCAAGTTGCTCTTGTCGTTAAACGACTCCCTTGTCGTAGGAAGTGTATCGTCTGCGCACCTGCGCCGTCTTTGACCGCGTGCCCGACGCCGTCATCGTCGCGACCTCCCACAACCTCGTGGAACAGATCGTCGCGGCGGCCGTCCAGCACAACGTCGTGCTCATTCCGTACGGCGGCGGCACCAAGTACGTTCGAGCACATCCATCTACGACCCCATATCCTTGTACTATGTCGTCCATGATGTCTAGTGTGTCGAATGCATTACAGTGCAAACCCGACGAAAGCCGCATGGTTGTGTCCCTCGACATGCGCGGGATGTCGGCGATTGTGTCGGTGGACAAGGAGAACATGCTCGCATGTGTGGAAGCAGGCATCACGGGGCTGGACCTCCACGGCCAGCTCGGCGCCCGCGGCGTCACGCTCGGCCACGAGCCTGACTCGTGGGAGTTTTCCACTGTCGGCGGCTGGGTATGTAATCATGTGTCATACTTGCCAAATGAATGCAATATATATATATACAGAGACTCATATATATAATTTGATGCTAAACATAAGTATATATATATATATGTACATGGAGACATGTATATTTGTGGAAATAAATGGTTGTACCAAGTATATATATATATATATATATATGGTGTGTGTCGTTGTATGAAGGGTCTGTCCATGTTGCTTGTACGAAATGGAATGTATCGTCACCCCGTTGCTCCAGAACTTGCTGGTGGTATATGTATATATATGTCAGGCACGTTGAGGTCATTTGGCATGGTACCGTGTACCATATATTAACATCTTGTGCAAGCAATAAACTAGTCCAGGGTGCTCAAGGCCATCTATGTGGCATGGGGTATTACATATGGTATTTTTTAGCCTTGTTGTTGTGCCATGGATCGATGATAGCTTGGCGCGGTGTCACAGGGATGACGTTATATCATATACGATCGTAGGTGGCGACGAAAGCGTCGGGCATGAAGAAGAACGTGTACGGCAACATCGAGGACCTTGTCGTCAACATGACGATGGTCACGGCGGCGGGGACGCTGACGCGGTCGTGCAACGTCCCCCGCGTCGCCATGGGCCCCGACACCCTCCATTTGGCCATGGGTATGTCATGATCCGAGTAGATATTCGCACGACGGACGAGTGACGTTATCCTTGTGTGTGTATGAATGACGTTATCGCATATATGGTAGGCTCGGAGGGGCTGTTTGGAGTGGTGACACGCGTGACGTTTCGCATTCGACCGAGTCCTGATCATCAAGTGTACGATTCGATTCTGTTTCCTACCATGGACGACGGCATCCGGGCCATGTACGACATCACGCGGGCCGGGTGTGTCCCCGCTAGCATTCGGCTCTTGGACAATACGCAGGTAGGTGATCACGTCATTATTGTATGAGTGGTATTTCTGACGACATGCCCCTACTAGTTTCAGCTCGGCCAGGCGTTGAAACCCACGGCGTCCAACCCGTGGACGTCGTCGCTCGTGTCCATGGCAACTAGGGCTTACGTCACCAAGGTAGTTCATGTTGTTGGGATGACGTGATGGTCCAGGATGATGACGTGATCACGGTTGTAGATCAAAGGCTTTGACGTCAACACGATGGTCGGTATGACGTTGCTGTTTGAAGGGTCCAAAGAAACGGCCGACCGCGACCAGCGCGCGATTCACGCGATTGCCGCCACGCATGGTGGGATGGTGGGCGGCGCCGAAAATGGGAAACGGGGATATTTCCTCACCTACGTCATTGGTACACGACCGTGTTTGTCTGGATTACTGACCCCTTTCATGGGGAAATTTCCCAGCGGACGTGAATGTCCACGGGGATCGATCACGTCATCATATAATACAGTCCGTGCTCACGTCATATATATGGTAGCGTACATTCGGGACTTTGTGATGAACTACTACTTTCTCTGCGACTCGTTCGAGACTGCCGTGCCGTGGAGCAACGTGCCGGCGTTCATTGCCGGCGTTCGCGCGGTAAAGTGACGTGATCATCCTCACCCCCTTTTGTCAAAATAACATGCCATGATGACGTGATCGCCATCACCTCCTTTTGTCAAACAATACCATGACATGTCATGATGACGTGATCGCCATCACCTCCTTTTGTCAAACAATACCATGCAATGTCATCATGACGTGATCGTCACCTGCTTTTGTCAAAGAAACCCCAGCGAGAGGTCCTCATGACGACGAGCGTAGGAGATTGAGGCGGTGGCCGCGTCCAACCGCATCGAAGTCAAGCCGATCGTCATGTGCCGCGTGACCCAAGTGTACGAGACCGGCGCGTGTGTGTACGTGTACTACGGCGTCAACTTTTTTGGCGTGGACGACCCGCTCCAGCTGTTCTTTTCGATCGAGCAGGCATGCGTGGAGGTGATGCTCCGCCATGGCGCCGCTCTGAGCCATCACCACGGCATCGGCAAGCACCGCAAGAAGTGGCTGCCCCACGTGATTTCGACGCCGTCGCTGCGCATGATCGAAGGCATCAAGCACGCGATCGACCCCACCAACGTGTTTGCGACCAACAACATCATCGACACGTAGTAGTTGCTTTCTGCTAATCCCTTGATGCGGACGATGTCCTCTTGCGTGGATGATCCGCAGCATTAGAAAAGTGCGCGTAGAGAATAACATGGAGTGAAGCACGGTTGTCGATAGAGATTGAATGAACGATTTGTGTGTGGACGGAGCGAGGGTATGGAGGAGGATGGACTTTTGAGCCCAGAGGCCGTCGAGACAGACGTGCTAACCATCACTATAGAATATGTGGTGGTCTACTGCTCGATCGCTTGCGGCTTCAGGCGCACGTACACTTTCCTTGGAAGTTGCGCGGGGGTCGCGTCACTCGACGACACCAAAACACATGTAGGCGGCGTGGCCGATGCCAGCATCGTCGGCATGCCATCGCACTGGAGCATACATGTCTCCCAAGATACGCATCGAGCGTGGTTCCTGCAGTCGGAAGGCTTACCCTAGCAATTCCGACCTCCATTCGTACCAAAGCTTCAAGGCAGAATGAATCTATCATTTTCCATGGAACACCTCTTTGAGGTTTTATTATCTTGTGGTTTGTATATCGTCCGAGATAATTGCCACGGACATGGCAGCGGGTTCTTGTGGCTCACCAGATCTGCCCAATCAACGACGAGTGTCCTACCTTTCATCAAGGGTGGCCATTATTCATCGACTAACTATCATGGCTGACCGTGCGCCGACTTCACCAACTGCTGCCGCTGCCGCTGCCGTGCCTCCTGTTGCCCCCGTGGAGGGCGAAGAGAAATTGAGCAAGAACGAACTCAAACGCCGCTTGAAGCTGGAAAAGGCCGCGCTAGCCAAAGCCGAGAAGGACGCGGCCAAGGCAGCCGCCGCACTTGTCGCAGGTCCCAAGAAAGCGACGGCTGCTGCCGCTGGTGGCGACGCCGACGATGAGTTGGACCCCACCGCATACTTTGAGAACCGCACGAAACTGCTTGCGGAACTCGAGGCGGACGGCGTCAACCCGTACCCGCACAAATTCCACGTGACGATCTCCGTTCCTGAATTTGTCCAGACATACCATGGCATCGAAGCCGGCAGTCACGTGGAAACGACCGTCGTGTCGGTGGCCGGTCGCTTGATGAGCAAGCGCGCGAGCGGCGCCAAGCTCCACTTCTACGGCCTGCACGCCGACGGCGCGTCCATCCAGGTCATGTCCCAGATCGACGTGTACGCCGACGAGGCCGAGTACGCGCGCATCCACGCTGCATTGCGCCGCGGGGATCTCGTGGGTGTGACGGGGTTCCCCGGCAAGTCGAAGAAGGGCGAGCTGTCCATCTTCCCCACGAGCCTCGTGCTCCTCTCTCCATGCATGCACATGCTGCCCAAGGCCCACTACGGCCTGTCCAATCAGGACACGCGCTTCCGCCAGCGCTACTTGGACCTGATCTTGAACGACGAAACGCGCAAAGTGTTTACCGTGCGCTCCAAGATCGTCAACTTTATCCGCAAGTTCTTGGACGCACGCCAGTTTGTCGAAGTGGAAACCCCCATGATGAACATGATTCCTGGCGGCGCCACCGCCAAGCCCTTCGTCACGTACCACAACGACCTCCACATGAACCTATTCATGCGCGTGGCCCCGGAGCTGTACCTCAAGCAGCTCATCATTGGCGGGTTGGATCGCGTCTATGAGATCGGCCGCCAATTCCGCAATGAAGGCATCGACCTGACCCACAACCCCGAGTTTACCAGTTGCGAGTTTTACCAAGCGTATGCCGACTACAACGACTTGATGGAATTGACGGAACAAATGTTCTTTGGCATGGTACGTGATATATGGGTTTATATATATATATATATGCCGTTAACGGCTGTTTGGTTTGACGGTGTCTAAAGATATCCAAGTGTGGAATGGATATGTGGGACGATAATGCGTGTGCCTATAGAACGGAGACGTATATCATATATATATATATATATATGCGAGATAGATCGAATGATGGTGATACGTGTATGTGTTAACGTCTGTTTTGTTTGACGGGGGGATATGTATATACGTGCGACACGGACTGGTATGCTTGCTGGCCCTGGACCTGCATATGATTCAAAGTGTGTTGGTTGAACATTAAGGTCTATTTTGTTTGACCTGGATTGGTG